TACCCGCATCCCTTCGCTTCGGTAAGTTGCCTCCACACGCAATCACGAGCCTGTAAATCCGTTGTTGGTGCCGACGTTAGCAGTGAAAAGTATGCAGTTAGAAATAAATGGGACTTTGGTCTTATGGAACTTCGGTCTATGGAACTTTGGTCTCATGGACTTTGGTCTTTTATGAGACTTTGGTCTTAGCCTCAAATCCCATGCTGAGGCCAAAAGTTCCTTAGCCTCCCCTGAACCCGAAGGAAAGGAGGCTGGGTTGCATTACACAGCTTTCCCGCTTTTACTCCTACGTACTACGGGCAGATTATCCATCAACTGCGGGAAATGGCGACAGTATATCTGTTCCCTAGTTTTCTCCAATTCTGCTTATTTATGAAATTTTTGATTGAAGGGAATAAGGGAAATAGGTTCGGATTTTTCGTATGGTCAGCTACTCATAAAAGTACTTATTTATATACTGTCGCCATTCCGCAGTTGATGAAATGGTTTTCGGACGGCGGAGGCGGGCCGCAAACCACCATTAATTGGCAAAGGCTTATTTCAAAAGCTTATCTCGGGAGGACTAATCCACTACCTGCAGGGGTGCACATTGCTAGCGCTTACAGATTTTGAGTTAAGCGCGTGCCGATTGATTCGAGCGCCCGCGCGGCATTAGGGGCATGCCGAAAGTTCCGTCTCGATCACCTCAGGGAGCTCAAAAACAAGATAGGAGGAATCCAATGCTATCCGCGTGCCATGATTCGGCGTGACAAACGTGCTGTGCCACATTCGCCCCTTGTGATGTGATGTGATGTCGCCTGCTGACAAACCGGTCAACAAATCACGAAGTTTCCAAGAGCCTTTCACCTTCCCAATGTAGAGTGCTATTGGAAAAAAAGATTTAGGCTGTCATTCAACGCCGCTGGCGTCCATGCGTGTTCAAATGAATCATATACTGTTCTTGGGTTGAGTAAGTTTCATCACTTTTCTTTGGAAATGTTCTGGATTTTCTCCTTTCCTTCTTTCCCTTCACCGTTCCCCCCAAACTTCTGACAATCAATATGGGTGGCCATTACGAGCCTATTGAATCCGAGGAGAAAATGCCTGGCATGACGGACAGCGAGGATGTGTCGTTTCTTCGCCCAATGCGCCGTGTCTCCAACAAACCTTGGTGGACCACCATACGGCAGCATGGACACATCATCAGCGTCTACATGGTCCTCGGTTTCTCGCTGCTTGCTCTAATCACTGAGCCTCTCTGGAAGAAATGTGACTGCAAAGATCCATCACTCGGCTCTTACTGTATGATGCCTGTAGTTATGACTTTGGGGGTTGCGTTGACTGACAAAGTGGCAGCCCCAGCTATGGACGTTATCATCTACGAAGACGTTGATTTCGGGAAATACTTTGCTGCCGACAACAGGAGTCCTTATATGGAAAAGCCCTCTCGGGAGATTGATGAGATGTGGAAGGAGTTGTACAACTGTAAGTTTTGCAACTGCTTGACAGAAGAGCGAATGCTAATCAATTACCAGTTGGTCTCACTGGACTGACGCCCGAGGAGGCGTCTCAGCTTCCCGAACCTACCGCTCACCTCCCCCACGATAACAACACCTACGTGGTTTCCCTCAGTGTTTTCCACCAACTGCACTGCGTCAATCATTTGCGCAAGGCATTGTATCCCGATGAGTACCCCGGCTTGTGGGAGTATCACGAAGACGGCACCGTGAACCACGATACGATCTTGGCTCTTCACTGGGGTAAGTGATGGAACGCGTTATCCAATATTCTCTTGCTGACGATCTCAGACCATTGCGTCGACATCCTCCGTCAATCCATCATGTGTTCAGCTGACATTACTCCTACACCGTTTTATTACCGGGCCCGCGACGATAATGTTTATTCAACCTTGGCTACTAGACACCATTGTCGTAGCTTTGACAGCGTGAAGGAATGGGCAAAAGACAGACAACTACACCAGTGGAGATGGAATGAGACGGCCACGACGCAGAAAGTGGGCTAGTGGAAACAGACTGTGCTTACCATATTTGGTCCAGTCTTCCGGATTAACCTCGAGAAGCAAGTCAGTGGCAAAAGCTCACCAAGCTCTTGGTACTTTTGCTTGTTGGCATCTCTACTTTGGCACAAGATACTATCATATATACTATGATTAATTTATTCAAGGAACATCTCGAAGTTTAATTATCTCTAGAAAGAGGCACGCTTTCAGACTTGGCCACACCATAACTCTTCTGATGCATGAACAGTCCTTTTCTCTCGCCATCAAGGCACGGATAAGTCTCTGCCCAGCCCCGGTGTCGAGTATGTTTTGCCCTTCCACTGGGGTGGAACAATAACGTGCCGGTCTCTATTGATACAGACAAAGTGCACCGCCTAGAGATACCATAAGGAGTCGTGTGAACATAATAAAACAAATATGGTTGAAAGATAAAAAAAGTTGTAGGAATAACTATTATTTTATTTTTTGTTTGGCACGACGAAGACATTGTAGTTGAGATTTGATGAAGAGATCTTGTAGGATATCAAAGAGCAGCGCCCTTTTCCCCCACCCGATGGTCTTCAGCTCACGCACTCTCTCCATAATCGGCAGCGTTACGCACGAAAGTCTCCCAACAACTGCTACCAGAGGGGGTGTTTCCATGTTTGAAATTGTGAAAGTATGCAGCTGGCAATCCACACTCGACAGGACAAGGCCCGAATGGAGTGTAGGGGTGGTTTCGCTTTTCTCCTGTAAGCATCCTTGCCGCTCCTCGCCGCTGCCAGCAATGGAGTAATCGTTAGCGTTGAGTTACCCATGCGAACCTCTCCTGATTATCGACCTCAAATAGGAATGGTTTTGTCGCCGGGTGAAGAGAGAGCTGTCAAAAGTTCCCTGGGATTGCGGCCTAGTCCGGACCTGAGATACATCGTTGGACCCTTGCAACGGTCTAGGTCAGAAGCCGTAGGCGACTGTGCCGCGCGCTACGAGCTCCAGACGGGGCCAGAATATCAGGATAACGTGAATCTCGAAGTGCTCTTTCTGCACTAGTGACACAAGTCCCCTCCTTACAATAGTCCCTTGTTGTTGTTGTTGTTGTTGTTGTTGTTGTATTTAACGCCGTGGCGGCCGGGCTAGAGCCCTTACCGCAGACCTCCCGAAGGGTATATGGCGTGGAGGGCCGTGAGCCAAGGCTACCTACTCTACAGTACGTCGTCTCTTTACATCGTCCTCCAAATCATGCCTTGTGGCCACTACGCGTTCTGTCTGTCCCCGGTTCCCGCTGGTGCCCCAGTTTCATTCTTTCCCAAATCGTCCCTTGGAATCGGGAGGTTCTTTGTAGTCCGCACTCACATCTACCTAGGTGTGGATGCTGCTACCGCAGACAGATCTTCTGGAAGAAGTCCGTCACGCGGAGAAAGGCCTCGAAGCCTCGTGGGTCGGTGATTAATCTCTTGAAGTAGGCCTCGAGAGATCCCATAGGACCTATGGGCTCGGGCATACTGCGAGAGTGGAGGGTCGGCCACCGTTGCCTCCTCGCCAGCGTTAGTCGACAGTAGACCAGGTGGTCCACGTCTTTCGCCTCTCCACAAGAGCACATCATTAGAGCGTCGTCGTGGTTGAAACGTCGGTGATATTGCTCGAAGTCCCCGTGACCCGATCGTGCCGCCAGCAGGTGATGTAACGTAGCCCGCGGCAAGGCCAGTTCAGGAGGGCTGGACAGAGCTGCCTCAAGCCCCAAGTCCGCGTACCGCGGCCTTCGCTCTTTATACCACCATCTCCTGTGCTGGCTTTGTAATTTTTCCCTTGCAAGCCGCTTGATGCCCGCTAGTGTTGCCATTTGACCCATCCGCGCCGGCAGTGTCGTTCCTTCTTTGGCCAGCCGGTCCGCGGCCTCGTTTCCTTCGATGCCCTGGTGTCCCGGGGACCAGTGCGTCCGTATATCAAATATCCTGGCCGCTTCTTGGATTTCGAGGAACGCGTCTTGTGACGAGTCCGGCGCCTTGCCGCGGATGCCTTGTATAACGCTGGTGTTGTCGATACATATGTGGATTGGATGACCGCGATTGGTGAGCAGAGCCCTTCTGAGGCCGGTTCGCGCCCCTTCGACCTCGGCGTCGAACACTTCTGCTAGTCCGAGTCGGCCGCACCCTTGCGCTATGCGTTTGGAGTCTCGGTAGATGACGAAGCCGTACCCCACGGCTCCGTTCGTCGCCCTGGAGCCGTCCGAGAAGACGATCATATGGCTTTCCGGTACTGTCTTTAGCCAGCGCTCGAAAGCTTTCGCAGCCTCTTCTTTGCATTGAACTACTATCTGATCCTGTGAGCTTGGCAGGTACTGTGATTGGAGGAACGTTGGTCTTCCGCATCTTGGCAGAAGTTCAGCCGTCCGTTGTAGTCTCGTCTGTTGCTGTCCCTGCTGGAGAGCCGCGCGACTAGCGGGTGTCGGCCGATCAATCCCTGCTAGTCGCGCGGCCTCCCAGCAGGGACAGCAACAGACGAGACTACAACGGACGGCTGAACTTCTGCCAAGATGCGGAAGACCAACGTTCCTCCAATCACAGTACCTGCCAAGCTCACAGGATCAGATAGTAGTTCAATGCAAAGAAGAGGCTGCGAAAGCTTTCGAGCGCTGGCTAAAGACAGTACCGGAAAGCCATATGATCGTCTTCTCGGACGGCTCCAGGGCGACGAACGGAGCCGTGGGGTACGGCTTCGTCATCTACCGAGACTCCAAACGCATAGCGCAAGGGTGCGGCCGACTCGGACTAGCAGAAGTGTTCGACGCCGAGGTCGAAGGGGCGCGAACCGGCCTCAGAAGGGCTCTGCTCACCAATCGCGGTCATCCAATCCACATATGTATCGACAACACCAGCGTTATACAAGGCATCCGCGGCAAGGCGCCGGACTCGTCACAAGACGCGTTCCTCGAAATCCAAGAAGCGGCCAGGATATTTGATATACGGACGCACTGGTCCCCGGGACACCAGGGCATCGAAGGAAACGAGGCCGCGGACCGGCTGGCCAAAGAAGGAACGACACTGCCGGCGCGGATGGGTCAAATGGCAACACTAGCGGGCATCAAGCGGCTTGCAAGGGAAAAATTACAAAGCCAGCACAGGAGATGGTGGTATAAAGAGCGAAGGCCGCGGTACGCGGACTTGGGGCTTGAGGCAGCTCTGTCCAGCCCTCCTGAACTGGCCTTGCCGCGGGCTACGTTACATCACCTGCTGGCGGCACGATCGGGTCACGGGGACTTCGAGCAATATCACCGACGTTTCAACCACGACGACGCTCTAATGATGTGCTCTTGTGGAGAGGCGAAAGACGTGGACCACCTGGTCTACTGTCGACTAACGCTGGCGAGGAGGCAACGGTGGCCGACCCTCCACTCTCGCAGTATGCCCGAGCCCATAGGTCCTATGGGATCTCTCGAGGCCTACTTCAAGAGATTAATCACCGACCCACGAGGCTTCGAGGCCTTTCTCCGCGTGACGGACTTCTTCCAGAAGATCTGTCTGCGGTAGCAGCATCCACACCTAGGTAGATGTGAGTGCGGACTACAAAGAACCTCCCGATTCCAAGGGACGATTTGGGAAAGAATGAAACTGGGGCACCAGCGGGAACCGGGGACAGACAGAACGCGTAGTGGCCACAAGGCATGATTTGGAGGACGATGTAAAGAGACGACGTACTGTAGAGTAGGTAGCCTTGGCTCACGGCCCTCCACGCCATATACCCTTCGGGAGGTCTGCGGTAAGGGCTCTAGCCCGGCCGCCACGGCGTTAAATACAACAACAACAACAACAACAACAACAACAAGGGACTATTGTAAGGAGGGGACTTGTGTCACTAGTGCAGAAAGAGCACTTCGAGATTCACGTTATCCTGATATTCTGGCCCCGTCTGGAGCTCGTAGCGCGCGGCACAGTCGCCTACGGCTTCTGACCTAGACCGTTGCAAGGGTCCAACGATGTATCTCAGGTCCGGACTAGGCCGCAATCCCAGGGAACTTTTGACAGCTCTCTCTTCACCCGGCGACAAAACCATTCCTATTTGAGGTCGATAATCAGGAGAGGTTCGCATGGGTAACTCAACGCTAACGATTACTCCATTGCTGGCAGCGGCGAGGAGCGGCAAGGATGCTTACAGGAGAAAAGCGAAACCACCCCTACACTCCATTCGGGCCTTGTCCTGTCGAGTGTGGATTGCCAGCTGCATACTTTCACAATTTCAAACATGGAAACACCCCCTCTGGTAGCAGTTGTTGGGAGACTTTCGTGCGTAACGCTGCCGATTATGGAGAGAGTGCGTGAGCTGAAGACCATCGGGTGGGGGAAAAGGGCGCTGCTCTTTGATATCCTACAAGATCTCTTCATCAAATCTCAACTACAATGTCTTCGTCGTGCCAAACAAAAAATAAAAATAATAGTTATTCCTACAACTTTTTTTTATCTTTCAACCATATTTGTTTTATTATGTTCACACGACTCCTTATGGTATCTCTAGGCGGTGCACTTTGTCTGTATCAATAGAGACCGGCACGTTATTGTTCCACCCCAGTGGAAGGGCAAAACATACTCGACACCGGGGCTGGGCAGAGACTTATCCGTGCCTTGATGGCGAGAGAAAAGGACTGTTCATGCATCAGAAGAGTTATGGTGTGGCCAAGTCTGAAAGCGTGCCTCTTTCTAGAGATAATTAAACTTCGAGATGTTCCTTGAATAAATTAATCATAGTATATATGATAGTATCTTGTGCCAAAGTAGAGATGCCAACAAGCAAAAGTACCAAGAGCTTGGTGAGCTTTTGCCACTGACTTGCTTCTCGAGGTTAATCCGGAAGACTGGACCAAATATGGTAAGCACAGTCTGTTTCCACTAGCCCACTTTCTGCGTCGTGGCCGTCTCATTCCATCTCCACTGGTGTAGTTGTCTGTCTTTTGCCCATTCCTTCACGCTGTCAAAGCTACGACAATGGTGTCTAGTAGCCAAGGTTGAATAAACATTATCGTCGCGGGCCCGGTAATAAAACGGTGTAGGAGTAATGTCAGCTGAACACATGATGGATTGACGGAGGATGTCGACGCAATGGTCTGAGATCGTCAGCAAGAGAATATTGGATAACGCGTTCCATCACTTACCCCAGTGAAGAGCCAAGATCGTATCGTGGTTCACGGTGCCGTCTTCGTGATACTCCCACAAGCCGGGGTACTCATCGGGATACAATGCCTTGCGCAAATGATTGACGCAGTGCAGTTGGTGGAAAACACTGAGGGAAACCACGTAGGTGTTGTTATCGTGGGGGAGGTGAGCGGTAGGTTCGGGAAGCTGAGACGCCTCCTCGGGCGTCAGTCCAGTGAGACCAACTGGTAATTGATTAGCATTCGCTCTTCTGTCAAGCAGTTGCAAAACTTACAGTTGTACAACTCCTTCCACATCTCATCAATCTCCCGAGAGGGCTTTTCCATATAAGGACTCCTGTTGTCGGCAGCAAAGTATTTCCCGAAATCAACGTCTTCGTAGATGATAACGTCCATAGCTGGGGCTGCCACTTTGTCAGTCAACGCAACCCCCAAAGTCATAACTACAGGCATCATACAGTAAGAGCCGAGTGATGGATCTTTGCAGTCACATTTCTTCCAGAGAGGCTCAGTGATTAGAGCAAGCAGCGAGAAACCGAGGACCATGTAGACGCTGATGATGTGTCCATGCTGCCGTATGGTGGTCCACCAAGGTTTGTTGGAGACACGGCGCATTGGGCGAAGAAACGACACATCCTCGCTGTCCGTCATGCCAGGCATTTTCTCCTCGGATTCAATAGGCTCGTAATGGCCACCCATATTGATTGTCAGAAGTTTGGGGGGAACGGTGAAGGGAAAGAAGGAAAGGAGAAAATCCAGAACATTTCCAAAGAAAAGTGATGAAACTTACTCAACCCAAGAACAGTATATGATTCATTTGAACACGCATGGACGCCAGCGGCGTTGAATGACAGCCTAAATCTTTTTTTCCAATAGCACTCTACATTGGGAAGGTGAAAGGCTCTTGGAAACTTCGTGATTTGTTGACCGGTTTGTCAGCAGGCGACATCACATCACATCACAAGGGGCGAATGTGGCACAGCACGTTTGTCACGCCGAATCATGGCACGCGGATAGCATTGGATTCCTCCTATCTTGTTTTGAGCTCCCTGAGGTGATCGAGACGGAACTTTCGGCATGCCCCTAATGCCGCGCGGGCGCTCGAATCAATCGGCACGCGCTTAACTCAAAATCTGTAAGCGCTAGCAATGTGCACCCTGCAGGTAGTGGATTAGTCCTCCCGAGATAAGCTTTTGAAATAAGCCTTTGCCAATTAATGGTGGTTGCGGCCCGCTCCGCCGTCCGAAAACCATTTCATCAACTGCGGAATGGCGACAGTATATAAATAAGTACTTTTATGAGTAGCTGACCATACGAAAAATCCGAACCTATTTCCCTTATTCCCTTCAATCAAAAATTTCATAAATAAGCAGAATTGGAGAAAACTAGGGAACAGATATACTGTCGCCATTTCCCGCAGTTGATGGGATAATCTGCCCGTAACGTAGGAGTAAAAGCGGGAAAGCTGTGTAATGCAACCCAGCCTCCTTTCCTTCGGGTTCAGGGGAGGCTAAGGAACTTTTGGCCTCAGCATGGGATTTGAGGCTAAGACCAAAGTCTCATAAAGACCAAAGTCCCATGAGACCAAAGTTCCATAAGACCGAAGTTCCATAAGACCAAAGTCCCATTTATTTCTAACTGCATACTTTTCACTGCAACGTCGGCACCAACAACGGATTTACAGGCTCGTGATTGCGTGTGGAGGCAACTTACCGAAGCGAAGGGATGCGGGTAGGACTCCTCGACCACATCTTTATCTATTCCCCTTGCAGTTAATTGATCCTTCGAGTCATCAAGGCTAGGCCAAGTGCGACAGGCATGTTCGCTTCGACGATCGAGTCTCATCTCCGTGACTGAAGTATTTACATGTCGGCCTTTGAATTACATGTACCTTGGGCCGGGGTCGTAAGGCACCCATTGTGAGCCTAATGGCTGGCTTGAACATGACTGTCACCTGCGGCACAGAACTTATCGATACTACCTTCTCGATTGAAAAACATGACCCTATTCAAAATGTATCAGCTGGTGCCTCCAGATAATTCCCAAAGGACCTTAGAGGCGTTGAGTTGCCACTTTGAACTTCTGCCTAGACCCTGGACTACCTCGCTTGGTCACTCGCGTGAAGGTTACTGTTCTTGATGAGACTTGCTTTACTTGCACTCTTTCTCTGTGTGCGATATTCTCCAATTTTCTGCTTTTTCCTTCAGCTCTGTCGGTTTCAATCCACCCAGACAGTATGTGGTCCTTTCGACTTGACACCAAGGTGAATGAGGGCCTCTATTTTCGGTGGGCAGACAGCACCCGGCTCAAAGGTCCCAGAGAGTTCATCAGGAGCACTATCTTTGTGTTCGTGATGGCTGTTTCTTTCTCTCTAGGAATTGGATACTTGGTTGGAAAGGGATCGCGTCACATTAAACAGGAGGTCTCTCAAACTCTTGAGTGTAAGTGTCACCTTGGTACCTAGGGCGTTCCCAAGTCACTAACATATACTAGTAAGTGAAGTTATTCACCCTCTCCAAGGGAATGAATCGTTTATAGGACGTCCAAACCGAGAAAGAAACCGTGCATGGGAGAACCTGTTTCCAGAGGACGGCGGATTCTTTATCCATCCATCCATAGCCCCAGAGAGGTCTGTCTTCTCGACATTCCATCAAGTGCATTGTCTGGTAAGAGATGCCCATATCGTTCCAAGTTCTGCTCTAATCATGAGTATAGGAGCAAATATGGAGGAGCTGGTGGTCTCTCTATGACCAAGAAAGTAGGCCACCCACTGAACCAGACCATCGCCAAAAGAGGAGGAGCCATCTGCACGCCCCCGATGAGAATGGACAACATCATCATCAGGTGCCAGAGACTGTCCACTTCAATCACTGCGTTGAGCTGCTTCGTAATGTCCTCATGTGTCAGCCTGATTTAACCGTTGAGGTTGCGAATCCGCAGACCGGTGGGGTGACGGGTTTTGACAGCGAACACAAGTGCCAGAATTGGGACGATTTGCTAAGATGGACGAGGGAATGGCAAACTCAATCGTAGTTTTAGAGGCATACTTGCTTTGACTTCCGAAATATGCCAGTTGCAAGCTCATGTCTATTTCGAGTTTTGTCGAGAGCACGCTCGCCAAGCCTGTTGAATCAGCTGTATTGTCGAGGAACGGCAATACATTCTCACATGCATAATTCTGTAATCGCAGACCTCATAAGTAATCCTTACGTAGACGCTGCCAGAGATCTCATTCAGCTGCAGTTGGTATAACAAATTTGTCCTTATAAGCCCAGCAGAATCACTTTGTTGACCAGGTCTGTCGCGGAAAAGGCACAGTATCTAGGAATTCCAGCCAAGAAACCCCCAGTTCACTCTTACTTGCAATAATTTAAGCCATCTGATAGTGAAACAAATAGAAGCAGAAAGTACTACTTGTTGTCTAGTAGTCTCAGAGTTATCTTTCTGAGCGGATGGTCTAGTCTTACGTGAGAATGCATGTTGGGACCGTTACAACGGCCTTTCGGAGAACACCCCTCCCTAGGATTGAAAGATAGAAGTATATTTCACGTATTCATGTGTGGGTCTAAACGCCAACAAAAGGACCATCAGCCTCTGACTTGGTAATATCTTGGTCAAGGATGAAGAGAAGCAGACTGAGTGCGCGCGCGTACGAGGGTCCTTTCGTGAAGCAACTGCATCAAAGGGGCTGGAGCCACCGGGGTTAGTCTTGAATAGGAATGAGAAACAACAACACCTGTACTCGTTCACGATAGTGTACGGCGCAGCAGTTCGTATCGTCAGAGAACATGACAGTCTTTCTCCGTTGAGATGAGACCGAACCATTTGATGCTAGTTGCCGGCTCTCGCGGCAAACCGAAGTCCCTATCGAATGCCTCTCCTAACATGTTTCTCTGAGGCAGAATTATCGAGATGTGCGGAAAGAAAACCCTCAAGTTACTCCGCGTCCGCGTATAAGGCCACAACAACAGCAAGTAGAGACTGGGGCATATATCGTTATGCCGCGGCGATGAAAAGTATAAAGAATTCTTCGTCCGCTGCCCTTTTTGTCTCCTGGAGCATCTCCATCCAAACATTCTCAGTTCCAATCTACACCTGATCTCAAGATCATTCCCAATTAAACTTTTCAACTCATTCAAGATGCAGCTCCAATCTTCTCTTCTCTCCCTTGCCAGCATCCTGGCCCTTGCTGTGGGAGCCCCTGCCGGAGTCAACACCGACAACCTCACCCGCAGCCAGAAGGCGCTCTTGGATTCCTCCAAGCTTATTGTGAGGCCTTTGTCCTCTTCGAGCAGCTGTGAAAGAGTAAACCCGCTAACTTGACATACTCAGTGTGGCCAGTATCCCGGCAGCGAGTGGGTCGGGATCGGCCCGCTGAAGGTTCCGTGTAACTCTCCTCTCCTCGCTACTCGCGATGAGTCCACCGACTTGGACACCAACTGGACGCACGAGTACGCGAAGAAGAGACATGAGGGCATTGAGGAGGACGGTGTTGAGGTTAAGCGTGACGAGATCACTGACCTCGACACTAACTGGACGCACGAGTACGCGAAGAAAAGACACGAGGGCATGGAGGAGGACGGTGTTGTTAAGCGTGACGAGATCACTGACCTCGACACCAACTGGACGAAAGAATACGCGTAAATATTGTAGGGTATCTTAGTAGGATTCATGTTTATGATCTCTTCAGGGAGGTCGTAATGTTGGGGGAGCGGAATGGGATAAACAGTCTATAGTTGTTGCCAGCTTTTGTCATTTTATACAAGGGCAGAAGTACAATAAAATCTCCTGGTTACAACAATCACAAACCTTGGTCGGAGACGGAGAGTTCATGGGCGGTTGTACCTCTCACAGATTGCGTATCCTGATTGATAGAGTGTCCAGGTGTAGTACCGTTTTGCCAGAAGCGTGCGCACATCCACGGAACTTAGATTCACTATTCGATTACAAGTTGTCAAAGACCACCATCGTCAGCCCTCCAGCGAAAGGATGTTACCTGCCTAAATCTGCTAGCCTGGATTCGGTTAAGACGGACACGACTTATTCTCTGACCCCTGGTGGCTGCGCCGCAGGCCTGCAGCTGATAAGTCGCGGGACTGACGTCCGGCCAACATAAATTCCCAATGCTCTCCCAACCTTTGCTTCTTTTGAAGCATGAAACCATGCCCTAGGCTTTCTTATCGCGCCGAAACTAGCTATGGCCTCTAACGACGAGGTTGAGGCAATCGTCTCTGACCCAAACTTCGAGATCATCACAACCTTTGCCTACTCAGCAGGTCTGCCCTACAACGAGGCATCTTTGCCGGAACCATACTGCTACCTGCTTCAGCACGGGATCGATCGTCTCCAAGCCGCGGCGTCTGATATTTCATGGACCGCCGTGGCTGAGGACTTGCGTAGCATCGACCGTGTACAAGCATTGTCCAAGCAGGTCAGCGCCCACATGCTTTCAACCCACGGCGAAGCATCCAAGGACCCGGGCAGACGCTTCATCGTGCGCTTGGCCTTCAAGAGAGACGGGATTCTCAGCATCATGTCGGGCCCGAGGCCCACCTCAACGGATTCCCTTTACCCAAGAACCTTGTCGAACATCACGGACTCTCTCAGTACTTCAGAAATCCCTGTGTACCTGGACATGGAGCCGACAAAGCCTTCACTGTTCACCAAGCACAAAACAACGCATCGCCAGTCTTACAGCGCCGCTTGGAAACGTGCGGGTATAGACGAGGCGACGTCGCCTGCTGAATGTGACGTGCTGTTACAGAATGAGAACGGTCATATCATGGGAGCCGCGTTTAGGACCGTGTACTTTTGGAGGGGTGGCAGATTGGTGACTCCGAGTAGTGTGACTGGATGCAAGATGGGCGTCTCGAGAAGATGGGCAGTGGAAAATGCGGGTGTGAAGGAAACATTGATCACAGCTTTGGACATCGGCGATGGCGAGGTGGTTTGGTTGAGTTCGGCTGTAGGGGGCTTCATACAGGGGAAGGTCACTCTGGAAAGAAAGACTCGAGATGAGTAAGTTTTGTGAGCCCGAGGATGCTTCCGGCTCGATGATTGACGGCACCCTAATCGAAAGAATCTCCAGAGCGCTCAACGTCTATCCATGGCCTGTTTTTGCATAACGTGGATGGCATAAGTACAAAGACCACTGTCGCACAGTTTAAATTTGTTATATCTCGTTTTGAAATGGTTGCAAAGTAAAATAACTGACGACCCGAAGAAGCTCCGAATGTCGGTTCCATGAAATGGCCAAGCAACTGCAACATTCGGAAATTCAGCTTTCTGTAAATGCCGCACACTTGTATATCTGGCAACCAATTCATTTCTTGTTTCGACGATGTCATGGTGCAAGTCGGTGCTCCATATATGGACGATGATGATTGGTACTTTATGGCACATGGGCCTGCCCGGTTCTCCTGCTTATTTTGGGCAAGTTGACAACACATACAAGAATATACAATTGTTTAGTTTCATATCTTACCATACCTATCTGGGAGATGGATTTATGCTGATAATTCTGCTTCAGATACCACTTCGCGCATTGCCAGTTTCCAAACCGGTCGTTCTGACACTGGTGAGTATCTTGGATCTAGCCGGGATCATGCACTCGCGAGGCAATGGTTGACGGACTGCCGTAATTCACACAAGTATTATCTATCAGGCCAAGAGCGCGAGCTACCCACCAGAATTGTTGAAGTAGGAGAATATCTGGATTCTGGAAATGTCCGCTTAGTCCTGACGAAAGGCGTGAAAGATCACCACGTTGCTCTGAGTCACTGCTGTGGTGGTGCAATCTCCCCTGCCCTGACGGCCGAAACCTTGGGGCCTTTTCAAGACTCCATTGCCGTCATAGAGGCTTCTCGGAATTCCCAAGATGCCATTACGATAACTCGCAGTCTGGATCTTCGTTTCTTATGGATAGGCTGCCTTTGCATCCAGCAAGATTCCGAGTCGGATCAGGAGAATTAGTTTCAAAGAATGAGGTTGGTTTACCGCAATTCAACAGTTACACTTTCTGCTCTGGTGTCAATAGGAAGTAGAGAAGGTATACTCAAGTCAGACCACGCTCAGACAGCAATAAGTAAGCGTCAATGCCACAATCAAAATTTCGAACAGTCAACACAGTCCCGTGGCTACTGTCTGGCGGAAAGATCAAAACAAAGAGGACTATCGAGGCCTTGACTGAAATAGTGCGTTGCAAACACGAGTGACACTTGTATAGTATATGCTGTCGCCAATGCATACCCTACATGGTCAAAACATGATTTACTGGAGGTGCCCGCAGTATCTTGTCTCGACAGATGGCCTTCCCTCCAACAACAAATCACCGCAGTCTGCCTACAAAGATCTTACACAGACCTTCCCTCCGGAATTCTCGCCTCTCCCTCTCCCGGACCCTGGAAACAAATGTCATCCGGTGTGACTACTAGAAATAGTAAATGCATATACCCAAAGGAAGCTTACGTGCGGTTCAGACAAACTACCGGCCTTCCCGGGTATTACACAACGTCTGCTTTCAGTTCTTGAGGGGGCTATCTTGCCGGTCTCTGGACTTCGGACTTTCGGCGCGGCCTCCTATAGATCCCCGAGGGAAACTTCTGCTATCACGAAAGAGACAACTACCGCTCCCCTTCATGGTCATGGGCCGTAACTGACGATATGGTACTTTTAGAGGAATCGACAAAACATGTACTAGGGCCGAGCCCTTGGATTGCTCAACTTTTTGAATACGTCATCCAACCAAGAGTTCCCGATAATCCATACGGGGAGATTATGTTCGCAAAGCTCATTCTCAAAGCTTTAACTATGCCTTTGATTTGTAGCCGACAGATGGTTAGTACGTACCACAACACTGCCTTCATTGAACATGCCAGCTTCGATGAACCGGCTGGGCCTGTGAACACGGCCAAGGAGGGGCTCCAAGTCTGTTCAGAGTTAATGTAAATGATCAAGACTATGTCGTCTCGATTGTCACTGGACCGGGAGACGAATCGAACTGGGAGCTGGACACGGGTATTTACCGCGACGACAAGTGTCCGCTGGTGGTGGTTCATACGGATGATTGTAGCAAAGAAGAGCCCGGATGGTCAAATTTTGAGGCACTTTGTCTAGTCATCTGTGAAGCGACAAGCGAGGCCGAGGAAACATACGAGAGAGTAGGACTCGCCCGGAAACAGACGCCCAAGTTGTCTTGGCTTAAGACTTGGAACTGGCAGGTCTTGACACTAATCTGATGCGGGTAGTGTAGACGTTGAGTTTAAGTCTTTTAACCGTGGAACTCTGCCGACTTTGCGTTCATCAGAGAGCATCTTGATCCATCGCATTCTAAGTTGAGCGCGTGTCAGTGAGGTGACATCCAGACTAAAGTACATCTGCCCAGTCAAGACAGGGCGCATGAGTCGTGCAAACCCGAGCAAACAAATCTCATCTCAACCCCACCATCACGAACCTTGTCAAACGCCCGCCTAGATTTCCTATTTCACTCATTCTTCCCATCCCACCCTAGCCGCAACCCTGATACGACTCCTCCTCAACTGCGGGGGAAACATTGGCATTGACCGGCCTTTAAACCACTTCAAGCCCATGGACCATCTGATAGACTGATGCGGCCCGGGTGGAGCCAGGCACATCTGCACGACCGCTGCACAATGTCGCATTTTGTTTATAAGCGCCCGAGTCCGAGTGGTTGTGTCCGTCAATGGGACGTTTACCCCGATAAGTTTACTCAGCCCGACCGTTTTCCCCGCGTTGTTTCCCCGACTCATCCATCATGTGGCTTTTTCTTACCCTGGGGGAACTGGTGGAGATCTTGGAACTACCGGAACGATATTTCAATGGTGCGCGTAGAATCGTGATGACCTCACCTGGTCCGAGGGTGGCATTGAATCAATTCCGGGGAAGACGGGGCCGTGCGGGGAGACGGTTGCATTTGCGCACTCGGAACATGGCCTGCAATTGAGCTATAAACATGAGTATCCCATGGCAAAATGCAGTGTTGTTGTAGGAAGAGTTGTGGTAGTTGCGAACCTCTGAGAATCTCAACCCGACCTCATCGGATCATCAACCATGGCCTCCGTCGCGTTCACGCTCCTGACGGCGCTCGCTGCCCGCGCCTCGGCCAAGACCCATAAGACGCCGACACCTCAGATGGGATGGAACAGTTACAACTACTACAACTGCTACCCCAATGAGACGCTGATCAAGGAGAACGCACACGCCTTGATCAACACGGGTCTAGCCGACGCCGGGTACACCACCGTGACTACCGACTGCGGCTGGCCGGCCAAGGAGCGCTCCGCTGACGGCGAGCTCGTGTGGAATCCGGAGTTGTTCCCATCCGGAGGCGGCAAGGAGCTCGGTGATTACATCCACAATCTCGGCCTGAAGTTCGGCGTATACTCCGGCGGCGGGTACTACCAATGCGGTTCCACAGATCAACCCGCTTCTCTCGGTGAGTAGTAATTACCCGGAACACCAATGCTCAGTGTACTAGATGGTCCTAACAAGATGTTCAGATCATGAGCTCACCGATGCCAAGTCATTCGCCGACTGGGGCGCAGATTCCCTGAAGTACGTCCACCAAGGAGTAAAGTCCTTAGGAAGGTCAGGTGTTAATACGAGGTGCACATCAGATACGATAACTGCTACGCGGTCGAGCCCACGGTTATGGTCGACTACGTTTCCGAAGAGGCCGTTTCACCGGATCGCTTCGTAGCCATGGCAGATGCGTTGAACACAACAGACCGAGACATCCTCTATCAAGTCTGCCAATGGGGGACCGGAACTGACCTGGGAATCTGGTGCGTCGTCCACGGTAGCGAAATTCTCTCAAGCATTCACAAGGAACTAACTTGATCACCAGGGCGCCCAAAATTGGTAACAGCTGGAGGATCAGCAACGACATCTACAACGGCTGGCGCAGCATTTGGCGGATCACGAACCAAGTTGTTCCTTTTTACAAGTACACCGGCCCTGGTGCTTTCCCCGACATGGACATGTTGCTGTGAGTAGTAAACTTCTTTCCGCAAGGGTGCGTCGTTACAATTCCGGCGCTGACAACATCATCCCAGCATTGGTCTCAGCGCCCTGTCGATTGAGGAGGAGAAGTTCCACATGGGAATGTGGGCCATCAACAAGTCTCCCCTTACCCTCGGTGCCCCCGCTATCCCCGGTCTTGTCCCGGAATCAGCCCACGAGATCCTCGTGAATAAGGAAGTCATCGCTCTCAACCAAGACCCCCTCGCCAAGCAGACAGAACTCGTCCGTCGCTACACCGAGGAGGAGTGGGACGTCTGGGCCGGCGAGTTATCGGGCTCCCGCCTCGTGGTCGGCCTGGCAAACTGGAAGAACGATTCCCAGGCCGTGAGCGTCGACCTTGCGGCCGTCTTGGGTGTCGCCTCGGCCAACGCCCGTGACGTATGGGCGGCGAGTGACATCGGCTCCATCTCGGGCACGTACGAGACGACGTTGAAAGGCCACGAGCTCAAGTTGCTCGTGCTCTCGGACCTCTCCACGACGGCACCCGCCGTCGACGCGTCAGCCGGATATTACACGGCCACTGCTGCCGCGCTGTCTGGCTCAGCCTCCAAGGTTACTTGCGCAGAGGGTCAGTGTCTCCCAAGCAGTACAAAGGTGGGGAATATCGGTTCAGGGGCCGCGGTCAAGTTTGAGGGCGTTGAGGCCAAGTCAGAGGGCAAGAAGCTGCTTGGCGTTGACTTCATCAACTATGAGATCGCCCTCGACTCCGCATGGCAGTTTGGTTCCAACACCCGTAACTTGACTATCTCCGTCAATGGTGGTACCGAGAAGCGGTGGGCCTTCCCCATCTCCGGCGGCAACTGGTTTGATACTGGCCGCTTGCTCGTCGAGGTCGATGGCTTCAAGGGCGATAGCTCGAACACGGTGGAGTTTAAGTCGTTTGGGAGTGCTTGGGCCCCGGACTTGGTTGGTATCGAGGTTTTCGAGGCCAGCTAGAGTCTCGAGCAAGCAACGTGAAATAGTCATTCATAGGCGAAATTATGAGAACAAGACAATTTTGGATCCTTACAATGAGATCCTCCTAGTACACTCAGGAGGCTTGATATTAATCAGTCTCGCCCATATCATCTAGGACTAGTATACAAAAGAAAAAAGGCGTTGTGAGTATAGCACAGGGGTATTCGTAACGAAAAAGAGCCTTGATCATCGCATGCCAGAACAGAGTCTGCAAGCATCCATCCCAACCATTACCATCAATTACATAGCCGCATCATCTAACCCCTCATCTCCTTCTTCTCTGATGACCGAGGATGTCCGGGGTTACTGGTCAGCGAGTCCTCATCATCAACCCTGTAGAAAGAGCTTCCGCTCGCCGCATCATCGTGACGCCCGCTGAAAGATGAGGCAGGGTTCGACTTTGGCGAGTGCGACTCAACGCGGACTTCAACATCGACTCTTCGGTGGATGCCAGTTCTAGCTTCCCGAATGGCTTCGAGGTCCCGATCCTCAGGAACGGCTCCGACGCTGGCGCGGTGGAAACTCTTGAGACCTCCGGTTTCATGGTGGCCGTTGTGACCGTTGTCGAGACCAGTTGGATTCGTGCGGTGACCTCGAGAATGTCCCTGGGAGTATGAGAGAGAGTTGAACCTGAAACCGCTATCTTGGTCCTTTGCGAGGCGTGTGATCAATGAGGCCATGGACATTTCGATGTTGAGCTTGACCATGTAGGCCACGGGGTGGAATTGGATGTAGACAACTTGGTTGGGAAGTGACATGAGTCCAATGAGCATAGCCTGAATGTGTGTTGTTAGCCTCCTGAAAATTTTACATGATCGTAGTGGTGTCTTGACTCACGTCCATGGCAATTGACAGAACCATCAGCTTTGCGTTGAAGCCAACCAGAGGCTTGTACTTGACCAAGCCATGCTGGGTCAGCAGGCGAGCCTTGACGACGTGGAGGAAATACCAGTTGAGGCCAGCGTCAACGATGAGTATGAGGATTTTGGAGAGACGGTCCCAGTAGTGATTGATATTGACATAACTGCGATCGCATATCAGCGATTGAACTTTTCGGTAAGAACCCACTGCAGAAGATTTTTGAACTTACGTTTGGCTAATAGGAGGGTCAAGGTGGGAGGGAATCCAGATGCAGAAGACGGCGATGTTGATCAAGGTGATAACCACAGCCGTTCCCCATTTCAGCATGCGAATGGTCTTTTGACTCTCCGCAATGACGGCAATACGGTTGATGATGATTTGCATCAGCAACTGGATCTCCCACACCCATAGGAATAGGATGAAGAATAAGACCGGTACTCTTTGACACCAATTGTGTTAGCTCAGCATGGCAGGAATACTGCACTTCGATACTCACGTTGGCCCTAATATGCCATCTAAGAATAACCATCCGATGACGGCAATAACGAGGTTGGCGATGATTTCACCCCACATCATGTAGATGTATGTGCTTCGGAGGGGGTTACGATTCCGTCTCGTCTGCTTCATGGCCTCCCATACTGTCAAGAAACCAAAGCCGATTGTGAAGCCCGCGGCCAGCGAGGCGATTTGGTAGTCGGTCTTGGTTGCCGCCATATTGGATTATGGTCAAAGAAGTAAAGGCGTAGGGTGCGGTTCGTTCGTACTGTGTGCCGTATCCGAGGTATTCAAGATCCGGTTCGGTCCTCTCAAGAAAGGCTCCTTGATATACCAGATTTGGTATGTGGGGAAGGAGACGTGGATGAGAGGGGAGCAAGATGTCGTCTAGTTCAAACTCAAAGAAAGCCCTACGAGTCCGTCGGGAAGGGGGAAACGGGCATACTTTTAAGAATCGACGATGGGCGTCCACAGTCAGTAGCAGATTGACCCTCGTCGAGCTCGGCTACCCACTTCTTTTCCGGCCCGTAGGTTAAGAAATTTCCCCTTCTCCAGTGCTGTGGCAATAATAACGGGCTAACAGCCTGGCAGGCTTTGGTTTCGCGATCCCAAACGGCAGAGGGTGGCTAGGCCGCGACAGGTAATCGAGCCCTCCAGCCGGCGCGGTGACTAGACCGGGCGAAGAACCCACATGGTGGTGACAATTGTTAGTGCCACCCTCTAGCCTACGCCACACTCACCACAAACGTGTAGCAGAGGTGCAGAGGTCGCACTCCAAGAGTCACTACTAGTCTATTACTATTACTATGGGCAGGGGAGGTGGGGGACTATGAGACGACAGGTCCTGCAAAAGGAGTCAATCGGCACCCCCTTCCCGTAGCTCTCTTGCCCAGTTGAGACACTTGATGGACGGTGATGTCTTCATCCGTCAATGGTTTGGGTTGCATAGCATGACAGGAAGTTTGACAATACTACCAGATACCAAAGTCTATCCCATTGGCCGGAGAAAAAGAAGATCAACAGGCACGACCGGCCCTCAATAGACATGTCTCTCATGTGCCGTCATTTCTTCATGGTGCAAATGCCGGGGATAAAGGTTTGCTGAAGAGAAAGTGAACCCAGGCGTCGATCCTGAGAGGGTCAGTCACGCAAGAAGGGATCCTCCCTACCATCCGCGGGAGCGGAAAGCAGGTTCCCTCTGCTGCTCTTTTCCGGGATACCATCTTGTCACGTTCTCCAGTCTGGTTCTTCGAGCAGAAATTCGCCATAAAAGAGCGGGGTCTGTTATAGGGGTGACGGGGTCTTGTCGTCAATAGCTTCGTGGGCTGGAAACGAACTGGCGAACCACAGGCGGGGAGTGCGATGCTCGTTGGGGACCCGGGCGAGGAAGAAATGGTCCAGGGATCAGCAGATCGGCATGGTTTCCTGGTCTTTCACGGATGCTGCATGCAGCTTGAAGGCCGTGCGTTTCTTCAGTAGACAGCCAGACAGACAGCGGCCAACTCCGTCGTCTCAACACCTCATCGGAATCCCTCACCGAGATGGAACGAGACAACCCGTTGCACCTCTCTTGATCTTTTCATCGAAGAAATGGTGTCGAGAGCGTTCAAGACTGTACGGCAATGACAGACTCGGCAGAAGATCGTTACACCAAATAAGAGTTTTTGGCGTGGTGCCGATCAAGGGGGAACTTTCAGCAATTCAGCAATTACCAAGCCCTTAATAAAAGAGACTGCGCAATAACAAACACCTCCTCTTCCCTCACCATAAACCTTCAGTCAAATGCCGACTGGGCTCACAAAGAAGAGAGACAGTTGCCAAACGAAGTGGGAGCCGTATCCAGAGTGTGCTCCGAACCGCAGTTCATGCTGCATGCATGGGACCAAATATCACCCCAGGCCACTTTGAGCCCTTCTGAAACATGATCTCGCTGTACCCACAGCTCTGGCACTCTGGATTTCTGCAAAGAAGGGCCGCATTGTCCTCGCCGGAGATATTTTCCACGTGGAGGAAGTGCCTTGGATCTAGTATCAAAAGAGACACGAAGACCGAGATAGCCAGGCCAGATGACACCGTCCCATTGGGGGCCATCTTGACGCTGCCCATTGGTAGGAAACCCCTTGACATTACCGTTCCAGGCGAGATTTGAGCCGCCAAGACATGTCAGGGGTTTGCTGGCCGACGAAGCGATCTCCTGCTGCCATTCCCGAGAGCCCACAACTTTCTGCGGTCAGCGTACCAGTGACAAACAGGTTAACATCGACATGCCTCAGGAAATGCGGGGAGGTTCTGCGCTAATGACACAGAATCCGCGTAATAAATTACCAAAACCTTTTCATATTGACACTCTCTCAACGTCCTTCATCTCACCATTCTTCGAGCTGCCTAAGTATGCGCAGTTTATCGCTGTCACTCGGCCCGCCAAGTTCTATAGCAACGGCCTTCCTTCGGATTCAAGCCGTAGCGGCACGGTGTGGCTGAAGAGAAACGGGGACAACAAGATGATATGAAGCTCAAGAGACTCCCCCTCGGGCCCCGACAGCCACCACAGCACCGGCTGTGGCGTCTTTTCACCGAAGAACTTGACACTATTCCACCTTTGGTTCCTCTCATCCGCGTCTTAGCCTTTGATCAACACCCGGTGACGGTGGTGAACCACGCCCCTCTGCTGCTCAAACCCAGTGATCCACGTTTTGCAGCATTCAGTGTTCGGAAACACGGTCGGCATTTGGTAAGGTTAAGCATGAAGGAAGAAGGCCACCCCTGGGCCCGGCTGGTGCCCCTGGACGAACCCAGCACGAATCTCGCGACTGTACTGAGTGCATGCTGCAGGCCCCAGTGGCCCCCTCCGGCTGGGACGGCCTAGGGGAGGGCTCGAGCCTCGAGCAAAGTCTGGATCTCTGGGACCCTTGGAAGCTCTGGCCAGTCGTCATCTTCCTTCGCCATGTTTCGTGGAAGCGAGGCACGAACCGAGGCATATTGCCCTGCAGGGGTTCCTGGGTCGCCCGACCAATAGCTTCATTCAGCTCTTGCTCCAGCATCCAGCTCCGAATGACAGCTTCCTAGCGTTGCCACTAGATACGATGGCTCGGGTCGACCTCATCGAGAATAACGAGAAATCGGACCAAAGGGACATGATGTTGATAAGACTGTTGGTATCTTTACCCCGAGAAGAGCTAGAAGACGAAGAGAACTTTCGATCCGTACAGACACCGTTCCAAAAAGCTGTGCGTGCCCCCCCCCCCCCGCTTCCGCCACCTTTCCCCCTTCCCCGAAGCCACTAAGAAGAGACTTGTTCCAAGCGTGAAGCAAATAGGAAATTCAACCGTTGATAGAACGCCTTCGCTCGTCTAAAACCCGCTAAACCACATCATGCAACCTGGACACGCACAGAAGCCGCTATAATCCTCCAAATCCTTTGACAGGAAAATTGAAGTTGACGTGGTGGACTTCGGTTTTCATACCGCCCGTGTACGCCGACTTGTCCGCCGCGCGACTGGCCTCGAGCCCCGTCCACCCGATCGCCGCGACGAATGTCCTGCCGATGCTGTCGCCGGAGGATGAGGTTGGCGGGCACAAAGAGTACCCGCTTGCCACGCCGTTGCAGCCCGGCATCCTGGATGCTCGTTCAATCACCTCGCGCATTCTGTTTTCGGATTCTCGGCAGTCTTCGAAACTTAGGGTTTCGACGATGGGGGAGTTGATGACGGCGTGTGGTGCGTAAGGCTTGAATCGGAGTAGGTATGCCGCGGGCTCGCCGTCTAGTACGGGCGCGAACCGGGCCATTGCTTCGGCGAAGTCTTTCGATCTCCGCCACTTCTCGCACGCATCCGGACTGACCCAACCTATTTCGAGACTCCAGTTATTAGCCATTAAAGCTGAGCTAGATGAATTGGCCCGGCATATTGTCACGTACCGATGATGAGCTCAAGCTTCTGTTGGTCCTCAGCCCATGGTCCCCATCGCGTACGAAGATATCCTGGCTGCTTGCTCAGAGTCTGGAGCATAAACTTAAGCTGCTCCTTCCAATTCTCAACGCCGCCCAAAACAGGAATGGTTACCCGCTCGGTGACGGCATTGGCGAGCTGGGCTGGATCCATCACTGATGTATGCCTAGGTTCTGCTTCGGTGAAGATGTTCTTTGCTCGGGCCTTTCTCTTTAACCAAGGGATCTCGATAATGCTAAATTGGCACAGGTGCAAATGACTTGAAGGTTGGATTATAAATGCTACTAAATCCGCTTGGAGGTCCGGACCTCACACTAATGTAATATTGATTTTGGCCGGCTTTCCCTCTTGCTGTCTTGAGCAGGCAACCCTAATCTTAAATAGCCGTTCTTCAACGGAAGAGCTGGAACACCCAGAGGATATCTGCTACCAAGGTCACAAGCCAAGCTTTTGGATCAAGGGTGATGTGGGATGGATGACGTTTCCGTATCAGCAAGTGCGGTGTTCGAGTTCGCCCGACGTTGTGGTAAAGCAAGATTCGGAACCAGGCGATGGGTGTTGAAAAAGGCCGTCGGCCGTATCTTTGCACCCGTCCACCCAACTTGAAAATCACTTCAGGAACCCCCGACCAAAGCTTCCATAGGTTCGCATCCATCAAAAGAGCCTCGCTCGGACCTCGCAATCGCAACAACAGCTATCAGTCACGGCGTGTCATTTGGGGTTGGGTGTGCCCCAAGCTTCTCGTGAACCAACAGAATCCCAGAGCGGGAAGTCTTCTAGAAACACCCGGCACCTCCGTTCCGTGACCGCATCGCCAACTGCGGACGGCCGATGCGAGATTTCTCCAACTGCTCCTCCGGGGAGACGTGTACCCCGACCTATCCGCGCCTTTAGGGCTGGCAACTCTGGTTGTGTCAAGCACGCCATTGGGGCGTCTGGCAGTTTGGGAACAAGATGTAAATGATCAGATGACGGAATTTCAAGGATAAATGTCTACGAGATTGCGGTCGCCTCGGACAAGCCGGGCGAAGGGAAAGCTGACAAGAGCCTGGCCGGTAGCCAATGTCCGTGGGGTAAAGAGAGCAAATGGCTCTCTGTTTCGTTTCATGGTGCGTCTCCCGAGGCAGCGGTAAGACACTGTCAAGGCTGCAGCCGCATCTACAACTAACGACGGGATCGGGTGTCTGTGTGAAGGTTATGTCTTCCCGTCAGATAGCGTTTCATGACAAGATTCCTCTCCAACAACAAGTCCGCCCGTTCCGCACCGTCGCCTTACGAACCCGCGAATCATCACAAACATCTTCCACGGAGGAAGCAAAAGCTGGGTGGCCTGTCGCATCGTAGCTCTATTCCGGTAACTGGCTGACCCAAAACGTCTTCACTACGTCCGCCACGTCAAGTTTGACAGAGTTCCAAACTCACGGTCCTTCTCAATAGTCGTACACTACGGCTCAGACCACTGGGCGCCACGCTTCTACGGACGGCAGCGATCTACGCCGAACGCTTCACAAGCCACATTGTGAACAGCATTGCCCCTCGAAACAGTGATTCCTCTATGATCAATCAACCTGTCGTATCAGGCAGCTGTCCGTAATGAACTGATGGTCCATTTGGCGAAACGAAATTTTCCATTCTCCGTTGACACCCGCCACCTGCTATGGAGGTTCGCCCTTCCTGCTGGTAGACTTTCTACTCGGATGGGTTCGGATTCCAGTCTCGAGTTGCAGTTCGCTCTCGCGGAGGCATCCCGGGGTGCTGACCCGAATTGGGCCCGGCACGCGCGACGGACCACCGGAGCTGGGCATTTTCAACTTCGCGAGCTATGCAACAGAACTCGCAACGCCGGCGGTGGAGCAGCCGTACCACACGGTCGGCATCTAACAGTAATCCGTCAGGCATGGTCTGCATTGTCGGCACGGTTTATCGGAGAGCTCGCAGAGGCAATATGTCACATCATGAAAGGTATTAAATGACCTCTGTTCTCTCGGACCAAGTTAATATAGTCTTTCTCATACAACAAGCCATCAATACATCTTGATCTCCATTTTAGCGATACGTTTGGTGATTAAAAGTGCCCTTACTCCAGGTATTGCATTTAATCAGCCCCATACCAGATCAGATCCGGCAAGATGGCGCCTATCCCGGAACCCATCGCCCTTCCACCAAACTTCACCAACGAGCTGTTCCAAAAGTTCATCATCCGCGCCCAAGAAATCTGCGGCATCGAGAATGTTCGCGTCATCCCCAAAGACAAGCCCCTAGAGGGCGACTCATACCTCAACCAGCCCAAATCACACGATCACTTCCCCCTCTACGAGAAGACCAGGTTCGTCGCCTCGGCCGTCGTCATGCCCCGCCACGTCCCGGACGTCCAGGCCCTCGTCGCACTCTGCAACGAGCTCGTCATGCCCGTCTGGCCCATCTCCCTCGGCCGAAACTTTGGCTACGGCGGCGCTTCCCCACGCGTTCCCGGTTCCGTGGTCATGGACCTGGGCCACCACATGAACCGCATCCTCGAAGTCAACGTGGAGGGTGCGTACGTCCTTCTCGAGCCGGGCGTAAGCTTCCGGGATCTGCATGAGTACCTCGAGAAACACAACCTCCGTGAGCACCTGTGGATGTCGGTGCCCGTCGGCCAGGGTTCCGTCCTCGGCAACGCTGTGGAGCGCGGCGTCGGTGCCACGCCGTACGGTGACCACTGGGGTATGCACTGTGGCATGGAGGTCGTTCTGCCGAACGGAAAGCTTGTGCGCACCGGAATGGGTGGCGTCCCTAACCCCAACGCGGACACGAGCCTGCGACCTGATGAGCAGCCTGGCTGCGAGACATGGCAGCTCTTCAACACGGGATACGGACCTTACAACGATGGCCTCTTTTCTCAGAGCAACCTTGGTATCGTGACAAAGATTGGCATGTGGCTGATGCCCAACCCAGGAGGCTACCAGCCGTACGAGATCACCTTTGAGAACGACTCGGATCTGCCAAAGGCTGTTGACATTATCCGTCCATTGCGCCTGCAAATGGTGTTGCAGAACGTTCCTTTCCTTCGTCACACTCTGTTGAACGCCGCGCACTGCGGGCCGAAATCCAAGTACACGGACAAGCAGGGGCCATTATCAGAGGAGGAAGTTGATGGGATCGCAAAGAAACTCGACATGGGCCGATGGCAGCTTATCGGTGCCGTGTACGGACCTAAGCCTGTTCGCGATGTCCTTCTTAGTGTTATCAAGCACGAGTTCCTCTCCATCCCGGGCTCGAGATTCTTCCTGCCAGAGGACCGCGCACGAGAGAGTCCTCTCCGCGCTCGTGAGCTGCTAATGCAAGGTATCCCTACCGTAGAGGAGTTGAGGTGTCTTAAGTAAGTCTTGTTCCCAAAGCTTACTCTACCCCATGTCAATGACTAACACTGTTCCTAGCTGGCTTCCTAACGGTGGCCAACTCTTGTGGGCCCCGATCTCCAAGGTGTCCGGCGAGGACGCAAAGAAGCAACACGATGTAGCCAAGAAGCTCATCACCGAATTCGGCTTCGATTACCTCGGCGCCTTTGCCGTCGGCATGCGAGAGCTGCGTAAGTATTCCGTCTGAATGAGCATCTCATTTCATGTTACGATGCTGCGAGATAAAACACAAGTGACTGACCCTATTTACCTTAGACCACGTAATCGGTATCCCCTACCGCCTCGATGTGCCCGACGACGTGGAGCGCATCAGGAAGTTGGCGCACAAGCTCATCAAGGAGACGACGGCGCACGGCTGGGGTCAGTTCCGCGCGCACACGGCGCTCATGGATCCCGTCGCCGACGCCTTCAATTGGAACGACAACGCGCAGATGCAGCTCAACGAAGCGATCAAGAACGCGCTCGATCCCAACGGCATCATCGCGCCTGGTAAGAACGGCGTGTGGCCTGCGAGCTACGACAAGAAGAAGTGGGTGCTGGACGGCAACTGAGTAATCCGAATGAGGATGCTTTTTGCTCTCAAGCTCCCAACGCGTCCCACTCTCCCGCCTCCTGCCTTTGAGTCGGAGCAGCAACTCGTAGTGTAATGGAGAGTTGTGGGGATGACGACTGGTTGCACGGTGACGCTGAGATGATGCTGTCGATTTCGACTGCACCGCAGAGTGTAGAGGAGGTCCTGAAATTTGAACCGGTACCGGAACTGCGGCAACTAGTTGGATAGAGTGTGGCGTAACGGATCTGGCATTGGTGTATGGCACGAAGTTGTTGCTGGAGTTAGCTAGACTGAGACTAATTGAAGATGGAATTCTTTATGCGCTGTTGCTCACACCAGTATCCAACTACGTCCATGATATCTACGATTACCATATCATGAAAAGTCAACCCTTGCACGCCATACTTTAATAGCTTTTGGAAAGTCCGGGAACAAACCTCTAGGACAAGGGTCCGGAGCTTAAGTTCCGGCAGCTGCATCCGGACATCCTGCCGTGGAATTCTGGTGTTGGTCAATGTCTCCTTCCAATATAGATCCTTCGGATCAAAATGATTAGCTCATGCTACCCCATAGTTCATCTCATCGATTGACTTCCCGTCTTTCCCACATTACGAACTGCGGGATGACTCTTGGCTTCGTGGCACAAAGAGCCTCATCCGCCTAATGTAAGCGTCATCGGTGCCGGCCGTACCCACTCACGGCCCGGAGCCATTTCTCCACGCGGCCCATCCTTGATGTGGTACGTCCAACCCCGAGCTTACCGGAGACAACTCCGTTAGACGTTTCTGACGTCTGACTGATGGCAAGAGTGGTTTCTTTTCACTTCAGAGCAAGTTTCTTCTCTATGGTAAGCTAGAAACGCGCCGTTGGCGGCCCACGCTGGGCTAGTCTTTGTGCAGACTCAGTGAAGCCGGCACTGGTCTCTCGCAATACCATGGCTGATGACGGCAGGATTACAGCCAACGACTCGGAGCCCACGTGTTATTTGCAATTGCCGCTCAAACTTCGGGACTATGGCCCAGGATGATGAGAAATCTCAAAATCCATGAACTCATCTCGAGAGGCGAGTCCTTCGCCTAATCCGACTTCCGAGTTCGGAACTACGATGGCTTAATGGTTGATTTCGATGAGTTTGGTCAGATATGTCGCGGTCATTCGCTAATAGAAGTGCCGAGTGCCGGAAATTGGTTCAGATCTTGTATAAGAGCGAGCCCACGATCATTCCAGCAGAGAAATGAATGACTAGGCATCCCCAACATCTCGACACAACAGAGATTGAAAGCTTACACACAATGGCACCAAGGAGCATGTTCGGCCTGCTCGCCCTGGCGTCCGGCGCATATGCTGTGCCTTTCGTCTCCCAGCCACAGACTACCGTTACCTCGGAGCCCACCGTCACTCCATCACAAGTCGCAGTCACCAACGTAACCTCCCACGGTCCCTACACGGGTCCCTCACCAACCACGACTGGTGCGCTCTCAACCAGCATCCTAGCCTCAGAGGTACCGGTACTGCCTCCTCCAGACGATGCCTACGACTACCCGGCGGACGGCAAGCTCCATGGAGACCAGCCCGCGCCGTACACACCTTCAGGCGGCATTGGTACCAACGGCTCAGCCCCGGTCTACCGCGTCCAGAGCGACTTCGACTACCAGTCCCTCGCCCTAGCGCTCTACCAGGAGTACATCGAGCTCGACCTCTTCCATTGGGGCCTTGCCACCTTCTCCGATGAAGAGTTTGAGGAACTCGGTCTGAATGCTGAGGACCGCTACCTCCTACAGTTCATGGCCGAGCAGGAGATTGGCCATGCCACCGTCATCACAAACATGCTTGGCGCCCAGGCACCGAAGCAGTGCAGCTACAACTACCCCGTCACCAATCTCCGGGAGTACATCGACTTCAACCAGAAGCTCACTCGGTGGGGTGAGTCCGGAGTCTACGGGTTCCTGCCGCATCTCAACTCTGGTCCGGCAGCCCAGCTGTTGCTGCAAAGCATCACGACCGAGGCGCGTCAGCAGATGATCTTCCGTCAATTCGAGGGCTTGTTCCCCATGCCCGAGTGGCACATCCCCGGTATTCCGCAGAGTTGGGCCTGGACACTCCTGGCCCCGTATATCTCTAGCTGCCCGGCAGACCAGACCCGTCTCATCTGGCAGAACTTCCCCGCCCTCCACATCCTGAACCAGCCGAACCCTTACCGCATCAACGGTTCCAACGTCTGGAATGAGACTACCGGCGGCTGGGCGAACACCGCGGCGACGACGAACATCACCGATACTGAATCTTGTGTCAACGCCACGGATCCCCTCCAGGACTGCAATGCGGCCATCACCCAGAACCGCACAATGCCCCTGTCATACCCTGGTCGTCAGGTCTTTTTTCAATGGGACGCTCCTGGCCAGGCAGTTGGTCCTAACAACAGTTACATCACGGCGACTAACGTTGTGGAGCCGAAGTTCGCTGCCTGGGTGTCTCAATTGAACGTCACTTTCTCGCCCCTGCAGAACATTAGCCTCGAGTCTCGTACTGCGTACACCATCCAGCCTAATGTTTCAACGTGGGAGCATGATCCCGCCATTAACTCGACCATGTTTGTTGCTCTTACGGATACTGACATGTATGTCACGGCTCACAACCTGACCATGATCAATCCGCATGTTGCCGCGCTTGCTGTGTACCAGGCTGGCTAAGTAGATTGGGTGGCAGGCATGCCGAGAGATACTAATCGCTTCGAATGCTGCGTCTGTCGAAATCCAAGATACCTAGAAGGGACACTTTAATGCCATAGTTAATAAACCTACAATGTTAATGACGAGTTATTCCCAAGAATTGCGACATCTGCAAGTGAAAACATTTTAAACGAATGCATGTTTTGCGATATCAATCGATAAAACGATGCTGATTGGCATTCAATTGCTCGCCTAAAATCATAATAGTTTCGTGACGCGTCGTATATATCTCGTCGAATCCAAATTCGCCAGTGAATGCTTTTGCAGAGCAAATGATGATTCACGCATAGACACCAATTGGACCTTATTGCCTTTTCTCTACCAGATGCAAGTCTACTTGTATAGAACCATGTCGGGGAGGGCTAATTTAGAGCTCGTTGTGCTCCTGGCCATCGGCGTCAGAGTCGGCGACAATGGTCTTGACAACATCGGCCGCCTCAGCGACCTTGCTAGCGACCTTCTCGGCAATGCCCTCAGTCGCAGACTCGACAGCCTCGCTGGCAGCCGAGGAGGCCTTGACAATGATCTTCTCGGGCTTGGGAACACCGTCAATGCCGACGAGCTCAGTCTCGAAGACTGGTTACGACACCAGTTAGCAGAGCTTTTAAATAGCAGGCGTAATAGTTCATACCAAGAGTCGAGCCGCCGGGAATGGGGCCCATGCCGCGGGGTCCGTATCCAAGCTCCGGGGGGATGGTCAGGGTTCTGCGAGGCGTCAGTAACGATTGGTCTCTGGTCATTGAGTGTCCCAATGCTTACCTCTTCTCGCCAATGCACATGTCAAGAAGTCCTTGCTCCCATCTGTACCATTGTTAGTCTCGGTAGCAGCTTCCTACGTCTCTCGTCGAGTCGATCGGTTATGGAGGAACTAACCCCTTGATGACCTGGCCACTGCCAATCTTGAAGCTGAAGGGGGTTCCGCGGTCGTAGCCTTTAAAATTGAGACATTAACTTTGTTCGAGAGCTCTCAGTAGAAGCATGGTAACCTACTGGCATCGAATTGCTTGCCATCGGCCTGCAGAGTACCGCGGTAGTGCATGGTGAGCTTGTCGCCATTCTTGGTCTTGCGGTCGCACTCGACCTCCTGCGTGACGTCGATCTTCAGGTCAGCAGCAGCAACGAAGCTGACGGCGCTGGAGGCCAGAAGGCCGAGAGAAAGAAGGAGACCCTGCATTGTGTCTGTTTTGAGAAGGGCGAGGCGAGAATACGGTGATGAGGGTGATGGTAAAGTCGTGAAGGTGGGCGGTCAATTGGTCGGACTGGAGGGGAACAACACAGCTGCTGGCTGGCAAACAAGGAAGACAGCTGCAGGGAGGGGCCACCAGACTGCCACACATTCGCCAGGAGTGGATTGAAGACACGCCGCCTTAACTTCTCCATCCCCCGATTGGCCAATCTTAACGGCCGGAGCTTCAGGTCCTTGTGGCCCGAGTGTGGACCCCTTTCAAGATATTCCGGGGCGAACGATACGTACCTGAGGTACCTACCTTACCTTACCTTACCTTATCCCCAAGCTCGGTCTTATCGATAGCCCCAGCTTGCTTATCATGGCGATCCACCCCCACGAAGCTAAGGTACCTTCACTCCCTCAACTCAAAGCCAAGTCCTCCCAGCTGACACCCTTGGATGACGTCAAGCTACTAAAAGGCGATGCTCTTCTCCCATCATCCTTCCCTTGCTTGGTGACGATGGTGGAAATCTCACACAGCACCTGAGAGGGCGTCGACAGCCTCGCAAAATCTATGTCAAAGACACGAATTCCGCGTCAGCCGAGTCTCCCGGGGATCCATGACTACGCGCGCCGCCTCATATATCTGGCAATTAGGTGTCGTCGTTTCTTTTTCCTATGGGTCTCGGCGTCGTGGTTAGCAGCAAGCGGGTAGTAGTGCTGGACGTACTGTTGTCATCATGGCCAAGGCAGAATCCGCTCCAACGGCCCAAACCTCGAATACGAGATGTTGAGGTATGGCGACGACACGGGGGGCAAAGCATATGGCCGCCTTCCCTTACATCAGCTACCTAAGATTGGCCATTCAAGTCCCCCATGTGGGCGACCGCGAAGTCTCCATTCACTGCCACAGTAAGTGTATTTGCTGGTCATCATTATGGACCTGCCGGTAGGGCTTGATACGCATGTATCGAGGTTGAAAGGTAAGCCAGCACTGAGGGGTTGACTAGTCTGACGATCAGGGACTTGAATATCCATGGACTTAATGGCTCGAACCATGAGCCTACCTATGAATGATTCTCATCATTTCCCGGGGAGATCTGGCGACAAGCTGCCCTATGTTCTAAATCCCTTGCGAGCGTGGAAGCAAAGTCTTCCATTGTAGTGCCTCGAACTCTACTCCCAATCTTTTCTTCACCGAGGACGCTGTCTTCCGCGATATCACGAAACACTCCTGCAGCTCCCTGGAATAGGCCGGGGGCAAACCCACCATCTTCGGCGTGAGTTCGGGCTATCTCCTCCATCTCGAATACCCAGCGGTATGCTTTGGGAGGCGTGACAATAACACCGCTCTCGGCTAGGCGCAAGTGATCTGGGAGACGCAGCTGCAGCTCGTCTTTGAGAACGTCGAGCAGGCCGAGTCGCTCAGCTGTGGTAAATCCTTGTGCGGCAACTGCGATGTACCCCTTGAACATGGTTGTGTAACACATCTTCAGTCCGCTGGCAGCTCCCACTTCGCTGCCCACATAGCGCATGTTCAGCGCCGCATATAGCCTCTGCCCGTGATAGGGCAGATCAGTGATGTGATGAGGACCGGAAATGGGGATTCGGGGCTGTACCCATCGACCAGGGTTGTGCTCAACATCGCTCGCAGCCGTCGGAGGTGTGACGGTCTGCAGCCCTACGTCGCTTGTCGGGACGAAGACGGGGGGCTCTCCTAGGATTGAGCCGTCGATGAAGCGAGCACTGTGCTGGACCGAGGTGAAGAGTTGGGCTATCCCTCGAACCGTTGATGGCGCAACGGCGTTGAGATCTATGAAGTACAAGGGCCTACTGGGCCGCGAACCTCGGGTGGCAAGTTCGCGTAAGGCGTCCACCACTCGCCGCGCCGTTTCTAGCGCATCTCTTGGGGGCCGACTGAGAGGACAACCGAAGCTTCTCTACAAGCTCAATATCGGATGCTAGGACTTCCACCTTGGCTTTTTCAGCTCGCTGTATGGTAGCTAGACTGATACACGAAGCAGCTGGGTCAGATCTGACTGGAATCGAGTTGTAGATAAGTCGTCTCACGAACCTTCTGCCACGTCCGCTGGTGCCAACATCAAACCCGTGGGCCTTGAGAAGCTTCGCGATACCCGCGCCCATATCCCCAATAGAGAGTATGCCCACATAGTTTTGTTGCGGTGTCGAGTCCATGATCACGGGCGATAGATTAATTCAAGTGACGAACTTTAGCTATTGCCGGATGGTTTACCGCTTGATACTTAAATGTCCCGATTTACTAATTGGACTCCATGGTACGTTACATCCTACCTCCCAGCAATCAACGGCTGAACATTTATGCGGTTGCAGCAAACTTCGTTCTCGGTTACGATCAAGATTGGCTGACAGCATACGGTACTCGCGCCCTACTGACGCCCTAATAGTGCCGTCGCTCCGAATCTGCGTCCTTACTGCCTCCAACTCACACTTATCACGTTAACACCTCTCCTCTGCATCATGTCGGGTGTAGGATAATAGAGGGACCGGAAGATAATTCTCGCTTCGAGTGAATCTCCTCGAGCTCCAACCTCACTTCTGGGGTCGTCGGTGAGAGTCGGCAAGGCCTTCGAGGAGGTAATGATGTTGAGACGTGTGGCTAGCACGTGTGGCGCCCAAGGTGTGGCTTATAAGCCTGTCGTGCTGTGGCTGATGCCCAGCCAATTCTCGTTGTAGGTCTGCTGGCGGGTGCCTGGTCCAGGTGCTTTTTCCGTTTCTCCTCCACACGTCAGTCCGTCAGACTTCAGTCACCAAGCAATTGACGACTAGCCATGCTCCGCCCACATCAAGATGCCATCCGCCTTGTGCTGCGTACCTGTCAGACTGGCAACTTTCAACTGGCGATTCCGCATCCACTACTGCAAATGGGGGTACACACCGGATCAGGATCACGGTGATTCCGCGCAAAATGGGTACTTTGCCTACCCGACAGTTGCATCGATGCAATATGAGAGACGACGAAAGATGCGCTAAGCGGAAGCTGGGCAGGCAAGCCATCGGCGGTAGCTTTGCATGATGTCTCTTTTTGCACATTTGAAGGCTGTCGACGCTGGGTAGCAGCAGTAGCAGCAGTAGCAGCAGCAGTTGCTTCGTTGCTCTGTCGTCCCCTCTCTGCCGGCCTGACACGACACAACAGAGGAAGATCGGACTCACTTGTCGCTCGGCCTCCAATGGGCGATCAAATCATGCAGCTCGCCCTATCGCCCTGCCCATTAGAGGCATGAACACCTCCACTCGGCAGAATGATCACCATTGCTGCAGACTCCCGCGATCTTTCTCTGGCACTTATTCTGCAGGCAATTTAGCTACTGCAGCCAGATCGCTACTACTTTCATATCTGACGCTTGCTCAAGGCCACCATTGACCCGATCGGACGGATGCGATGGAGGCCAGTTGGGTCGCAGTCTGCATAGCAGGGGACGCCCCTTGTCCGCCTCCAAAGACATCAGGCTCTATCCGATCTCTCTGGCCCCTTGGAGGCCCAACTCGACCGGCTTCCAGACACACAGACATTTCTTGTCTCCGGCGGATGGTCCCGGCTGAGTGGAAACCAGAGTGACAAGAAAAAAAAGGAAGCAAAATTACACTGGCAACCCGAGGATCATCGGGCCATGAGTTGGGCAGCGACAGTCCTCCGTGAGCCAGGGGCTATGCTGGTACTGATACCTTCTTGACTTGAGACTCGAGCAACAAGAGCACAGAAAAATCTTTTCATCCTGCGTGCCATGCCAGATTTGGCCGACACGGCTGAGAAAGGCCTCCCGATCTGGCAGGCTGGCACACACTTGCTGCACGGCGGCGAAGCGCTTACGGGGGCCAACCAAGGCTGGCAGTCTCACGAGTCCCTGAAGATGGGCGACGACAGCCAAGTTCCTGCAAGGCCTTGGCTGCTCTGCGTTTTTTTTCTACTTCTGCCGCGAAATCACAGGTCTTGGCCCCCAAAGCTGAGCAGCCACAAGACTGCAAAAGACGGCCCTTACGCGTCGCCGCTTGGTCATAGACATCAGGCTGGCGTGGAATATGGCATCACTGATCAGTTGTTGAGTCTGGACGTCTCGAAGCTGCGAATGAATGATGACAAACTGTGTCAATGATACATACGGCGGCTAAGGGTGGACGCAGGTGAAAGCGGGCATACCTACTACAACATCCAAGCAGGGCGAGACACAGCGGCAGTCCTGTCAATCATCGCCCTGAATCCGCCCTACCTGCGTCGTCCGACCATGCCTCGTCCAATCAACCATGACGTTTCGCCACCGAGGCATCAAGGGAGGGATCCTTGGGATGTACTGCTTCTCCTGATGCTGCAAGTCCTGCTGCTACCAAGCATGGCCCCAAAGGACTTTGGCGTTGTTTGGTCGGAACTGTGGTAGTCTGGTAGGACTTCATAGACGCACACGCGCAGCGTCCTGTCGTCCAGTCCCGAAAGATGCTACAGGCCCGCCAACCGCACCCTTTTCTGGTTTCCACAGCATCTGCAACATCACAACAGCCCTCTTCCCTGCTTTCCTTGGTAATCCATGGACTTTGTTACTTCGGACTAAACTACTCTAGTTTCCCGTGCCTAACGTCCCTGCATTTTGAAGGGCCCTGAAATGACAAAGCTGCCCAATGGATTCCCAGTCGCCTTGCGACACAGGCAGAACAGGACACACACTCACACACACACACACACCACAGACTCTCAAGTCTAAACGCACACGCCCGGCCCTTCTTACACTATGGTCAGCCCCAAAGCTTCCAGGGCTATCCCCACACTGCCTCACACCTCGCGCCTGGGCTGGCACCTCTACTCTCATACCAAAGTCTGCTTTCCAAGCAATGCTTTCCAAGGTCCAAGGTGCAAAGTTAGTCGGGCTGAGGTTGAGTCACTCAATCTTTGCTTCGCCTACACCACACACCACCCAGCAGCGAGACATTCCACAAGGCATTTATTCCACTTGACCCGGTCCAGGTCCCGGTCCATGTCCAGGTACCTTTCTCATGGCCAGGCAGGCCAAACCTTTTGCGGGCCTTTTCTTCTCCTGTCTCTTCTTTCTCTCTGCCGTACCGTACACCCCGGGGACCAAGCATGCCCTGCCTACGGCAAGTGCTGATGGCACACGCGTTCGAGTATCCGTACTTACAAGTGTACATACAAAGATGATGGAGGCATCCCAGGTCTGGGTGTGGTGTCTGCAAACACCTCCCATCTATATATCCTGCCATGCCCTCTGCCTTTCTTCCTAGACTCGAACATCTTCTTCACCAAACTCTCAAGTCAAGCACTTGTCAACCAAACTTCACAAAGACCATACCAGCTCAACTTTCTTCAACAGACACATCACCTTTGGAGACCAACCTCCTTTACCATACAACACAACACAACACACAACTCGAAACCCAACTCGAGTAACACAGAACACACCATGGCCTCTAGATACAGCTCCTCTAAGCCGGTCGTCCACCAGGCCCCGGCCTCCATTAGCAGCGCCTACTCGGCATCAACGGGCTCCTACGCCTCATCAAGAGGCTCCTCCACCCCTCGCTCCATCTCCCCCAGCGACGAGGCCTACCTCCGTGTCTACGGCGCGGACCAGCACCGAGCTGCCATCAAGGAGAACAGCGGCGTCACCATCATCAACCGCAAGCAATCCGGCTACGACGCCCACGCCCCATCACCACACTACGGCGGCGGATACTCGCGCCACTAGAGTAAGCGATGCCGATGCGACTCTTACACTTTTCAACGACAACACATCAACTACTTCACTTTGTAAATGCATAAAGACTGGCGTTATTTGGGGGAATATCGGGCATAAGCAACTGGGCGGCTTCGCACTCCTGTACAGCATATTGTAACACCGTGATTGGCCCGCGGAACAGCATTGGGAATTTTACGGGATGCATGGATGATAATGGGGACACATGGGAATTTGGTATTTTGGGAACACATCCCAAGGATGGATAGGAGCTTGATACCTTGTATATGTTTCTATGTCGTACCGGCGGATGGGACGGGAGCCACTGTCATGTCTAGATTAGATGGATGGGGTTTTTTGTGTTTTACGAGATAACCACTGGATCTGCGACACTTTTGTGCTCGCTCTGTATCCGTAGATTGATGGTATCCTGTCAAATTCTTCAACAAACTATTACAATTTCTTTGCACATTTACCATCTAGCCTATCACCAATAAGTGACTTGCATGTGTCCTTTTTCTCCGGCCGGTCCTTTCTCCTCAACCCAACCATAAGCTCGGTGTGCCTGCGTAATTGTCCCAAATGGGGAATTAGAAATTTTTGTCTTTCTGTAACCCACCAGTGCGCCCGCCTCATTGTCTCTGAACCCAAAAAGTCAAAAGCGACGAGGGTTTGGAAAAGTGCGGAAAAATACCAAAGTTTCCACGCACACGGCCGGCCCAGCGATCATGTCCTAAGACTGATTGATTCCCCTGAGGAAAAGCAAACGTTTACTTGCAGAAAGGGGTCTAGACTGGAGGGTAATCAAGACAAGGCAAGGAAAGGTGTCGCTGCATTAACCCCCCCCCCCCCCAAACTGGACTTCTTTCAGGGGAAGGGGAGCCCATCCCAGTGTACAAATACTCCGTAAGATAGGTTAAGAAAGGCATGTCAAAGTCCCTGATTGATTGTGGTCCCCCAGGCCAGCGCTGCTGCAACTGCAAGGGGCGGGAGCGACGGCAGGACGGCAGTCCGAGTGCAGAAATGCGACAACGGGCCATACCATGGAGAAATAGCAAGAAAAGTTGGAGAAAGGGGATGGGGCGCGGTACCATGGCCAGCATAGCTTGGTCCAGTCCAGACTGCAACTTCAGACCAGACCAGGCTGGCTGTGGAGGCAGTGAACGTTGAGACTGTGATGACCTGCGTTGTTTCTCTCTCTCCTGAAGGCTGAGCCCCATCTGTCTTTCCTCCCTGTATCTCTCGTGGGATGACTTGCGTGTGTCTTCGTTGACTCGCAGCCTAACCTTAGGTAAGATGTCATGCACCATGAGCGCGGGATGGGTCGGAATGTGATGTGCCTCAACTATTTCCACCAGCGGTACAGGGGACCTTACCCTGAAGTTGAAAAGAAGTATTTACCTTGGGTAGTACCCCTCCTCCTGGGCTGGAGATATACCAGTCTATACGCCTTCTTCATTTTTCTTGTTGCCTTCCGAACTGTCGCCGGTTGGGGAATAGTTCCCATGTGAATTGGGAAGGTAGGTACCTGTCTGGGGATGATGGAGGAGGGCTCCAGTGCGGCTGGCTGCTGTGTGGCACGCCAATACTCCAAGAATAGAAACAGAGAACCCCCAAGAAAGACCCTTGGATTCCCATTGCCAACTCGTCTCCACCGACAAGAGCAGGCTTCAATCGCGACAAGGCTGTGGGAAACAGGTTGATGACTTCTTGATGCATGCATGTCATTATCATCTCCGTTTCTGATGGCAATCCGATGCGTGTTTTGTTTCTTTCTTTTATGATTATTTTCGGAAGCCAAAGTTCCCGTTTGGCTCGTTATCCACCAGAATGCCCTCACAAGGAAACAACTAAACTTGGTTTTGGCTCTTTTCTGCTGTTCGTAGACTCATTCATGGAAGAGTGCAGATCCTCCATATCATAACCGCGGTACCGAATACCAATAATCCTACATCGTATCTCCACACTTCCTTAATGTGCATCATCCTCCACCATGTTCGCCTCAAACTCGTCGCTGCGCGAATGAACGACGAGACGAGTGATCAAATACCGTCGAGAGACTCATCACGTCGAACTCACGCGCCACCCTCGCGCTTGGCGTACTCGTCCTCGATGGCCTCGGCATACTTGTCGTCGGCGCTGCGAGGGTCCTCCTTCAGCACGCCCTCCTTGATGAGATCCTCGGGGGCGGGACGGTGGGAGATCTTGTCGTTGAGGGAGTCTGCACGCATGTGCTTCTCAAGCTCCTTCTGGTGGGCGATCAAGCTAGGCGCGGCGTTGGAGGCGGGCAAGATGTTCTCTGTTGAAAGCTCACTTAGCATGTTACCATCGTATCAGTGCCAATTCGGGACGAGGCGGCGTAGATTCCCCGGCTATGCGCAGCAGGCGCATAGAGGGTGGGGTTTTTCTTCCGAACAATTCGAGGTGATCCCGGTTTTGATGATCGGCGGGTGAGGCGGACGGTGGGGCGCGACAGACGGGAAGATGTGGAGGGGGTACGCATCGAATAGGGGAAAGAAAACAGGAAATCGCGACAATAGTGTATACAGGGCAGATTCGAATGGGACGCGGCGTTGGTTGTGATTGCAGATTCAAATGCACATTGAGGGAGGGATTGGATCATGAGATGGAGATTGTGGGAGGGGATTCACGTACTCTCGACCAACTCGGCGCGATCGGGACGGTGTTGGAGGTGGGCCTCGAGCGAGTTCTTGCGCTCGCCGGCGGGGTGGGTGATGGGCGTCTCGTCGACGACGGACTTGGTGTTCTTGTCAGACATGGTTGATTTGTTGGTGGTGTTGATGGTCGGCGGGGGATCTGGTATCTGATGCTCGAATGGGGCGAGCTATGGGCGGGTTCCGGTGAAGCTGGGGTTTACGGACTCGTCTCGCCTTGTTTTTGTCGCGCAGGGTAAGGAACAAGACAGGATTTGCGATTGTTCTGCCTTGGAATGGGAATGACAAGTGGTAAGCGTAGTAGTCAACCTGTGGTTTTCACGATGGAGAACGTGGATAGAGGATGGGAGTCTGGACGCGGGAGGGCGGAGTGTGGATGGGTGCGGATGGTGGTGTGTTTTGTAGTCTCTCCGATCTTCTGCAGTCTGCGTCTGCACACCTTGGACTTGGAAGAGGGGTTGAACTGGAACAGCAAGGCACGTTCACGTCTGGAATAAGGTGGTCGGATGGATGAGCGTATTGGTTGTGGTTGGGGTTGGGTTGGCACAGTTGGTATGGCAATGACAGGAGAGAGGCACATGGGACGGCCAGCAACCAAGGCACCCAAGGTCGATAGAGCAGGAGACACCCGCCCTTGTGGCCTGTTGCTCTTGCCGTCTGCTGGTAAGGTGAGGTGTGACGAAGCTGAGCTGGGGGGAAGGCAGGCGCGAAAGAGGGGTACCCCGCCCTGTAGCTCGCCCCTCCTGGCACTTTCCTGGAGCTGTAGACCCGCATTTCCTGGGCCATTGCATCACAGGTCATCTTATGTAAGGCGGTACGTATCCCAGCTAGACTCCACTTGTGCCTGAGGATGGTCCCAGAGTTTTCAGGCGTGACATGTCACTGGCTGCTCCTCTGAAGCTCCCTCTCCTTCACATCCATCGGGTGCATTGCATGTTATCCCTCTATGATCTTTTTGCATCTGATGTTGCATTCTGGCTGAACAAGCTTCAAGCTGTAAGCTGCGTCGCCTAGGAAACACTAAGCCAGCTCATCATTGTTTGCTTCTGTGGCTTTCAAAACAATGACATTCAACACCAAGTGCATTCCTCATGACCATCGGGAGATGAGACAGCTGCCACTGCACTCGGCCCGCCAGCCCCTGGTGACTTTGAGGGCTGATGACGTCTAGCGCACGGTAATCCATTCTCACCCCAGTCAGAGCACATTTCGACTACCTTAGGCCTTCACTCCTCCGCTGGGCGGAACAGCAGCCTCGGTGATGAGATCATGAGGCCCAGCTCGCCCCTTCTCATCTTACCTCGCTCGCTGGCTGAGTATGCACTAAACAATACGGGTATGGATACCTCGTGATCGGAGCAGGCTTCAGTCGATGACCGACAGCAGTCCACGTCCAAAGCTGCACCATAATCGCAGCGAGCCTGCTTGAGACCCCTCGTCGCTAAACTCAGCCCCATGTGGCTGCTGCTTTGCCATTTGAACCTCTTGGAGTCGCTATCCTCGGATTCCCACGTGGCTACATATTGAGCTTGGAAAGGTTCAACAACGCCAGAAGAATACCCAGGGCCAGCCTGATACTATTCCAGTCAGACCTGCGCCTGCAATCGTTGTATAGCCTTTTTGTCTCTGTATGAGTAAGAGTAAGATGTCCGGATGCTTCGGTGCTGACATGGTAGTCAGGCCAAAGACCGAGGATATGCTCACAAAAGTGAATGCTGCCCAGTACCACAGCGGTATTCAATACCGTATTGATTCGCCGACGCTGCGTGTGGCGCCGTGTTCGACATGCTGCGGCTGTTTCACCGCCCAAGTGTGCGTATGGGTTTTCGGAATCTCTGACTATCGCCATCCGGTAGATGAACTGAGAGCTCACAAATCTGGTGTATTTCCTATTGTTCTTCGTTTCTTTACGTCCACGATTGCTAGCCGTGGGCTTTTCCGACAATGATGCTCCTAAACGCCAGCAGTCTTCAGCTCCATGAGTTCTTCGGCTACAGCATCCCAATCTACGCAATCCTCTCGCACACCTGGGAAGAAGACGAGGTTACCCTGCAAGATATCGCCAGTTCTTCTTATGCTTTTAGGAAGGGGTTCGCCAAGGTCCGCGCATGTTGTGCCCAAGCCCTCCGGGACGGCTTCACCTGGGTCTGGATTGATACGTGCTGCATCGATAAAACATCGAGTGCCGACCTCTCCGAAGCCATCAATTCCATGTTCCGCTGGTATCAAAGCGCGACTGTCTGCTACGTCTACCTGAGCGACCTGCCGGCTCAGAAGCCTGGCCGGCTGGACTACTTGGCATTCAAGTCTACCAAGTGGTTTACGAGAGGCTGGACCCTCCAAGAGCTACTTGCGCCCAGGCTCATCGAATTCTATGACTGCGACTGGAACGAAGTTGGAACCAAGTCCTCCCTCGAGTACCTCTTGCATAACAGGACGGGAATCCGACGTGACATTCTTTCGCACGACACCTCAATATCATCTTTGCCCGTAGCCGAACGCATGTCTTGGGCTTCGAAAAGGAAGACAACGCGACAGGAGGACATCGCTTATTGCCTCTTGGGCATTTTCAACATCCATATTCCACTTTTGTACGGAGAAGGTGATCGAGCTTTCGTCCGTCTCCAGCAAGAGATCATACGCAATTCGGAAGACATGAGCATTCTCCTCTGGACGCAGGTATACCCTCTAAGAGGCCAATCAGGCGTCCTTGCACAAAGTCCTGCCGCTTTCGAAAGAGTTCACCTCTATTTCCCCGGCGATTTACCTGTGCGTGACGCTGAGTTGACTTGGGATGATGTCAAGAGTCTGAAATACCTTCCCAAAGTCTCGCTGAAGTCTGAGGCTGGGTATTCGAACTTCGGAGACCTTGGAGATACCCCGAAGCCGGTACCTCCCACAGTCACAAGCCGAGGTCTGCACGTTCAGCTGCCAGAAGTCTACGTCTCACCCAACACTATCGGGGCACGTTACCTGTGGACTCGATACATCCTCACCCTCTCACGCGATGGATACATCAAAGAGTTCTACTTGTGTATCGAAGTCAAGTGCGTCGACCCGGAGATCGGACTATACGTTAGATCTAACGCAGGCCGTATCCGCGCTATGCCGATCACGGCTAGAATTGCTAATGTGTTTCCCGAGCCACTGTATCTATCAATGGAAACTTCTTATGGTCTGGTCGGGCCAGAAGTTGGCCGCGAAGGTGCTATCGGACAAGCATCTTCCAAGACTTTCAGGATATCCATGGAGGGGAGACACGCCCTTGCGCTTCAAGTCCACAAGTCCGACCCCGCAGGCCAGACATTCAACACCGGCAGTATTAGTCCGAATCGATGGATCTACTACGTTGAGCAACAAAGCATCACGTACATCGTGCTCCGCATTACCGAGACCCTAGACTCCGTTATGAGAACGTTCGTGCGCGATATCGTGGTCGGGGTGCGTCTTGAGGCGGACGGTCGGACCATGACATGTAGTCTAGGGACGGATCAGCCACAGATGCTGGACTTTGTCGAGCACAACGCAGTCGTACATGCTGACTCCTGGCGCAAGATCAAGAACACTTTCAATGGTACTTTGTGGTCTGATCGGTCTTTCCAGATACTCTCGGGACAGCGCTACATACTCGGGGCAGCAGTCAAACCTAGCGAGTCTGGGCCTGTTCTGATCCTTCGAGTTGATGATTGGGAAGCATCGCCTTGAGATTGGAGGGGCGCCATCAAAGAGGACATCGTATTCCAGAGCCAAGTATCAACCAACGCGGTTATATGTATCCCGTTGCTGAGACTGGTTTTGGTTCCTGATGCTATCAAGCCCGCATGCTGTAAAAGTATGCTCTCATGTATTCATTTTGTCATCCTTTACCGGTCCTCCTATGCTGCAGGACTGCCAATTCTCTGAGCTCTATTTAGAATGAGCGCATCCTCGTTTATGGGATCTCCTCAACTGGTGCGAACGACATCGTCGCAGAAGCGAAGGCGCTTCCGGGCCGGCGTGCGCGTGGGCGTAGCGATATGCGAGGCAGCAGGCGAGAGCAGGTGCGACTGCAAGGCGCTCTGAGCGCCTGGTGTCTGCGGGCGTTGCTGCATGTTGATTCTCTGGTTCGTGAGAGCCACGGTGTAGTAGTCGCCGGCAATCTCGGCAAGGTACCGAAGAGCGTAGACGGGGCTCTTGAAGGGCTCGGCCCAGTCGACGAAGATGGGGCGACGGAGGTGAGGGGGCAGAGCGGGCTCGTAGTCGTAGTCACGTTGGAAGACGGGGTTGCCCATGGTATCGTAGAAGCCTCGGAAGCTGTCCAACGTGGAGTCCTACTTCGCACGCTGGTCGAGTGGCACCGCTGATGAGTAGAGCTTGTCGGGGTTCTGGAATAGTGGTATATAGTTAGAGCGTGTTTCCTTGAACAAGGGGGACGATGAAGGTGATGCTCTTACCCTGGGGATGCCGTCCATCAACATGAGACTGGGAGGTCCCTGTACCTGAAGGTCAATATTGCAAGAGCGGGAAGCTAGGAAGGAAGGCGTTACAGTTCGGAAACGGATAGCAATGGATTCACGGCCCTCATCCTTCTGGTTCTCTACGTCGACCTCGTCCTCCAAGCTCACCTCCTCGACCAAGTCAATGACTTCCTCCGACGCGTCGGGCCGGGCATCGCTCGAAGCGAGTCCATCTACCTCGATCCCGGGATCCTGGTCAGGAAGGGTGAGGTCCTCGATCGCCTCGTCTGTCAGGAACTCCATCCAAGAATCATCGTCGACCTGAGAGCCTGGTCTATACCGAGTGTTAGCTAGCTCCACATGAAAGATTTCGCGTATGAGTTTGTATGACGAACTCTCCAATCTTGCTATCCTCGCTGGCAATGCTGTAGCCAATGTTGGTTCGTCCAGGTCGGTAAATGGATCCCGGATCCTGTCGGATAATGATGCTCGCCATTGGGATGGCTATCGATGCGGTGGAGGGTGCCGCGACAGTGAGATGGCGGCTTGGGACTTGGGGAGAATTGGGGGTGGGTCGGATGGACGTGGAAGGACCGCGGTTGGAGATGGAACTAGCGGCGGTGGAAGGACCCTTGGGGAAGGGAAACAGCCCCAGCATTGAACTGAATGTGAGAGCGCGTATCGGCATGAGCATGTGCCAGCATGAGTGGCTTCCTTAGGTTCTCCACGATGGCAAGCGCGGCGGTGACTAGTGGCTCTTAGTTGTCAGTTTTGCCGGAGTATTCTTTGCTGAAATTGACGAATATGATGAGAAGGATCAGGTAACGAAGAGGCTGTGGTGTTAGAGTTTGCTGGACCAAGGTGTGAGGCTCTCGCCGGTTCCTCACCCGGAGTAGTCAAGTCATGCATTCGAAGTTCAGTCTCGATAGATTACCCATAACTTGTCTGTCAATCATGTCGTGTTTCCGTGAGTGCTGTCTTTGATTTCCTTGTCTGTCTTGATACTTCCAAACACCACGAGTGAGCTATTCAGACTTTTTCCACCACCAAGAACTGAGGGTTCCAATGAAGCCCAGCTGCTTCGAGTTTCCACCAATATGCATCACGCTCTTGATCCTCTCAATCTTTGCCCTAGAAAGCTCCAGTCTTTGCGCAACCCCTAGGATATCTGCTTTCCCACCGCCCTGAAGATCAACTCTGACTTTAGGATCTGCCCCCGACAGCAACATCGCCACAATTGTGTCTGTAATCTCATCTGCATCAAGGTTTGGCTTGTCGGCTTGAAGACTATGGCGGTAGCAGACAGAGAGAAAAGATTGCCAAGGAGTCTTCCCGCCATACAGCTCAATTGTCTGGTTCGGGTCAGCCCCGTTTTGTAGCAGAGACTCAACCATGGCTCGGACTGGACCTTCTTGAGTAGGTAGTTCAAGAGGTGTCACGGTGGTTGGTCGCAAAGCATAATCTAGCAACGGTCGGCCCATTTTCTTCTTGGCCTGATCAAGATTCGTGTTGGTCTTATGCTTCGCATACAACGGTAGTCTCGCTTGTATAGCAGAGGCGAGAAAGCTCTTCTGTCGCTTTTCCTTGAAGTTGCCCTTCGGGATATCTCTGAAGTTAGTCCAGTGGACACTCTTGTCCCTGGCATTCGATGTATTCGTATGATCTAGTGCGTCTAGCAGATTGAACATATCTTCCAAGTCATCCAAGAGACACTGCGACCTGTTATCGGCAGTCTCTCTGTTGTTAAGATATGCCTCTTGAATTGTGCGAGCATGTTACATCAGCCCGTCAGAAAAAAGAAAGACCTCGTTGTAATCGACCGCTATTTCCGCATAGGACACCGTTTTGACAAGGGCCAGCATGATCCGACAGAGTGAAAGTGCCGGGTTGAAGTGGGAAGTCTTTCTTTTGGCCTTTGTTTCCTCAATGACATCTCGATCAATGAAGAAGTCTCTCACAGTTCGATGCAAAAAGTCGACTTGGTACTGAAGAAATGGTTTCTTGGCTGGACGAAAGGTGACGTAGAGCAGGTCTTTGCCCCTCGCATTGAGCCGCTTCTTCATTCTGTCATGTAACATTTCCACGTTTTCGGGCAAAATGGAGGAGACCTTCATTTGCAACGCATATCTCGCGCTTTCCGCCTCCTGTTCGAGAAATTCGAAGGCTAGAAGGGGTAGTGCTTGACCAGATTCAATCATGATTCTCAAAATGCGGGCCATGCTTTCCCAGTATATCGGGTCTATTGACTCGATCATGTGCTGGAAATACTCTTCCAGATCAGCTGGAAGCTCGTCAACTTGACTCTTTAATTCTCTGAACGTGTCTCCTTTTGCAAGGTCGTTCTTCAGAGACTTCACGACAAGGTATATCCACAGGAAAACACCCTGAGCTTTGTCAACAATTGTTTCAGCTACTCGAGGGCAACGGTCATCTTATTTTGTAAGGGCCGCAAAGCCATCGCTGTTGCACAATGTGTCCGTGACATAGGTGCGGATGTCGTCTTTGATCAAGTCTTCCATTCGAAGTTGCCATGGCTGGGCGCCAAAAGCGTCCAGGAAGGCATCCCATGGGCGGCTCGAAGCACAGATCTTGATAGAAGGCGAAGATGCTAAGTCTTGAATAACTCGAAGAAGATCCTCTGTTGGACGGACTGGGGGATGTGTACACAGATCCCGGTGATAAATTGGCGATCAAAGAAGTGATTCTATTCTGTGATGATCTTCCTTAGTTTACACGAGAGGTAGAGTGTTTCGGGATGTGTCCTCGTACGCAACCAGAGCGGGTCACGTGTCGGAACATCCACGTGACTGAGCAGGTGCTCAGTCACTCTTTACATGTCGTACGTTTGGTCCCAGTCGTGGTTATTCCAACATCCTCAAATGTGTTGTCATACCGCTTTGCTCGATCCGTATACTCATCGAGACCATCGATGAAGAAACAAAATTTCACAGAGAGATCCGTCTGAGTAGCGAGTAATGCAAAAGCGTCTAGAAGCTCCTCCATTCCCCATGATTCCATCAATTTGTGTTGAAGGGCTGACCGGCGCCGACTGCAGACACGGTCGATGAGACTCGGAACCTTCCTCAACACTTCGTATAGTAGTGTCTGGAGCAAGCCACGTTGTGACTTTTGCATGGAGCTACCGGCGTTCCAGAAATAGTGAGACGCTATTACCATAGTGTAGCCGTTGCCCCAGGCTCCTAATTTCACTCTCGTCGCCGGATGAGTGACGAGGAACTTCATCAAGATAGACTTGCCACTTCCTGGCTTTCCTCTTCTGCAAAAGCTCCCCTTCTCTGGCTCCAACTATTGGGGAAATAAGGTATCATCATGGCTGAAAACCCAGTCAAACGTCGCTCTGTGTTTTTCCTTGATTGCTTCCTGCTTCGCCTTGATTTGATCAAATTTCAAACTGCGTAGTATGTGGTGTCTTGTTCTCACGTGCTGTTGTTCTTCGTTTAAATCATCGATCTCAGCCCTGAGGAGATATATCTGGTCTGGAAATCCATTGGGTACGGTCTTTTGTATGACGTGTGTCGTCTTGTCGATTCGCCTAACGATGTCGTCCAGTCTGGCAGTAGCCTTGGCCTCGAGGCTGTTGTTCTGATCTTCTAATCTTCTGAAAAGGGGCTGAATCTCCTTTTGTGCTGTTCTGCATGATTCTTGTTAGTCTCGAATATCCTAGCCGCTGATTGCGATCTCTTACCCTGCAGCATGGGTGAGAAATAGTTGCAATTCTCTGCGGAGACTCCCAAGCCGTAACTCCAACTCCCGTATTTTATGCTCTTTCAACATACACCTTATCGCTTGCTCAAAGCTCTGTAACTTCCTTGCGTATAAGTTTTGTCCTGGAGTTGGATCCACCTTTAATGCGTCGAGGATCTCAATCAACACAGCAGCATCCTCAGTGCATCTCTGGGCAATGGAGCGCAGTATCGGACTTTCTGTTGTCTTCGTTGTATCTGACTCATTGTTCAGGATAACACCCGCAAGATGTCTCAGACGCCGGGCATCAGCTATAAACATCTCATCATGGATAGTTAAGCCATCAGCAGACTTGTACCGCTCCAGGGCGCCGCGAACTAGTTTGGCACCAAGTTCAGCAAATTGGAGCAGATTGATAGCCAGCGATATGTATGCAAGCTCAGCCATGATTATCCCTTACAAAGTCGTGTTTGGGAAGGGGCGGAGGGACAAATATTCGGCGGGAATGCGGCTGATATATCGTGTCAGGCCAGGCAAACAGCCAAGGCTTAAGGGCTGCAGCCTGCTGCCTCTTCCATGTATCAAGAGACAGTTCGCAAATACCAGCCAAATCTCCCCTACATTCCACTATGAGACTCTTAAACTCTGGCTTGCCCCTGACTCTCATTGGATTTAATCATTCGGTGCATCACCAAGAAAGAGCGAGGTGGCTTTTTAAAGTCGCCAAAGCCTTCTTTACAAAATGCTGAAGGTCACCTAGGAAAAAAACACTTGACAGCTCGTCCTTGTTCCCTCCTTCTCTACCGATAGGCTATCCCAATCTCAAATAGCCCTCTATGCGAAGGCCAAAAGGCAGACTCGGCACCTCGCCGCCGATAACATCTTGGACATTCAATTTCCAGGATCCGCAATGGAATAGTGATCTATCTTCAGCTGGTAAGTCTTTTTGTCCAATGTATTAGTATAATGCTGATACGTTAAGCCATAGAAGAGGGCACATATTTCAACGAGAATCGGAATCTCAGTGGCGAGCTTGAAGGCATTCCCTTCACAGAAGACCACAGAAGCTGGGTGCGATGGCCTAGTGTGCTCTTCACCAACTTTGTTCTCAAGCCTTTTGAGACATTGTCTTGGGCACTCGGACCCCTCATGAACTACATCGCCGCAGTATGATTGTTTGCGGGGTGGATTTACTTCATGTCCATTATACTTCCAGGGGACTTCCTTCTCGAGGTCTTCCTGGTAGTCCTTTTGTTTGCAGCAGTTTCGGCGGTTGTCTGGATGTGGGATGAGGGGATTATTCAACACTATTTCGCTCTTCCAGACACCGCAAATGCTAGTGCCATGTTCGCACTTACACACTTTTGGCTTGTAATACCATGGCTCGAGGAATGGTTTAATAGGCGGATCAAAAAAGTGCGCCAACAACAGCATTCTCGGATGAGGTCCTAGGTATTTCTGAACTTCATGTTAGCCAACACGGAACACCTTTATTCTGAGCTTTTCACGCATCCAGCTTGAATTTCTATCAAAAGTTTGGAAGGCATGATGCATCGATAATTTGCTTTATCTTGAGGCCAACTAATGTACGTTTCTCTACAAGCCGCTGCACTCAAATTTGAGGAGATTCCCTTCCACTATCTTCTTCTCCATCGTTACGAGCGTTGGCATATCCCACATACAGCTAATCCACCTACCTCCCAGCCATTCCCTCTTGACACTAGTAAGGTATGGGATAGAATGGGCAGCAAGCTCTGGGGTATCCCGCATTCGAACTATCCCACAGTCAGACCTAGATCAACACGTTTTACGGGTGTGGCCTACTCACATTGCAACCTTTCTGGCAGATTCGAAGACAACTCTGTCGGAATTCCCCCGGGGTGAATAGAAAATGCTAGGACGCCCTTCCACACACTTAGTTCATGATCTCAAACCTGCGGTTGTTAATGATATTTATTACCTGATCACCATATTCATCCTGAACAAATTCGGTGAACCGTATCAGCGCAAATTTGGAAATGTGGTAGGCTCCTCCTCCAGCACCCATGAAGTGAGCCGCCACCGAAGACATATTGACAATCGTCTTGTCGCCACCCTTGAGTAACAGCGGCAAGAACGCCTTTGTGACACGATATGTGCCCCAGTAGTTCACATCCCATGCCTTCATGTACTCGTCGTCGTCGGCATCAAGCAGCAAGTTGAAGGGAGCCATATAGCCCGCGTTGTTGACCAGGATATCCAGGCGTCCCCACTCGGCCGTAAGTCGCTCTGCGGCCGCCTTTACGCTCGGCGTGCTGCTCACGTCCATCTCGAGGGCAAATACCGTTGGCTCTGCCCTCCCAGCAGCCCTTGCAGCCTCGATGATGGAGGTGACGGTAGACGAGACATTTGAGCGAGCGGCGACGGCAATGAGTGATGCGCCTGCCTCGGCGTAGCCGATTGCTAATGCCTTCCCAAGCCCTTTGCTTGCCCCGGTTATGAGGACTGCTTTTCCAGTGCAGTTGGAAGCCGTGACTGGGTTGATCTCAGGATATGTGTCGTGATGGATGACGTTCCCAGTGAAGACGTCAACTGCGATCGATTAGTGTCCGCAAAGGCTTAAACATGGGACGAAATCTGGGTCGGTACCCTTGCGAGGCGGGCCGGCCGAAGGTTGCTGAGGTTCGGACGCCATTTGTGGAATTATCATCAGCTGAACTGTACTCAACGCATCAATCAAGTTGCCCAAGTGATCATGCCTAAGCTTGTATCGTCACAAGTTTCAGGGTTTGTTGACAATGAGGTTGAGGTATGGTTCGGCTGTCATCACACGCTAGGATCGCACGCCGGACTTCCCCATTTCATAGCGCCACTGGTGGCGCCGCCTATGAACACTAATTATCCTGTGTGATAACCGCACGCTCACCGGATAAGAGCTCTGTTGACTCCCTCAATAAGGTAAAAATCACGTAGAGTACATATATTTGTCAGAATATAGGGTCTCTTTATGAAGCCGCCCAAGCTTGGAAAAATCCCTTTCTGTCATCCTTCCTCAACGGAGTATCATGTCATCACGAATTCGCCGATTAAGCGCAGAATTATTTGACTAGGCCAGCCTTCTAAATAATTTCGCATAGGATCTGCGAGAAGGGCAGGGAGTAGACAAGACTAGTTGCGGTGACCACTCGCGAATAGCACTCCATGGATTCGCTGGATACTCAATGCTCAGGTAAGTAGCCATTTAAGCTAATATCACGGTATCACCCATCTTCTGCTGCTGCAAGGAAGTTGCATACTAAGGTATTTCAGGTCATGACTAATAAGTCGTTCAATTGCGTAACAGTCATGGACAACAGCTTTCATGCAGTATGTGCGTGCATCCCCTTGCTCAACGCCATGGCAAAATATGTACATGAAGAATTTGGATGGTATCCATCACATAATTTACTCCAGACCAACGCTAATGGCAGCCAGAGCATAGTCCATGAAGCCAGCGTTTGTGTCCAGAATGTTGGTGTTGAACTCGGCTGAGGTCGGGTAGAAGTTACCAGAGGGGCCAAACTCGAGAGTGTATCCGTAGACCTTGTTGACGCCGGGCTTGGCCCAGAAACGTGAGAAGGAGTAGTCGTCGCTGGCACCGGACGTGGGATACAAGCCGACGGCCTGGATAGAGGTGTAGGCACGCCCGCCGACAGCCTTCATGGCGTTGACCATGGCCGTACCGACGGTTCTAATGTTGCTGAGATCGGTTGAGGGGATGTACTCCTTGTAAGCGGAGTCGCCGACGGGGCCGCGCTTGCCGTCGTAGGCGGAGTTGAGGAAGTTCATGGTGGAGGTGGTGGTCTGGTCGTCGTCGTCACCCCAGCTGTAGAGGAGGTCGCCGACGGCGGAGTGGATGTCCATGAACCAGCGGATCTTGGGGAAGGAGTCGTAGACGGAGACGAGGTTCTTGGTCTCGGGCTCGGACTCGGCGGCGGTGCCGTAGAAGACCTCGGAGCTAGGCGAGGTGGAGGCGGGCGCCTCGGAGGAGTCAAAGTACTTCTTGAAGTTCCAGAGGAAGTCAAAGTTGCGGTTGATGTCGACACCAATGGAGCTGCCGCTGGAGCCGGACTTGGTGTTGCGGTTCTTGCGCCAAAGGGAGCCCGAAGACTGGTCGTAGGCGACACCATCGGCGTTCACAAGGGGGAAGAAGACAATACCCGCGGCAAGGACGCTCTTGACCTGGGCGTTGGTGTAGGACTTCTTGCCGTAGGTCAGGCCGCTACCGGACTTATTGGCGGCGAGGAGATCTGAAATCCAGTAGATGATGTTGTCGGGTCCACCGCGCTCACGGGCGTGGACGGCAGCACTGAAGTACAGGTGGTACTTTGACTTGTCAGTTCCGGCGCCGACGTAGTAGGCGTACTCGGTGGCGCCGTTGAAAGTCTTGTACGGCAGAGTGAGAGATCCGATGCCGTAGTTTTTGACAAGGGCGTCGCAGGCCGACTTGATCTCAGCAACGTTCATGATGCTGGAGATGGTGGTGCCTGAAGCCTGGGTTCCAAGACCGACGGGGGAGATGGTTCCCGCGCTGAAGCGGTCGCCGGTTCCGATGGGTGCGTTGGCTCTCTTGCTCAAGTCTCTTCTGTGGATGGACACCTCGGGCACGAGCTCGTACTCCTTGGAGAGATAGTCAATCTGCTCCTCAGTGAGCCAGGCGTGGAGCTTGTAGTGGCTTCCATCCTCGCTGGGCTTGGCAACAGCTCTGCAGCCAAAGTCAAGAGTGTCATTGCGGACAATGTCCCTGTACTCTGTTAGTGTCGAGGTCGGATGAGTTGATGATGAGGTGTTACCTGAAGCTCTCGGGCGAAGGCCCCTGCAGGTACACAGGGAGCAACTCTCCAAGCACAACAGTGCTCTGGAGAATCAGCGACGCGATGAGAGAATACTTCATGGTGATCGAGACGATGGGAAGCGGAAGGATGCGAAGGATGCAAGTGGAACGGCCCGTCGCCAAGTATGCTTAAGGAGATGGGGGATTGGGCCTGCTTTCATAGTCGTTTCCATGATGTCCACAACGGCTGGCTTTGTCTCGGCCACAACATCTCATTCAAGCAACTGGCTACTCACAAACCAGTTCTCACTCTTGAAATCTACCCCATGTCTCTATGCCCACAAAATTAGCTATCATCGTGGCCAATCATAAGCTTAAATCCCCCGGCCACGCTTGAGGATCGTTCAGGCGACCTGCCCCAACAGGCATAGCGCTCTTCTGATCTTGGTAGGTGGTTCGAATCATTCATATGAGAGCAAACGGCGCCCCGTACGTAAAGCGGTAAATGGCCTGAAATACCGCGTTCAAGGAACTTTGTCTAGCACGAATTTACAATGTCACCTTCCTCCACGGCTGCGAACAGCGGCGAGAACCGATCGCGTGGACCTCCTCGTCGTGTTCCCGCTTCCGATGTGGGGTGACGACTGCCGGAATTCGCGACACCAGGTTCGATTCCTTCATTCTTATTTCTTGGGGTTGATTTTTGCGCCTTCTCAGCCAGTAAGGCTCTGTGAAGGTTATCAGCATTTCTTGCTTCCTCAGAATCTCAGAAACAAAAGATCCTTTGAGTCTTTTCGTTACGTTTGCTCCTACTGTGACGTACGTTCCATGCATGTAAGACGACTGACTAAGGACCGCAAATTTGCGCCATCCTCTCGTGTTCCACGCGGTCGATTGGCCTCGATAGTGAATGCTACAATGATCTAAATCACTCGGCTACCTGAGAAAACCCCGCGCACGACGAGCACTGAATAGACCACAACAACTGTTTGCCATTGGTATCACGTCTTGGCACCGTGGCCGGTCTCGAACTCGAGGCTTCGACTATGCTGTCGTCCTCACTGCTCAAAGCGGTCATCTGCCTCATTTGGCCGTCCTCGGAGTGGACAACATGTGAACAGAAACCAGCCAGCGCGATTCCGTCGCTCCTCGACGCTACACTCGACGACCTCAACCATGGTCTGCATAGTGGTATTTTCACCAGCGTCGACCTCGTTAATGCCTACATCGAGCGCATAAAAGAGACTACGCCGACCCTGAATGCCGTCACCGAGATCAACCCGGATGCCGTCTCCATCGCCGAAACTCTGGACCTTTTCCGCCGACAAGGCGGACCGCTTCTCGGCCCTTTGCACGGCATCCCGGTCCTGATCAAGGACAACATTGCAACGGCAGACAAGATGAACAACACGGCCGGCTCTTACGCTCTCCTCGGCGCTAAAGTCTCCGAAGATAGCACTGTCGCCGCCAAGCTCCGGAAAGCGGGGGCGATTCTGCTCGGCAAGGCACATCTGTCGCAGTGGGCCGAATGCCGGAGCTCCAATTCGAGCAATGGGTGGTCAACGTATGGCGGTCAGACCCTGGGCGCGTATTACCCCTTTCAAGACCCATCGGGTTCGTCGGGGGGCAGCGGCGTCGCGTCTTCGGTCGGTCTCGCGTGGGCGTCTTTGGGGACTGAGACAGCCGGCTCGATTTTGTTACCCAGTGACGTCAACAACGTTGTGGGCATCAAGCCGACTCTTGGCCTCACCTCACGGTACCTCGTTGTGCCCATTTCGGAGCACCAAGATGTTGTTGGACCTATCGCTCGGACTGTGAAAGATGCTGCTCATCTCCTGGGAGCCATCGCCGGGGTGGATCCCAGCGATAACTACACGTCCGCATTTCCTTTCCCGAAAACACCAGACTACGCCGCAGCATGCGTTAAAGAGGGACTGCTGGGCAAGAGATTGGGAATTCCGCGACATGTGCTACACGACCCTCAAGACGCCCCTCCCTCCAACTACTCGGTCACGGTATTCGACTCGGCCGTCGACATTCTCAGATCCGCTGGTGCGGAAATCATAGACGACATCGTTCTGCCAGGGTACAACGCGACTGAAATCTCCGCGCTCCTGATCAAGAGCCTTCACGCAGATTTCGCCGTTGCCATAGAAAAGTACTTCGGGCAATTGGCGTTCAATCCGTACAATATCACCACGCTTCGTGAGCTCCGGGATTGGACCCAGCATGACCCTCGCGAGCAATGGCCTGAGAAGAACACACTCTCATGGGACAACAACCTAGCAGAAGGTCTGCGAAACACAGATCCGGAATTCTGGAATGTTCACCTCCGGCTTCTGTACCTCACTGGGCCTCAAGGATACACAGGAGCTCTCAAGAATCATTCCCTAGACGCGATAGTCCTGCCGACGGCGTTTGCTGTAATGAATGCTGCCATATCCGGTACGCCGGTGATATCGGTACCGTTTGGAAGGCATCCGGATGATACTGACATTGTCAAGGACAAGACTGGAACGCTCAATGCCGTGGCACCGAACTTACCTTTTGGCATTGGTTTTGCGGGGGCTCCGTTCAGTGAGGAAACGCTGATTAGCATCGCGTACGCCTTTGAGCAGAAGGTCCAGGCTCGGGAGGTCATCAAGCCCTACATCAAACCCAAGACCGACTTAGAGGACATCGTCAGACACAGAGCTGAGGTGGAAAACATACTGGAATTGTGACATGAGAGTCGTCTTGCAAGACAGACTCGCAGTCAACGATGACGCCAAGTCATGTCCTAAGATTGATGTATGTACATTAAGATAGCTACCATAGTACGGCATTCAATGTCCTCCATGACAGCACAACTCCTCACAATTGCGTCTTCAAATAGGCAAGCCACAATCACATCACTGATTGACTTTCGGGACTTTACCGGAACCCCGCGCACCGATTTACGGCGGCGGGTATATAATTGGCCCTGAATGCTGGCCCTCCGGGTCGGATTCCGATCACATCACAGTGGTTCCCCGCACTCCGAGAAAGCCCCGAGACCCTGTCGGCAGCGCACCCGATCTAAGATACCGATGTCGTATATCAATGGGCTTCAAATGAAAAGTGAACAAATAAATTCCTTGATTCAACTTACAACCTAAAAATCAAATCAAAAGTGAGTTGGTCTGTGCATCACTGGGTACTCAAGAATACAAGTAACTGACCTTGGTTTTATCAGTGTCTGGAAACCTAGTCCCCCTCACCGTTATCAAGGGCGCCGGCCACGAGTATATCCCCCTCCCGGAGGGCGAGAACGCGACTGTTGCCGATTTCCACTCGTAAGAAATCTTTTATGTATGAAGTGGGAAATAATTACTGAGACTTTGCTAGAATCCGAACAAACACAAAGGACTCACCTGCTCACTTCACCTCGGGTTTCTACAAGATTGTCGCAGGACCCGCTCGTCCCGCGCACTACAACTTTGAAGAGACCAAGTACGTCCTCAACGGTCAGATCGACATCTTGGTAAGTCACTTCGTAACCGTGTAAAGCTCTGGGGCACAAGAGATAGGGAGCTGACTAGCGTGGCTCCAACAGGATGAAGCTACTGGGATCACCCACCACCTAGTACCCGGAGACTTTGCTTTCTTCCACGTCGGATCCAAGGTCAAGGTAAGTTTTGGTTCCACTTCTTGATAACTTCGATGCTCACGATCTATTCTCTCTCTCCAGTTCTCCACCAATTCAGAAGGCCTTGCTTTCTATGCCGTTACCCGGCCCGTCAGAGTCCCCCACCCGAACCTGAAGGGCCGTGAGGAAGACACAAAGTCCAAGTTGTAAATCATTAGAAAAAGTAGAACTATCACGCAAACTTGAATTATAGACAAATTTGGCTTTCACACCTCCTACTAATCCACTCAGAGGATCTGAGGGGCACCTTTCGTAACCTTGAAGCCGCCAGGGGAGAGTTCTTGGAAAACGCCGCTTGGATCATACTTCTCAGCAATTGACCTCAAGCGTTCCTTGTTGGCCTGCCCATAACCAGCGAACGGCTCCTGGAATTGGCTGGCGTAGTTCGTGTACTTGTATCCCGAAGCAAGGCCCATCTCATCCGCCACCTTGTTGATTCTCTCTTCCGTGCGCTTCTGAGCTCTGTAGATGGCATCGTCGTCTTTTCTGTTCTCCCACCTTGCCCATAGGTTCACAAAGCCAAGAGGCTGCGACTGCTCCCCGAGTCCGTGAGGATTACCGCCGCTTCGTTGCATCAACTCGAACTGAGATTTGGTGATGGCCTGGATCTGGATCTGCTGGATGGAGATGGAAGCCAGTGCGCTGGCTTCCTGGTTCCAGATCTCGAATACTACTTGCAGCAAGTCGGCGTCCAGGATAAATGACGTGGTCCACAAAGAACTTCGCAAGATGCTGGCGGGGAACAGAAGGTTCTCGGCAATATCTGCATGGAAGACGTTGACCGTTTCGATGGCTGATGGCTTAGAGTTGTAGAACTTGTCGACGACGGGAGGATGGGTGTTATTGTCAAACGTCTTCTGGTGCACTAAGATCGCGACGCCAACGGGAGCTCCACTGGCTTGTGCGTTCCAGGACAAAACCGCGGCGTTGCCAAGATCTTTGGGGGACTGAACGGTACCCCAGTCCGCGAATGCCGCGTTTGCCGTGATGTTCTCAGTGGCATTGTAACGGAGCTTTGCGTACCACATCTTGTCCTGCGGGAATGTGTTGAACTTGAACTTGGTGACAACACCGAAGTTATTGCCACCTCCTCGAAGGGCCCAATAGAGGTCCGGGTTTGATGTTGTTGATGCAGTCACAATCTCACCGCTGGCCACGACAACCTCAAACTCGATCACGTTGTCGCAAGTCCATCCGTAGCGATTACTGAGCCAAGAGACTCCACTTTCGTCCGTATAAGTAAAGTACCCAGAGACATTGGGCCAAAGACTTGGATACGGAGGTTGGCTTACCACCAAGAGTGAGCCCACCGACACCCACACCAAACATCCGACCGCCAGGGATAGTCACGCCAGACTTTTGGAGATTCTCATATGTGGAAGCCCAAGTATTTCCGGGCTCCACGATCGCCGAGCCCTTGTCTTCGCTCAGTGTGATTCTGTTGAGCCGAACCAGGTCAATCACGAGACCTCCCTCAATCGTCGAAGCTGTGTAGGAGTAGTGACCTCTGCTTTTGACTGCGAACTGACAACCCGTGCTCTGGATATCTCTGAGAGCGACTGAAACCTCGGTGGCACTGACAGGTTGAAAGAAGCAGGAGGGAGATACGTCGCCTTGGATGGTTGACCAGAAGCCTTCCCGGGACGCCACATAGTCCGTGCCGTTGGTTGCACCGAGGTAGACCTGATTAGGGAATTTCGTCGCGAGAGTTTCGCACTATCACTTCGGTCAGTACCTTAGTACTCTCCTGATTCAAGATCCTTTGAGGAGCTTGACTTACTGTGACGGTGCAACCCTTGTAGCTGCCGGTAGCATCCGGAGAGCTGGCGGCTAAATTAGACGTTGCTACAACAAGGAGGAACGAAATGGAATGCGTTGATGGGAACATGGCTTGTGCGTTTATCTGGTACTGTCACGATGGTTGACCAAGTCTGCTATGGCAACTCGCAGGTTGTCGGAAGCTTGCCATCTTTGTATTACTTGTAGCCCTGACATGACCAGGGATCACTCTGGGCTTTGTGTAAGCGAGAGTGCGGAGTTCTAGCATAAGAATCCGCAGTTCAGTTCGGGCTAATCGGGACGGCATGTCAATAGTTGAGCCCTCACTAAGGTTTGCCAAGTTAATATCGTTAAAGTCTTAAATCCAAGCCACGCGCTTCGGCTAGGCTCGTTTGCCGCCGTCAAGGCTCCTCATGGAAAGCTGCAATTGGCCAACATGCTGACAGGATCATCTTACGATTAGGTGGTTCTATTGCCAGGGGCAAAGTTTGACAGGTGTATGCTGAGAATTGAAGCCTAGCAATTCCATCTGGATGGTCGCGTATTCGGTTTACATGAAGATTCACGGGGCCTCTCGCATAGTCGGCGGATCCTGTAGTCTGTTGTGGTTCTTCGAAACTCTAACTCACCTGGTGTCTTGTTCCAGGAGGCTAAGAGGCTTGAGCCTTGGTGGTCTTCTTGTCGTTTGACAAGGTGTTTGCTTGACTACCGCCAAGTCTTCATGAGAGATCTACCTTCTAGAAATGACGTCTTGGAATTCAAGTAGCTTAAAAAACAGGCTTCCCATTCAATTCAACTAATCGTAAGGAGGGCAGCTTGGACGTAACAGTGTCGAACTGCTTAAAGCTGAGAAGGAGAACGGCGGTGCACCTAGTAAATCCAAAACCCAAAGACCAAGTATTCCTATTACGGAACATAGGTAGAGAGAGCAATTGAACCCATAGTAGAATTGAGTTGTTCACTGATGGAGGGTGCGGACACGCGGTAAAGGGGACTTTCCGTGTCCCCACCACGGGAATTAGAGCGGCATGGAGCCTGGGTGTTGCCCCGCGTGGATTTGGTTCCTGCATCCGGTTAACTTTAGCGGCGTACTCTAAATTTCGACAACCTCTGGAAGTTGAAGGCGGAGCAACCCGTCCCTGGAACTTCATCCTAATATTTCCCGCCACATTATTGACTGCTCTTGTGGTCCTTTGACTTACGTGAGCTGGGTGTGGTGAATGGACGGCATGTAAAAGACCAGAGAAGGGGCAGATATTAGTGTTAGTTAACGCTCTCAATACTTCACGTTACCTGACATCTAAAGAGATTTGTTTGACATCACCATAGTATATCGAGAGTAAGGTGGTCTAAGTCCCCGCTCCCTCAGGAAGACTACTACGTTGGCTCTTTGCGTAACTTAAGATGAACAAAAACAAAGAATGTTCACCAGGGTACTAAAGATCCTAAATAGAATTTACTAACCTCAGTTACTTTCCTCGTGTCGCGAATGTATGAATAGAATGTTTCTGTGTCGCCCCAAAACTAGTTCCAAGGACTTATCTAACTAAGGTACTATGGGTTAAATAGTAAATAATACTAATAAACATATCGAGCTACAGTTTCATGCCTTAGTTTTCTTTTCGGCTTTGGCTACATTTTCCTCGAGAGCGCGATAGATAGGTACCGACTTTCCATCAAGGATTTCCTTCAGGAAAGCCTCAAACGTGATGGGCTGAAAGTCAGGGTACAGCTCAGTGCCGTCAATGTACCCGAGAAACTCGGCGTACTCTAGGGTGTTGTCTCCGCGGACTCCCATGGAGTACCAATACTCGTAGAAGATCTTCATCTTGTTATCAAAGGCACTTTTCTCGATGGCGTCCGCCGTCAAAGACTCAGTAGTGATGGCGTTTTCTATAGCATAGGCAGGCATCTATAAAGAAGGCATGTCAGCCAACTTCCAAACTAATGCTCTGCGGCTGAGAGGTAATACTTGCATATTCTCGTTTGGTAGTCTCGCCACTCGTCTTGTCCAACATATCAAAAACCTGATTCTGTGATCATTCTTTATACCCATTGGGTAGGCGGAGTTTGCACAGAAGCCGACTAGAACTGAACTTAATTCTACTCAAAGCCCGCAACTGACGTGACAAGTTGGATGCTCACTCTTGAGTCTCATGCGATGATAGCGGGTTCAGTTTACTTGGCACTGACTTCGCAACAAACACAAACGTCACAACTGGTGCCCAAGTAGGAAGTCCGCACTTGATTTAAAGAATGTGCGGAGCGGGTCCCTTTTGAGACGGATTATCACACGCAATGCCCATGACTTTATCCTATTAAACCATTAAACTAGTAAAAGCTAGATGAATCTATATTGGCCATGACTTCTAATTCTAACTTTCAGAAGCCAAATTTACAACTAGGTATGAAAGCAGCACTCGCATTTTCTCAGGTTGTCGTCTGGCTTCGGCATGTGGGGGTGACAGAAGCATACAGTAGTCGCCGACAGATCGAGACGAAGATGAAAGACAGTTTCACACTTCAGGGCGCATGAAAATTACTCTGGGTATCGTGATACTTCGGCTTATGGGGATGGTCGCATTATTAAGAATCTGCTTGACTGGCCGGTTGCCTGGAAGTTCGTACTAGTAAGCACCCAATCATAACACAACTCTCATGTCACTAGAGGCTCCATGGAAACGTCAACATCTACCACTTGTTTCGCTAACTGTATATATATATGTACTGCCAGCTGCTCAAAATGTCGATTTTATGTAGAGGCAAACCTTCCCTTGAAAGTCTCATACCTGAATGCAGTAGACATAGGTGTAGGAAATGAAGTGTCTGACACAGCCTCTTCTCCAGACTTCATTATACACAGTGAACCCCCATATGGAAGTAGTACGAAACTCCTAGTCCAAGCAAAGCTTCTATGCTCGCATGGAAGAAATTCCTTGGCTATCAAGTACAGGAGGCACTGAACGTGTGTGGGAGAGTCGATATGACATATATTGGTCATATACGAGGCGTTGTCTCGCCCAAAGTGCTGTTGCTGACACCGTCATTGACCTGCTTCTTTGGATAAGATCAAGTGGCCTCCAAAACTAGGCGTGCTATCGATGATCGAGGCCATGAGGGTCTCAGGGGTCACTCCGTTCTTGACCCCGCTCGAGTATGGGATCCAATGTGCCGGCGAGAAAAGCCCTTCTTCAACCTAAAGAGAAGCTTCTGTCGGTCACAAGGACAAGACGGGAGAATCCTGGAGCACTTTCAATTCTGGCTAGGCCTGAGTAGTAATAGCGGATGCCTCCGCGGAAAGAGATCAAAGTGTCGGCCTGGGCACAGCCAGCACGTCAAATTGCATGTTCCAGCGAGGAAGTGACGGTATTATGGTATCCCTCCAGCTCTGCACCCTAAGTGCGAAACCAGGAAAGGTCTAGGTTGTTTATCCTACACGAACTCATAGACATAGGGTAACAAATGGATCAAGTCATCGAGCTCAATGTACAACATGTTTACTATCATGGTGCTAAAGTCCTACAGAAGGAAAGGCTTGCCTCAGTCGTCCGAGACCTCATCCCGAGGTTTTGACGGCTGAAAGTCGCTTTATTTGTCAGTCCGACCTCCCATCGAATTTGGGGTCACGTAACAACTAGCAAGCATTGCCGCATGAAAGCTCGATCGGCAGCTTTCACGTCGGACGTCCGCATTTGGTAAATCTCAGGAGGCACAATCGGCCTCCCCGGATCGTACAAGTCTCTCCGCATCCATGTATTGCTCCGATGTCTACAATAACAACCTTCCCCAGACCTGCACCCCGCAACTCCCCCAGATGCCCCGGATGGGATTTCCTTAAATTGGAACCATGATCCGCTCCCAACTGTCTGGTTCGAGTTCTTCAGGCGACCTATTCATCATCTCGTTTTCTTGTGGTCTGAGCTTGTCTCTCTCCTATCATTCCTCCCTTGCCGTACGCCACTGCTTTCGAAACACCCGTCATCCTGGCCAAACGTCCGGCTTTCATACTTGAAAATGCCACTACGAACCCCCTGGGTACATCACAAATGGGCAATTTTCTATTGCGCTGTATCAGCAATTGGAGTCCTCTGCTATGGATATGACAATACGTACTACAACGGTGTATTGGCTATGCAGGAGTTCAAGAATGACTACGGAGACGTCCGTGATGCCACCGGCAGGATAGCTCTTTCTTCGTCCTTCCAGTCTCTCACAGCTTCCGCTATCTACATTGGCGACTTGTTCGGCGCAATGATTGCCGCTCCCCTCAATGATCGCTACGGCCGAAAGTCCACGTTCTGGCTGGCTTCATTCTGCATATTCATCGGCGGCATTTGTCAAGTCGCAGACACAATCAGCTCAGAAGCCCTGCTTGTGGTAGGACGCATCTTGATTGGCCTTGGAGTGTGTCAGTTCACCGTCACTTCATTGCTGTACATCGGTGAAGTTGCACCCTTGGGCATCCGAGGACCAGCACTCATGTGCTTCCAATTTCTCCAATCCTGGTCTCAGCTATGCGCGTCCGCGATTAACCAGGGGACCAAGAGCATCGCAAGCTCTCTGGGATACCGTATTCCTATGGGAGGCCTTGTCATTCTTCCTCTAATCATGGCCGCCCTTCTTCCCTTCATCCCGGAGAGCCCGCTGTGGTACGTTCTCAAGGGCCGTGGCACAGAGGCCGAGCAAAGTTTTCGCAAGATCAATCAGAGCAACCCGAACTACGACCCCTCAGAGGATATGGCTACAGCTGAAAATGCCAAAAATATCGAAGAGGAACATGCCGAGTTCTCTTCATGGGGAGCTCTGATAACGGATCCCATCGAAAGACGCAAGTTGATCTACTCGGCTGGAGCCATGGTCAGTCAACAGATCTGCGGCATTCTGTTCTTCTACGTTTATGGTGTTGTATTCGTACAGGCGATTGGGTTGGGCGACCCTTTCCTCGTTCAACTGATCACCAATATTGTTCAAATTTTCGCCGTGGGTGCCTCTATAATCACTGTCAACAAAGTGCGCCGCCGTACCAACCTCATGATCACCAACTTGATGATGCTGGTGGCCTTCATCATTATCGGCGGCGTGGCGGTCAAGCCGCTTACATCTTCGACACAATACGTCATTGTAGTGTTTTCCTTTGTCGTCGTGGTTGGCTTCAACTTCGGTCTTGGCCCCCTGGCGTACACCGTCGCTCGGGAGATGGCAGTTGGTCCCAACCAGAACAAGATCATGTCCGCGAGTATCGTCATATTTTACCTGACGACCTGGGTGGTCTCGTTAACCGCGCCCTATTTATACTACGATGCTGGACTGGGTCCAATGGTAGGCTTTGTATACGCTGGAACGACGTGTCTCTCCATACTGTGGGCATGGTTTTGTGTGGGCGAAACCGCAGGCAGATCAAGTTTGGAGATTTCGAGATTTTTTACTGAGAGGATACCTGTTAGAGCTTGGAGGAGTCATGTATTCTCGGAAAGCGAATCCTCGGGAGAAATGAGCTCAGAAGACAAAGGCAAGGGTATGCCGAATGCCCCGTCAACGGCAGAGCACCAGGAATTTGCTCTATAAATGTAGTAGCAACATCTGTAGCGGTAGCTTTGGCACCATTCGCGTACCAGCGCAGTAAGATTGATGCTAGTATGTCTATTTACTGATTCGAGTCATGATAGGCGATGTTCTCTCCGCGCTGCCCAGATCAGTGGTGACCCGATAAACGTACGTTACGAAACCAAGTAGCGCCCGAATTTCGCAAACTTCGCTAGCAGACACCCAGTTTTGACTGGCTAAGTTCCTCACAAGAGCCGCCACCTCACATCTTGTGACTGGGAATGAAGGATAATAAAAGTGACGCGGTGCCACCGCCTAATTTGTACTGCGGAGGATACTGGCATTTTCCTTGGCCGGTTGCCCTCTTAGCTCGGTATCGGGAAATCTGAACATCAGGAGTGGACGGACTTGGAGCGGATTTCCTCAATGGGAATGCCCGCTCGACATGAGCTCGATCGGGGTACCTGATGAGAGCCGGCCGCCGACCACCTCCTACGGCCTGGCGAATGTCGGCGTGTCACCTTTATGGCTTAGAGACAATGTTCTGGAGGAAACTAACAATATGCAAAATTGACGGGGTTTCCTATTTCGCGAACGTACGTAGGATAGGGATGCTCTTTGTAAGTGGTGTTTTGGGCACTGGAAAGCTCAAATATAAATCAAAGCTAGGGTAAACCGCTGTGGAAGATTAATTGTAATCCAGCTTTCAGATATTCAATTAGCCTTGAGAAAGTTTTAACATGCTGCTGCTACCTGGTGAGAGCTATCGGCTCTATGCTGCCCGAATTGCCCGCGGATCTTATGTCGCACCCGCCGAGCAAAACCTGGGAACAAGCTTGTGTCCCGACCTGAACGGTACTAGCCGCCGTCGCCGGAGATGTGAAGCTTCTACCGCCTGCCGGAATTGTCCGGGGAGCGGCACACGAAGCCAATCCGAAGATCAGGCAAGTTAAGTTTCGCAAACGCTGTTGCGTTCACCTAATATAAGCTCCACGTCGTGCTTGCGTTTTCTCTGCTTAGGGGCAGTCATTTATTATTCCTACGAGACGACCAGCAGCAACAGCCGCGACAGATGCTCTCGCAGGTAATATGCTGTTCTTCTCTCGGATGTGACCATAATGCCACCAAGACCGCATAGGTAAAGTACGTAGGCCAAGTGCCGCGCGCCAGAAACATTACCACTAGATAGCAACACCATCCAATTTTCGACTATCCAATTCGACTATGGCTCTCAGAATTGAGTTGAGCATTATTCCAGTCTATACATAAGGTAGACATATTGAGTGTCACTAGCCCATAGCAAACGCTACTCTGACCCATCTCATGGTATCTACTCTTCTTTCTGGAGTTCTCGCTAGGGCGCGAAATTGGAAACCAGCATAGAACAATACGTAGCATATCTAAGTCGTTTCATCTCCTACCACCCACTCGGGTCAGTCAGTTGTCGAGTCAGCTCTTTTGTAAAGACTCTCTTTTGTAAATGCGGATCCAGGGAGCTCCATTTCACCTCGGTCAGTCTCTAAAAATTATAGTCTAGATGATTTGACCGATATGTTGTTATTGAGAACGCAGAATCTCGAATTAAAAGCTTAACTTTAACCCGAAGAAGAGCTGGTCGGTCTTTTATTCAAGAAAGCAGCTCGGAATCATGGGAAGGTCGTTGCGGATCATCAGTCTATATTTGCTTTACTTTCATCGAGTTATCGCCAAGATCAAACATGATTTGAGTATTTGAAACCATGCAGCTCGAACTTGGATATGGCCCCATGTAAAATTCGTATGAGTCGTGTTCCTGCGTGGACGAAGCGGAGGAGCTGTCGCGTCGTGGAAGTTCCCTCTGAGCCCTGTGCCTTGGTGCTTGACGCAGAGTGATCGTGACTTTGGAACTCTGCTCTCTGCCAAGAGAACTCACTGCCCGCGCGCCCGCCGAGTGGGAGATGGTAAAGCTTGCGTTACATCACGATTGTCTCGTAGTCGGGATGCTCTATAATTGGACCCTGAATTCAGTGACGGCAACCCAGGCCGGGACTCAGGGGCGGAATCCCCTCAACCAATCTTGCGGCGCCGGCTACGCTTTTCTCACCTCTATTATGTGATCCGAACTTTCCGTGGCAGCAAGCAATGCCGATCACGACCACGAGGGCAGATAGGTGCACGAGGTTGCGTTTATCGCTGAAGCGTGTAAGCCCCGCAATTCAGAACTCTAAGTGTGCTCTTCCCAGGAGGCCCCTAGTTTGACGTGAGTTTGTTTCGAGGCGCACCGGCCGACCGTTGATCGACACCGCCGAAATGCCAACCCGCATCCAACTTCCCGCTCGGCCTCTGCCAGAGTAGCTTCTGGCCGTTGGCATTCGTCCCGTTCTTGGATATGGGGATCTCTCAAAATCTAGGTTCGCAGGCGTGGCTACAGTACCAGTCGCACTACGGCCGGACCATTGACGGAACTGGGTGAGCCGGGAGGGTATGCAGGAAACGAGCCGAGAGAGTTTTTTCTCCGATCTTGACTGTCGATCCGGAGGGACCCGTGGTTGGCTTGCTAGCGCGTCACCACACCACCGCGGGGTATATTGCGATCTTATGGTTCGTAGATCACTAATAATATGTCAGTCACATCCAAGCCTATGGGCGGAGCAACAGCTGCCAAGAATCCATTTTGGACCTCAATTGCAAGAATGCTCTTTGTTCTGGCCGCGCGACGACTTGATGCTTCCTGCATTACATCAGGGATAAGATCACGAAGAACCTTCGTCAACGATCCGGGCCAGCCGTGAGTAGCTGGGCTGCCCAGACTTTTACGGTTCGGCGAATATAAGGTCTCTCTTACCGGTAACGCGTGAAATGAATTAGGTCCTCTCTAGAGACCACAATGCCGAAATTTCCCACTGGCACGATACATCTCAGACGATGTAACGGCGGCAGCTTCCGCGCTTGCAGCGATGGTGCGGTTCACTTCAAACGCGAAGAAACTCCAAAGGAATCCTGTCGCGCCACTTCGACGAAACACTCCAGTTTACCAAGCTTATTTCTCTCTTCCACCTTCCCAACTAGTTCTTAGACGACAGGATGTGGATTATTCGATAGCCATGTTCATCAAGTATGCTCTCCTCGCGCGTGTCGCAGCTTGTGACCAATCAACGATAGCGGCTTGGCAAGAAGTTATTGTCACCGTCGCAAAGGCTAAGCTTCCATTTTGGCGGCATGATTAAGCTTTGCCCATCCCGCCGTCTCGAATGCGAAACCGATCATGATGGCCAATCCTGTGTCACGGATCTGATTACTGTAGAGGCCGGGCCAGACACTCAGGATCAGATCAAGGAAACAACTTCTGGAAAACATGATGATGGGTAGCAAAGTTCCCAATCGGACGTGACCAAACGCGGATTTTGAATCTTACGCAGCCCTTGCCAAGTAAAACATAGCCGGCTCTCCATCGACGGCCTGGGTACTAATTCTACCCATATAAACCTCCGTTCTTCCTCAACCTTTCAAAACGTTTCGATCTTCTCTGTATATCTACACATCACTCAGGCACTACAACAAATCATTGCTGCTCTTTTTCGAATTCAATAGTAAGATACTTCCTCGCTCCTTACAGTTGGGTACTAACATCATGTCAGTGAACTTCAACTTCCTGTTCTGGTTCTTTCTTTTGGGTGCCACCAGCGTTTACGCGAGCACCTGTACCGTCGAACCACGGTCCAATTTTGACAGTCGTTTCGATTCAAGCTTCGTAAAGCAAGCAAAGCAGCAGTGCCGCAACGCCGGCGGGAACTCCAAGGGAGGCAACTCCGTGCGGCAAGCGTGCGATTTCCGTGGCGATCCGCCCAGGTCTCTTCAGCGGACGTCTCGTATTCAAGTTTCCTCGAACGGCCGTAGCACCAATGTGAATGTGCGGTGGAATTGCCGGCGTTAACATCGGTGGAGCAACTTTATGGCACGACTTAGTGTCTCGAAAGAAAGAATGAGAGGGCTGTCACACAGGCATGCTGAATCGAGAGACAAGGAGCATTTTGATTGTGTTGACATATACGAGTAGATGAAAGCGAAACTTGAGGATGATCACATTTTTCTTCATTGTTGGCAGTGCGTATCGATGTTTCGTCTTCATTGTCTCTGATCCAGGTTTTATCAAATACACAACACTTAAACCCCAATATGCCGACTCGTGACTTGCTCAATCCTTTTCAACGCCGGCTTGCTACTCGACCAACGGCTTGGCTTCTTCTCTAATGTTCACAGTACAAGCCTACTACATCACTATTTGAGGGGGATCGTGTCACCCTTTAACATTAGCAAACTTCTGGTCTATATCGTACTGGGATGGGAGTACATGCATCGAAATGTGATACTTGAACTTGATGCACCTAGTGTAGGTCTTAGATTACGAATATGTCGGTAAAACGACATCTATAATCGTCGATACATTGAACAACAAGAAAGGTGAGCTTGCATCTTAATTACACACTTTGGCTCATCACTTAGATTCAATGCCGTCTATGTATGTGTGCAACTTCGAAGCATGGTGATTTTTGGTAGTATTTGTAATAGTTCTCAAAACTGTCACCCGATTCCACGGCTAGTTTTTTAAAGTGGCCCAAAGTGTCACCAAAGTTCATTCCTTTTTTCGTGCTAGCAAACAGAAGACAAGCCAAGGCATACTGGCCATAGACCCTATAACTAAATCCATAGTACTTCCACGATACGACATTAGAATCCAATTTCGATCTGCTCCTCAATCTCCGTCGTCCGACCAATGGAAATAATGCCCTTTCTGTCAGTGAGATCGAATACCACATTAAACAGAGTGCCAGAATCATTCTTTCCGATTTGCTTCCGGTTGATGGAGCTCGGGAAGTTTTGTTCGTCCTTGAATAACTCTAGCAAGGACTTGAAGCCGGCGTTCTCACCAACATCTAGCGTTGCTAGCTCCTTCATACGGGCAGTACGTTTCGGCGAATCTACAAGCCAGAGTGGCTCAAGAACGCCCTCATGATCCAACATCAAGTTATTGGCATGAACGACACGACCATTCTCATCAGCCGGCAGCTCTCTGAACCCAATGCTGGTGCACTCAAGGCCAGTGGGACCTGAGTGGTCGCCGAGAAGAATGTGACTGCTTCCAGCTAACCCCACGCTCTTTATCTTTTCCAGGGCCTCTCTTTTTGACCTAGATTCCAGAATGGTCCGGAGAGCAAAGTGGGTTGGCATACGTTCTGAGTTGACGCCCTTGGCACGGATCCCATTAAGAAGACATCCCACACCGTGCTCGTTGAATCCAATCTTCCCGATGATACCTGCTTCAGTGATCATTTGGAAAGCTGGCAGATCGATGCAGCGCCCACCATGCGGTTTGGCGCGAACGATGATCAGATTTGGTTTCTGTTCGTTCTTCCAGTCCCAGTTCTGTGAGAGGAATGTAGACCCTCCAGGAGTCTTCCAGCCTAGTGCAGTGCATCCGTCTACTGCCATTTCGACTGATGCAGTTGACGTGGGTTTTGTCGGTTCCGTTTCGAAGAGTCCAAATGCGATCTCGCTTCGTATGTTTAATGCAACAACATCGAGAACATCCACGGCAGCACCTTCCGCTATCCCTTCGATCTCTTCATAGTATGAGGGAAACTTGGCTTTGAGGTGTGGCACAAACTCTCGGGTCTTCACTTGTACTGTGGACCACTCCAAGCCGCTGAAGTCTTTGAAAAAATAACGGTAGAATGCAATAGACCCAGCAACTTGCTTCGCAGCCTGGTGGCCTACAGCAAGGCCGATCTACGTGACACGGAGGTGAGCTTCTCAGGCATATAAAAAGCAGTCAGGAGCATTACTCACCTCTCGATGGGTTCCAGCAACAGTGATATCAATCATCCTTGCAGAATGTTCTCTCGCTCGAAATTTGCTATTGTTGAGATGAGCATGCACAGTCGATAGATGGATCCGTCTTTGGGGGGGGCTTACATTGGTGATGCGGGGTTCTCCTCGGCTCTCTCATGCAGGCTTCGGAGTGGCAAATACCGGACGGCTCGCCGACTCTCAACCTCTTCGATACGGTGCTACCTACACGTCTGCACTAGCTTCTCTGCTGCTTGCATCTTCATCCGATAGCCGCAAATCTCCGACAGTTTCGGCCAATGACATCGGACACGTTATCATAAGTGGTGTATGCCTCCAACACAATTACAACTTCAATAAATTGAACACTTGGTCATGATGAAGAAGGAAAACCACGACTCCAAGCAATAAGTATTGCAGTTTCATGTGATTTCTCAAATGTAAATTAGCCTAGGTAATGTGTCGTGAAGTTACAGACTGCGCTTGCCTCGAATGTACTTTTACCCTTTTAGACTGCGAACGTGGATATTCCAAACAGACCACCAATCCAGTGAAGAGCCTCTGACATTTCGTGGTATCACACAGCTGAATACAGTCATGTTCGGTCAGATTCCTCAAAGAGTCGAAGAAGCCCCTGGTGCGAATCAGTTCGTACTCTCCCACCCACTTCGGCGTTCAGAACGACGCTGTTCAAGACGAGTCTCGGGGACAACGTCAATCTTTAAGGAAGGAAAACTTAAGGCTCAGAACATGGACTCTGTGTGAAGGTCATTAAAATCTGGGTTCACATGCACTAACTTGAAGGCAAAGGGAAAAGCCTTTTTTGGATCTCGAACTCTCGATGAGCGGATTTAATCAATGCACATGACCTCTTGTGCAATGTATGTCTGTAATTCCCAGGATCTGGTCGAGAATCTCCAGGTTCATGATTCTTGGAAGAGTATGAAAACGCTCAGTGTTATGTATCCTCCTCGTTTTCGCCCATTTAGACTGGAAGAGACGTAGCGATCTAGATGCTGTTGGTGTCATCAACTAACCTAGAAATTCATACTATCAACATATATGTCCCATATTGATACAGATCTTAGCAAGTTGTTGTTTTTAGCCTCAATTGGAAAGAATAAGTTTGCAAGTGCTGCAACAAAGCAGATAGCGGAAGTCTTCGGCATCAAGAAATAGCGATGGCATGTTTTCTCAGCGAGGTCGCTCCAAGTTGGGAGGAGGACTTTTGTTCTTCTTTCCTTCACACTGTTCAAGCGTCGGAAAGAAAAAAAAGAGCAATATGATACGAGACACTCTTTGGGGGAGGGTATTATTGAAGTATCGAAATGAGCGTATGCGCGTTATCGACCCGAGCTACAACAAACCCTCGGGTAAGCTGCTCGGGTCCATGCTTTGTTCCGCGTATTCTTTACCACCCGACTCGGGTCCGTATGCCCCACACCTCAAGCAATCCGAACCCGTTCAACTGCAACTCTATCCGAGCATTTATAGCCTGGCATAGAGTAGGAAAAAAAATATGCAAACACGGAGCTGCTGAGGCTTAGATCTGTTGTGGAGCTCGGAATTCTCTTTTGGGTATTGGCATGTCTTTGGTATGTGGACTGCTTCGTTTGCTCCTCGGCATACATATATCCGCTCGTTTCGTTCCTCCCACGAATTTCAAGACAGCCCTTTCTCACGGCAGTGTTTCTCAACTTTGTTAGCCATTCTTGCCGGAATTTCTTTTACTTTTTCGTACATTTTTTATCAAAATCACCAGACGTCCACTAGTCTGCAGCCATGTCTACGGATGGATACTTCGCGCCAGTGCCAGGAGTTAAGCCAACTAAAGGAGGAGCCTACCTTTGGCGCTACCTCCCGAACAAGCCTGCGGCGATCCTATTTCTCATTCTATTTCTCTTATCTTTCCTCTACATCAGCTGGAAGATCTGGAGGACTCGTGCTCGCTTCTGCATCGTCTTTGCAGTAGGATGCCTCTGTAAGTTGTGCAATGACTCTTGACCAACCTCAATGTGCTAACGCCCAGCAAGTCGAAGTTATAGGATATGGAGCACGCGCTAGCGCTCACGATAAGACCGACAGAATCATGACGTTCGCCATCCAGAACATGTTCATCATCATCGCACCGGTTCTCTTTGCCGCCTCAATCTACATGATCCTCGGTCGGATTATCACGAGTATCCACGCCGAGAAGTATTCGATGATCCGACCTGCCAAATTGACAAAAACGTTTGTCCTCGGAGACTTGGTTTCTTTCCTCATTCAGGGAGGCGCTTCGGGCATGATGGTGATCCAAAAGCCCGGTCTCGCGACTTGGGGTGAGAGGATTGTCATCATCGGCCTCGTTGTCCAGATCATCATGTTTGGTCTCTTCTGTGCTATCGCTGTGGTTTTCCATCGCAGAATGAGACAAGCACCCACTCCCGACTCCCTAGACGGCCTGATCCCGTGGGAACAGAGCCTTTACATGCTTTATGCCGTCAGTCTGCTTATCATGGTTCGATCAATCTTCAGAGTTGTCGAGTTCGCTCAGGGATATACGGGTTACTCTCTTTCCCACGAATGGACACTCTACGTTTTCGACTCCCTTCTTATGTATCTCGTCACGGTGCTCTTCGCTTGGAGGTTCCCAGACCGCTTGAGGTCTAAAGAAGATCTGGCTCTGTGAGTCAATGAGCATTAGCTGAACCTTTATTCTTCGAATCGGAATTCCATGTGGAGATGGATCACGCGTTTGAGGCAAGTCACGGTTTGGGACTTTCATTTGTCAGACAACGTCTTTTCAAATTCCATAATTACTAAGTAAAAGTCTTTACCTTCGACTTGGCTCCGTATGCTTTTGCTTGCGAGGCTGTATTAACTTGGTTCTTTTTCCCCACTCATCACATTACGTGCCGGTATGACCACTGGTGTCTCAACAGTTCTGGAATCGAGGATTCCATTCAGCTCATACTGTACTGTCATCATCAACCCGTAACCCTCAAATAACCAGTCAAGGGTATTACTTTCGGTACCGCTAGTCAGATTGCTATTATGATCATTCAGGCGCCGTGTGATTGCGTTTGAGAACTTTTTGTGTTTGGCCTTCAGGGTTTGTATGCCATCCGGGCCATTTCTCATCTTTTGTCCCAGCATACTGTGATGTTCCGGGGCTGGTTCGCAGGGCTGTATCATATGATTCCCTCGGCGTCGGCACGTCAAGCAGACGATGACTTTGCAATCATTACAGACTTCAAAGTCAACCTTCGGAATTATTGGCCGACAGCCAAGTGAGCAAATGCGGCCCCAAACGCCCTGCTGTTCTATCATGCCTCGGGCAAAGCAGTCGAGTTGGAGGGGCACTTGGTATCTGATTGAGAATGCCTTCTTCAGAAGCATCTCATAGAGTTTCCTGCGGCCGAATTTGGCCGCCAGAAGCAGTGCTTGGTTCAAAATCTCTGGTCCCTCTGATGGATTGGCATTGAAACGAAGTAACTCTTCAAGATACGAAGGGACCGAATCAGTACCAGCGATCAAGCCACTTACGACTGACATAGTGATGGCATTCTTCCCAAAAAATATCCTTAGAAATGACCAAGGACGAATCCTTACAGGCGTGTCTGAGACGACTGACGTTACCCGAGGATCCGGGATGAACCGCGAACCACAGGGGGGTTCTTCCTGCAACATCCCTTGAATTCGGGTCTGCTCCATGTCTGAGAAGCATCCCAACAACTGAACCGTTTCCGCTATCGATCTGAGAAGCATAGGAAAGAGGTGTTCTTCCAATGAGGTCCTGAGAACTTACGCTGGCCTTATGTTGCAGACACCAGCTTGTGTACTCTGGACTAAGACTAGCGTATGATAATGCGGTGCGTCCATGTTTGTCGCTGAGATCAACTTGTGCCCCATTGTCAATCAGTAGTTGCGCGCACTCCAGAGCTCGTTCAAATGACGTCCGCTCACTTCGACGGCTGCTACTTTCCAAAAGCCCCTTATACGTGTCATTCAGGTTGCGTAGGCCATGAGGGTCCCGGAGGTTTAGCCCCTCGGCAATGTAGGATAGTGGTGTTCTTCCAGTTGTATCTGCGCCATCCGCCTCCACTCCATTGTGGGTAAGGGATTTCAGACCACTGAGTGAGACAAAGTACGCAGCTATGCAGATCAGATACCGACCTTCATCTGACTTGAAGTCAAAGCCCTGTGCTTGGTTGAACACTTTCTCCATGATGTGCGAATTCCCCTGAACCACAGCACCGTCAAGAACGTCCAAATGACACGTGTCGCCGAAAGTTCTGTTCAGCGACACTTTCACAGGCAGTGTTTCGAGGACGCGGACGTTTTTAGCGAGAAGCTGATCGACAATAGCCTCAAGGTTGCGTTCAACGGCGTGAGAAAGAACACTTCGGGGATTAGACGTAAGCCCAATCTTCAGATCAACCTCCGTGCGTGCGTCAGACAGGATCTCTCTCACTGTTTCGATGTTACCTCTATTATCACATGAAGCGATGAGTAATGGGCTGATTTTCTCCCCATGATTCCTCTGTCCAGCCTAGTTGGGATTAACCCCTTTCCTGAGAAGGGCCGATACGAAAGAGGCATGCCCAAAGAAACAGGCTTCTATCAACAATCTCCCTCCTCGAAACTCTCTTAAATCGTCGTCTTGGACAGTATCCAACAGAACCTTGAATAATCAGGTGTCATTGTTCTGCATCGTCGCTACAAACGGTGTGGACGAGGGGAGTCTGTCGCCGTCCTGACCCCACTTGCCCGGCTGTCCTTCTGGCGAAGCTCCATTCTCAAGTAAGAGTCGAACCGTACTTTCGCAGCCATGCAGGGTCGCGTAATACAGCGCCGTTCTACCTCGAACGTCTTTGATATGGACTACATCTTTGTTTCCGGAAACTATTTGCGCCACCGCGATGTCGATCTCTAGGGCTGCCACCACATGTAAGAGACTTGCTTCGTCGCAAGTGCCAATACCGGCAAGACTTGCGGCGATAGACTTATGGTCGAGCAGCTCTTGAACATTCTCATGAAGGGTGACGGCGTCGGACTGGTGGACGTGCTTGCACCAATTATCTTGGGCGTACGCCAAAAGCTCTCTTGGGGTTCCAGATATGTCGCAGGACAATTTTTCATTCAATACACCATCGAGGTAGGGCATGGAGATCCAACACAAGCGATCTGAAAGCCCGAAGTGAATCAGATATGCAGCGCACGCGCCGCTGATTTTGTAATGAGCATTCGGGAAACAGGTCTTTGCGATCGCTTCGAAGTACTCTTGTGCTGCGTAATGGCTTATGCGGACGACGCGAGACATTTCATCGCCAACAATCAATCCTCCGCAGGCGGAGACGATGTCTGCTGTCTCATACATATTGTCTCTGTCCAGCCGCCCGTGATGATTCAAGCTGACTGCAGTGACTAGCTCATGGACCTTCAATGGTCTTTTGGCATGTGTGATCCACATGAGAGTCTCCATCGCTAAGTCGCCGTGCTCTTACATTTTGATTTTGCCCAAGACGTTGTCGTAGGCTTTGCGGAGCAACCGATGCCTCCCGTCATCGCCGCTGTTGGGAATTGATTGAGCGATGTGTGTGTCTCTTCGTATGTCAGTCAAGCGTTTGTTGACAGCTGGAACGTTGAGGTCATCTCGGAAAGCGTCCAGGAAGAGATGTGCTAGAAGAAACCTAGTTTTGGGACATGGTCAGCCAGCCGCCTGGCCAAGCGTTTACAAGCTTACTGTAGGACTCAAAAATGGAATACTCACATGCCGTCGACGATGCCAATAATGACATCTTTGACTTTGTTTCGAAGTTCTGGATGTCTTCGCAGGAGCGGTGACAGGTTTTGTGCGCGTCCGCCCAAGTACCTTTCCAAGTCCAGTGTTTCTGCGCGAACTTCTTGTACCAAGGAATTCGTAGGATCAAAATGACAGCTGATGTTGTCTATCTGTCGTGAAGTGACGAATAGTCTGACTTTTGACTGCCGCCATAGGTCGCCAATGATGTTCTAACATCTTTTCACGTCCGTTCGATTCGAAGACTTCCAGTTCATCTATTGCATCTATAACGATGATGCAGCTCGGAATCATGTCGATTGTGTCTCGTAGTATTTTCATGATGACCGTCGAGGGAAGCGGGTCTTTGCGTTCGTGCATCTTCTTCAACTCGGCAGGTAAGGAAGGTAAGGCTTAAGGACTTGTCTCAGGATAGATCGTAAAAGTGTCGATGAAGTGTCCAGGAACCGGTTCTTGTAGTCGCAGTACACATAGGCAAAAGCAATATCATCGCGGTCTCTGTATTCGCTATGAAGATGATCGACCACTGTCGCCGTGATTATCGTCTTTCCAGCTCCTATCCCACCAAGGCAAAAGAGAACACGGCAACATTCCTCGGATCCTGGGAAAGATAACCAAGTCTTGAAATTCTGGAACTCGAGGAACCATGTGTCGGTTCCTTCGTATCTTATATTGAGCAAATCAGTCTGTTCAAGCACGAATGTCCGAGTCGAAATCCAATCAAAAACCACTTTTCTGGTTTCGGCTTTCGCGTGATGTTGAAAGTGACCATGAATGATTTTGGCTGTACTGCGAGAATCGTCACGAACATTCTCGACGGCTTGACTCAGTTCGCCTAGTGTGTCGCGGACTTCGCCCATAGACTTGCCAATATGGTCGAGATACTGCTTCGTCTCCTGGATGACAAACCTGTGAAAAGTTAACATCATTTGAGGTCGGTGAACGGAGATATGCAAGGTGTTCATACTGCTGATTTGCCTGTGCCACCAACATGAGTTTTGTCTTCGCATCCCGAATCGCTTGTATTTGTGTCTCGAGTTTCTGGTCAAATTTGGTCCCTTTGAACCACTTTTTGACGAAGTTCTTCCCAGAAAGACATTCATTCAAGATGACAAGTGCCTGGCGACATCGGGTCAAGATGTCTCCTAAACCTTCGATATATTGTGCGTTCAGTGGCTGTCTACCTGCCTCAACCAATTTTAGAAGGGGCTGAAGGATCTCAGTCGTCTGTATGATGTCGTCGAGCCAGCCGGAGAGACGCTCCAGTTCTGAGGTGTCATGCTTCGAAGGGCCGATATGCTTATTCGCAAGTTGAAGGCATTCCTTTGCTAGTGGAAGAACTCCAACCGCACCAACGACAAGACCTGCGACCTCCATGGTGCTTCTCCCCGTGGGAAGCGGAGGAGTGGGAGATGACCTCAAGGTGCAAGTGAGTGTTGATATCTCGCCTAGGGAAAGACAAAAGGCCCAAAAGGTTGCATTCGTCGGAGTTTCAGCAGTATCTGAGCCGCGATGGAAGCAAGAGCTAAGATAAATACCAGGTCACGAAGACTAAAGTCCAAAATGAGGGATTGAGGTTCGGAAATGGGCGAGGTAGAGCTGAGAGAAGGAAGGCAGCATGGCTTTGTGCAAAACGAAGAAACATTTGGAAACCTTGCCTCTGCTAGGATCCTCAACTACTTTCAATCATGCTCCAAGGGGGCATGGAGTGAACAGGGAATCAGGCATCCCCCAAGGAAGGTAACCACGGCCGACCGTGTCTCAGTGGGACATGATGTTATCGATACTCTCTACAGAAGTATGATGCTTTCATCTGGAAGTCAACTTTCTTTGACAATTCCAAAACATAGTATGTCCTGTGTCTAGCATTCATGTTCCCTCTTAAAAATAGCCCTAGTCCAATGAAGAAGGATCAAAGTCCTCCTTCATGTCAGGCAGCCAGCCTTTTGGCCGTTCCGTCCCACGGATTGCCAAGCCGTAGCCCAGTTTCTCCACCTTGCGCACCGACTGTCGCATAACCTCCATCTTGCCCCTGAAGTCTCTTGTCGGAATCTCTGGAAGGATCTCGAAGCAGCTGCTCAGCTCATGGATATCCATCAGAATGTTGCGGCCCTCGATGCCGGCGAGCTGACCGGTCTGGGCAGTGGTCACCGTAGCGAAACGCATCATCTCGCCAAAGAGGTCAAAGAGACCAAACATGTAGTCATTTTCGGTGATTGAGACATTGGCTGGAACAGCCGCTGCTGTCTCTGCCTCGCTGATGAGTGTCTGGTTCCGGAGGTAGTGGGAAAAGGAGAGGGCCTCAACGAGCTCCTCTAGGCAGCGGAGAGAGTGAGCGTAGCGGTAGCGGTTGAGGCCTTGGATGTCATTCTCAATGGCGGTGAGATGTTTCTGAATCTCGCCCATGCGCGTTTCGATCTCCTTGTTGGCGAATTTTGGAAGGTCGCCCAGCTTGTTGACTCTGGCCCAGTATTAGTAGATGGATGGCATGAGAACAATGTGAGGTCGGTGGGAGTCACCTTTGGCAGGTGAAAATGCTGCATCCATGTTAGCCAAGCTCCAGTTCAGACGGATTATTGTATGCTCACATCTTCTTACTCAACGCGGTGACATCTCTCGATGCCTTGACAATGCGTTCCCTCCGGTCGTGGTGCTGGTCTAGCTCGTCGCGGAAATTCATGAACATGGGGGTGAATTGAGACTCGGGCGCAGCCGGCTTCTGTTTGGGCTCATGAGTCCGCATGTTGCCATCCCGGTCGCGCTTAGACATCCTGAATTACTGCAACAGTTGGACGGTGTTGGTGAGATGCGAGGTCGGGAAAAAGTGAGGCCGTCGATGAAGTCAGTGACTTGGAGTGATGTTGCTGTGAGGTCGTGCAGGGTCAGAATTGAATTTAGTGGGGTCGGCAGATGGAGCACCCGGGGTGTGGGCCCAGCACACCCATCCAGGTCTGGGCTTCTGTGTCCAGGGGCTGGCCGGTTTTGCCCACGTCACTCAAATTTCCCATCATGGCAATATGGGGATTTGAAGCTTCAACCCCGAAACTCACATTCGCTTCAGCACAGCATTACTTTCAGGGCATGTTCAATGGCTTTCTGGCTCATTTTACTCGAATAATACTTTCTGATTGAATAGCCGATAACCCTGCGGCGAGACACATCTCACCCGATTCATACGTCAGCATGGCCGGCCTCGACGCGTTCTTCCGGCCCGTGCCGCTTTTCGGCGCCGCCGCGATCCTCCGTGTGGCGATGTTGTACTACGGCCTGTGGCAGGACGCCAACTCCGCCGTCAAGTACACCGATATTGACTATCTGGTCTTCACCGATGCGGCTCGCTTCACTGCTCAAGGGCGCTCACCCTACGACCGCGAAACTTACCGCTACACGCCACTTTTGGCCTGGATGCTCGTGCCAACGGCATGGCAAGGATGGTTCTCATTTGGCAAGGTCGTTTTCGCGGTCGCTGACTTACTAGCCGGCTTCTTGATTGTGCGCATTCTCGAGAGGCGCGGCGTGAAGATGGGGAGAGCACTGAAGTTTGCCAGTATCTGGCTGCTGAATCCCATGGTCGCAACGATCAGCACCCGTGGGAGCTCGGAGGGACTCCTGGGTGTATTGGTCATGGCGCTGCTTTGGGCCGTGCTTGAGAGACGTACAACGCTGGCTGGGCTGTTGCTTGGCTTCGGAGTTCATTTCAAGATCTATCCTTTCATCTATGCACCAGCAATTGTGTGGTGGATGGATGAGGAGATGCTCGATCGAAAGGGTGCAGGTCCCAGTCAGACGCAGACTTTTGGCGAAGCCGTGGTCAAGTTTGTCAATGCTGAGAGAGTCAATTTGGCCATCGTCAGTCTTGCGACATTCATGGGGCTCAACATTGCCATGTTTTCAATGTAAGAACCCAGGTAGCTGGCTATTCTGAGCAGTGCTAACCACCCCACAGCTACGGCACGCCTTTCTTGGTGCACACTTACTTCCACCATGTCACCAGGATCGACCACAGGCACAACTTCAGCCCTTATAACGTGCTGTTGTATCTGACGTCTGCTTTCCCATCCGCAGCTACCATCCGCATCGAATCTGTCGCCTTTCTTCCACAGATCCTGCTATCAACGGTCCTCGTTCCGTTCATCTTAGCCAAGAAGGATCTCGCAACGTCGATGATGGCTCAGACCTTTGCTTTCGTGACCTTTAACAAAGTCTGTACGAGTCAGGTAAGAGAAGACTGTCACTCAATCGGTCTCACAAGCTGTGGCTAACATTCGAGCAGTACTTCCTGTGGTATATGGTCTTCCTGCCCATTTACCTCCCCGGCTCAACGTTTCTCAAGAACCCGAAGCTAGGGGCTACTGCTTTGAGCCTGTGGGTTGTGTCACAAGCTGCTTGGCTACAGCAGGGCTTCAACCTGGAGTTCCTGGGCGTTAGTACCTTCTTTCCGGGCTTATTCGCGTCATCCGTAGGATTCTTCCTCGTTAATTGTTGGATCCTGGGTATTATGGTCAGCGATGGCGATTCAACAGCCATGGAGACAGGCGTTAAAGCCAAGCAATAATATTCGCAAGATGATGTAGATGCCAGAAGAAGAAGAAGATCTAGTTACCTTAAGGGTTCCATCACATACGTAGTGAACTGGACTTGATACCCGTCTACCCTTTTATTTCTGATGAATGTTGTCAGACCATCACCCACACCTAATGAACCAAATTACGTCTGTACCGATCTTCAGATCCTTTATTTAATCGCAATTTCATGCCAGATTTAGTCGACTGATATTGCCAAGTCCGAAAGAGAGGTTCAAAGGGGGTGTGGTTGTTGCCTGAAAGTGGACACGTGATCCGGCGTCACTTTCCCGCGACGGAACGCGCGTGGGCACACGACCTCCATTCATCCTCTACACCAACTCAATCCCGTCGCATTGCCCAATATTGTAGGCCTCACAGCCAGCACTCGAACCACGCGCCAGTCCGCGGTCCTTTCTTCCGTAGACAGGTCGCAATGTGGCTACTTGAGACTGATGGCAACGTGTTCGAAGGTATATCTCAGTTTACCCCACTAATTGTGCAAGATGCTGACGCGATTGATGCACAGGGCGACGGCTTTGGCTCCGGCCAGGCAAACGATATCTCTTCGGCCGAACGGACTCGGAACGTATGGGTTATGATTAGACAACCATTCTTCACGAACTTCGCTGACGGACTGCAGCCGGACAACTGGCCATCTCCCACAAGACCATTTCGCGCAAACATCTGACCATCGAGGTCGACAATGTGTCCGACGGCGACAGCGTACGTAGGCGCATTACGACTGGACAGTGCAATAGCTGAATGTCTTTCTAGCAACATCTCTCGCGCCGATCGACCGTCACCATCGAAGACTTGGGCACCAAGACCGGGACGACCGTGGACGGGCACAAATATAAGGGCGAGAAGCATGTCGTGGCTGCAGCCTCGGCAGAGATTAAGATGGGTGGCTGCCCTGATATGTTTCGGTAAGGATCTTGTCGTTCGAAGATGCGGAAAGCCTGCTGATGGTCTTCTAGCTTGACCTGGCAACCTGTGGCGCTCACATTCAGCTTCTCAAGCCGAGAAATGCAGTCCGACCCTTTTTCGCGACTGCGTGTCGACCTTGAGCAGCTTGATGTGAAGTTGTTGGCGGATTACAATATTCAGCATACGTCACACGTTGTCACAAAGAAGCGCAACACTTCCAAGGGTTTGCAGGCGCTGATCAACGGAAGGTACATTGTTGCAGACTCCTTCGTGGATGCCATTATCGCGGCCGCGACACCCCCAGAAGATGACGATATCACTGCCTCCTCTGCATTGGAAACAGATTTTGATGGCAACTGGCCAGATCCGCTAAAGCATCTGCCTCCTCGCGGTGGCGAGCCTGTCGAGAGGCCTCCATCCGCGTATGCGCCGGACGAGGCCCGCTTGGAAGTCTTTGAGGGGTACACCTTCATCTTCTACGATAAGGGACAGTTTGATAATCTTTTGGCGCCAATCACCAACGGCAAGGGCAAGGCTCTATACACAAAGGTCGATCCAAAGTCAACTACAGTAGACGATTTCGTTCTCTACGTTAAAACAGAAGCTGGTGAGAAAGGCCTCGGTTCCTTTGACGACGGTAGCGAAGGGCGAGGTGTTGTAGTTGTCCGCTTCGTGCCGAACAAGGGTGACATTGTCGATTGGTATGCCGACTTTTTCACTCAAGTCTCTCTCCGACTTGATCACAGACCCATCGAACAAAACGAGTTTCTCGAGGCCATTCTCATTAAAGATGCCAGCATATTGCGCCGGCCTTTGGAGATGGACCCGACTCAGGGTTCGGCAAGCACAGCACCGCAACAGGAAGTGGCGAGAGTTGACTCCAGCTCGATGGATATAGATCAGCCAACGACCTCACAAAACACGCCTCAAGAGTCTGCGCCCCCGCCTAAGCCTGCTGCTGCCAGAAAATGGTTGCGGAGGGCACCGACAAGGCGCTTTGCTGGATTCGACGCGGATGATGACGATGACGACGCCTTCACCCCTCCAGTAATTGAGAGCAAATCAGTCGACGCTGAAGCTGAGGACGAAGCATTATTCGTATCTCAAGATGCGCATGCGTCAAACGATGTAGCCGAACCATCGCCAGATACGAACAGACGATCTCAAAGGAAACGCCCCGCAGCACAGGACGATGACATTGAGGATATTATCCCGACAGCTGCCGCAGTCAAACGACGAAGGATCGCCGCCGGAGAAGAGCCTGTTCCGCGCAACGAGCCACCCGAGCCCGCGAAACCCGAGCCAAAGCCCGCGCCAAAGGTCAAGAAGGTGAAGAAGGAGATTGATGTTCTAGACGTCGCCCGCCAGCAGAGGGAAGCGATGGAGGCCCGACTCAAGGCAGAGAAGGAAGATTTAGCCAACCTGCCCGACGATGTTGACCTGGAGCAGATCCGTCGGTTGCACATCGTCGAGGAGATGCCTCTACGTCAACCACCAGCCAACAGGAGTCACGATGAAGACGATGAAAATGGCAGGTGGGATCCACGGTGGAATGGAAGGAAGAATTTCAAGCGCTTTAAGCCGCGAGGTGAACTCACGGGACGGCCACCTCAAAAGGTCATTGTGTCCCTGACGCAAGTTAAGCCCAAGGAATTTGGCATTGGAGACGATTACTGGCTAGAGGACGACAGCCAGCGCAAGAAGAAGGGCAACGAGAGCCAAAAGAGCGGTACAGCCCAGGACGAGCCTGCTCTCCCGCCACCGCCGCGGCCTGCATCTCGGCCGGCATCGCGACAACAGCGTGTCGTCCTAAGCCATGACAGTGAAGATGACGACATACCCGATACCCAGGCTGAGCCCGCACCAGTGCCAGAGCCTGAACCTGAACCTGAGCCGACGCCGGCGTCACGATCAAGGAGCACGCGCGCGACGACGGCGACACAGTCGCAGAACACCACACAGAGCCAATCGACGAGACAGACTCGCGGGAAGAGAGCTGCGCCAGAACCAGCCAAGGAGCCGCCGGCGAAGAAGCCGAGGGCCGCGCGGAAAGTCATCGAGGTTGCGGATAGTGACGACAGCGAAGATGAGCTCAAGTTCAAGTTTGGCCGGCGGCGTTAAGTGGGCAAAGGGAGGGAGTGTGGTAATAATGATGTATGACTTGCATTCGCGACGGGCGCTGCTTCTATTGTTGGGGGTATCTCTCTATCCGTATTCTGCATGCAGTCTCGACCTGATCAATTACAGGCGTCTACAGCCGCATCTTGCTTATATGTGCCTCTCAGTGCCATTGCTTATGTGAAACCGAAAACCATACCATGTACATCAGTCCATCTCATCCATCGCGCTCGGCTTTGAACCCTCTTCCTCATCCACCAACAGCCCCACGAGGCACGCGGAGAGCATAGTTTCGTAGTTCACCCACGGATGAATCTCTCCAAACAACTTCGTCCCATCACGTCCCGCGCCACGCAGCAACTCGGGCTCGCCGGCCGGGTGGTACGGCAGGTACGGCGTAATGTTGTACACCCTCCCACCCAACGCCATCCACGCATCCTTCCCCTTCCTGCCCGTCATCTTCTTCAGCATCGAGGGCGTGACTTTGAGGTATGGCGTCGAGGGCGGGAGGTTGCGCAAGTCGGCGTTGGGGCCTGAGATGCGCGCCCAGTCGAGCGGGGAGTGGCCCGGCGTGAGGATGACCTTGCGCGTTGGCTTGGGGGCTTTTGCGGAGTGCGTTGGCGGCGGCGCGAGGGAGGAGCCGAGAGAGGAGCTTCCAGATGCCGGGCCACGGTTCGGTAGGGGGCCGCGGGCGCGTTGGGGGGAGTTCATTGCGGGAAAGGCGGCTAGGCGGGGAGGGACTGGGCCACGGGGTGTTGGGGCTGGTGGTGGCATCATGTTGGTTGAGGTTGTTGAAGGCGGAGGGGGAGGAGGGGGCATGTTTCCTTTCCCGAGAGAGGATCCTGAGGGCGAAGAGAGTGATGCGCCGAGAGAGGGTGGTGCCATTGCCTTTGAGGGTTCTTCGAGGCTAAAGGAGGGTACGGGGGCGGCGGGAGCGGCCAGGGTTGCCTTTGGCGTTGTTTGTTCTTCGGTTTCTGGCTCGGTGACCACGGGCGGGGCGGGAATCGCAGGATTCGGGGAGGAACAGCGGATGGCTGGCGGAGGAGGAGGAGGCATAGCGACAGTGGTGCCGGTGTTGCGCGGTGCCGACGCGGGTGCGGCTACGGGGTCATCGGGGAGATTAAGGGTTGGCGGGGGAGGGGCATCCCGCGGCCGTTCCTTGGTGGAGGGCTCAGGTGCGTGCCCGTTCAAGGCCGTCGTCTTTGACTCATGTTGGTCGCTTGGCGGTGGAGGAGAGGAGGGCTTTGACCGCGAAGAAGGCGGTAGGAGCTTTGTGTCGTTTCGCCAGGCGAGGAGGAAGGGCGGCATGAAGGGGTGTATCCATGGCGGAGGGGCGACGATGACCCAGACGAAGGAGGCGAGGATGAGGGAGACGCCGATGTAGCCCATGATTGCGACCCTGTGATGGGCCGTTGGCCACGACGGGGGCGATGGGATGGGAGCAAGGGAGGTTGAAGGAAAGGAGATAGCGAGCGCTGAAGCTTAGTTGAGGTTGCGGCTGAATACTCAGATATGGAAGCTGCGGTTGTGTTTGTGTCTCTTTCCCATGGAGGTTCTGCGCAAGATGGGAAATCTTTGTCAGCTTGCAGCGGCTGCAACATTGACTTGGGCTTTCCGAGGCCGCTGAGTGGTGCAAGCTTTAGCTCGCGGGCTGCTAAGCGACAAGGGGGGGCACGGGGTTCACTGGCGGGGTTCGAGCCTTTCCAGGCTGTTCAGCGGCATGACGCGCTACAGTCTACTATGTACGGTAGCAGAGATGCGCATTTCAGGTGCAGTCTGCAGAAAGAAAAGAGGATGATGAGGTAAGCGGTGCAGAAAAAGTACGTACTCGACGCTAAGGTGATTTGAGCCGGGCAACCAGCCAGACCCCCGGGACACGGGCTGACGGGTAGAAGAGAAAAAAAGAAAATAAACGAGATGGAACCACCCGGACCCCGACGCCGACCAAAACAAAAATAACAGACACCCACACCACACCACACCAAAAGTCTACCACAGTAGAGAGGGGAGGAGAAAAAAGGGAAAAAAGCAAAGAAGATCGAAAGGTGACATGTCACCGCCGCCGGGTCCCGCTAAACCATTCACCATTTGCAGACTAGGGGAACCTACTGGCCGCCCCTCCACGCCCTGCCCTGCCTGTTGCTCGAATCCTCACCGATCACAACCTACAGGGACTGGGTGCCGAGGCAGACAAGGCAGGGTTGGTGGAGTTTATTGGCCGTCTTTTGTGCAGGATGTAGTTGTGTTGAAGCCGCAACGCATGAATAAACAAATGCCAATCGAGATGAATGATGGGGAAGGATGGCGATGGGAGGAGCACGAATGCATGGTCAATGGATGCAGGAACGACCAAAACACACAGTAACTATACCACAGCACCACAGGGTGAAGGGGATAGGACGCGGCACAATAATAGAAGCGTGGTGGACTCGTGAACGTGGTTCCTGTGGTTCCTGTGTTCCCGTTGTTCTACGGATCCCCAAATCGAGGCGAGTCCGAGCTGGGGTTCTGGCAGTGTCAACGATGAAGAATAACGATGTCATTTTGCATTTCTGCATCTCTCGTAATTATCGTCTCGTTCCGGACAGGCATCATATGGCTCCTTGTCTCTGCTCTTTGCCTTAGCCTTTTGAATGACATTCATTCTTCAACTCGCGCCTCCTCCTCCCCCTCACCTCCATTCCCGCGTCTTCTTTCTAACCTGAACGCGTCTTCTCTTCTTTTAGGCTTGAGCACCTGACGGCACATGTCTCATATCCGGCATTACTCCTGTTGATCACGAACGCATGTTTCAATCGCAACGACGTTTGACATCGAGTCTATCCGTTTGAAATCATCTGGAACGAAACAAGGCGCAAAGACACGCACACAACACACACGAACCAAGAAAGAAAGAAAGAGAGGCAGCGACAGAGACAGGCACACGACAACCTCATTCTCTGGCCCTCCTATCCTCACCGAGAGGAGCAACTCTGACCGTCGGAAATCTCCCACCTCCGGGCCACACACGAAAAGAGCATACGAAAACCGAAAGAGAAAAAAAAAGACATCAGAAACGGTAGCGATATTTGACACACACCGCATCGTGGATTCGTGCCTCGTACCGGAATTACAGGCTCTTCAACAACCCTCACCCAACCTTGACTTCGAAAAGGGACCCCCTCAAAAACAACCCCACTGCACACACCGCAGACAAGATTGGCCTTGCGCGGAACCCCCTTCTTCAGGTTTACTTCCAGAATTTCCAAGGGACAGCCCGGGCCAGGGGTGGACACCGGGAGAGAGAAAGACTCCAGGACTTGCAAGAGAGACACAGACGGCTAGGGACGAAGCCAAGCAACGCCAGGGACTTCCCAGCACAGCGGTCTTTCGTCCAATGTCTCGAGCACCACAATCAAGTACCTTTCCCCGAACCACCACCTCCTTTTCGCGTCGCTCAATGGTGGAGGTACTTCCTCACCTTTAGCACCAGCATCTGCAACCGCACCCGCACACCCGCACCTGCAGGTACGTACCCGCAGGCACGGTTAGGTGCTGCCCCCTCAGAAAATGCGAGCGCTCTCCTCCGTGGGCGTTGGCGGCGGCGGTGGTAGCGACAACAGCAACAACAGCAGGAGAAGCAACAACACGCCGTCTGGCTGCAACAATCTTTCGACTGCTCCCTCGGCCCCGTCTCCCTCACCTTCATCAAGGCACGCCGGCGATTCATTGACATCGCCGCCACTGAAAGGCACTCACCCACACACCACCACCACCACCACCAATACCAAGCATCCCCAACAGCCAGGAAACAACAATAAGCTTCACCCAAACCACCAAAAACATCTCGTCGTTCAGCAGGGAAAGCAGACGCCCGACTCGTCCCGAACTAGGAGAAACATCAGGCCATCCATCTCACCCGCCACCCGCATCAACCCCGCCGCATCTGCTCATCGTCCATCATCCAACTCGTCCAGGCCACCTGGGACGACGACAACGACATCATCCCGTCCATCGGCTGCTCCCTCGGGTTCCTCTGGCCCTGGTGCCTCTGCTGGTCCAACCTCCGCAACATCGTCGCCCGCCGCCGTCGCTGTCGACCGCAAACCCACGGCGGCCCAGCTCCGAACCACAAATAATCCCACCTCGACTAATAACACCAATCCTACCGCCGTCGATCGCTCGCCCACCCCTACCACTGCTGCTACTGCTGCTGCTGCCACTCCTACCACCACCATCACCACCACCACCACACGCCCACCACCACGGCCACTTACCGCTGCTGCCACTGGCCCACCAACGATAAACGGGCCCCGACGCATCACAGCTGCTGCCACTAGTGCCAGCACCACCAAAACACCCACCACCACCGCTCGCCTAAACACAACATCGTCACCTTCACCTCCCACCACCACTTCTTCAACGCCGACAACAACACCAGCACCACAACCCACTACAACTCCAACGTCGACGCCATCCTCTACATCGAGACGACAGCCGCCTGCCCTGTCCTCCAGCTTGCGCACACCCCTCCGCACACGAGACCAAAATGTCCTGAACCCCTCTCGAACTGCAAACGCCGCGCGAGCGAAGCCTTCGCCAACCCCGTCACCCACCACCGGCACATCACCAGCGTCCGCTTCCGCTTCCTCCACACCCACCATGCCCCCCTACGAGAAAGGGGGCAGCACCACCGCTCGCCAGCCGGCGATGCCTTCCCTCGGCGCAAAGGCAATCGGTCGAGCTCCTCTGACCCCGAAAGTCGCTGCGAAACCTTCACCCCCGGTCGTCACCCCCATGGGTCGTCGCCGCAACGACAACACAAGCAATAACAACACAAATTACCCCACACAACCGCACATTAATGGTGGAGGTGCAAGAGACGACCTCACGAGCCCTGCGCCTTTCCTGGCTGCGAATAACATCACACCTCGTACCGGCAGCCGCCAGAGCCGTGTCAGCAGTACCAACACAACCCCAAATGGCACTCCGGATCCGGACAGAAACGAATGGGAACGCCAGCCGACACTCGAGCCTCCGAGGCGGCAGGTCGTGACCTTCAGTCCGCCTTCAAGCGTAAGCAGCAGGAACGATGCAAACGATTCCAAGTTCTTTTACGCCAGCGAGGCGAAACCATCGCAAGCTTCCCAGCCAAAAGCTCAGCCTCTCAAAGCCCAGCCCAGACCTCTGGCTCCCCAGCATCGAAATTCGACTTTCATGTACGCCAACGGTGGTTCTGTCGAAAAGAACAGGCCTACATCACCTGGTATTGGTTTCACACCTGTCCTGGCGCCGTCGCTTGCACCGTCTCTCTCCCCGCAACTCGCCCCGGCGCCGGAGCCGCCATCGAGCAAGTTCTTCTACGCCAATGGAGCTCCGAATTTACAGCCTGGCTTCCGGCCCTCATCCGCAGCATCAATGACGGGATCAGTCACTTCGGCGTCGAGCAAGCTGCATAGGACATCAGCAGGCTCGGCGAATGGCTTCCCTATGGCCCAGCGACCGATTTCGCCAAACAAGCCAACCCAACCTCCAACGTCCGCGCCATTGGTCAAGAGCAATAGTATGCCGCCTCACACCGTTGGCCGAGCCCATATGACTAGCCCTCCGCCGCTCGCGCCGCCGTCACATAAGCGAAGGACGAGTACCGACACGCTCTCACAGGTGGCAAGTCAGGTTGGATCAGAGGCACCAGCGACAGATGCCATGATCATGTCCAGATTCATGGCTTCGCAAACATCGACACCCTCCGAATTGCCGTCTCCGACAGCGCCGAGTTTCTTTGCGCAACAGCCGATCACGATTGCGTCAATAATTCAGGCAGCAGACGATCTGGAGGAAGAGGAGGAGGAGGATTCGGCTGATGAGGATAACGATCTCGAGGACCTTCACAGCCCGACCAAATCATCCCATGGAGACCCTTTGAACGACATGGTTCTCAACGCGAGAAGAGAGCGCAAGGTTCAGGATCTGGAAATCACCAACGCGTCTCTAGAGGCAATCAACAGGTCGCTGGAGAAACAGTTAAGGAAGCAGACGGCAGAACTAAGGAGGTACAAGAGGCTGTCGAGGTCCGGGCGTCTGTCCGTCCCTCCTTCGGGCGGGTCAAGCCGGATGACTTCCGCCGACTCCACCCCTGCAGGCCTAGGCATTGAAGGACTGGACTTATCGGATCTCAGCGAGGAAGAGGCGGAGGAAGAGATGGACGATTCCATGTTTGAATCATCAGAGCTTTCCGAGACGGATTCCATGTCGATATCAAGCCCCAAGGAAGACCCGGAACGAGACCTACGCCGCCGGACAAGGGATGAGAAGCGCCTGCGCTTGGATCTCTCGAAACATAGGGAACTGCTGGTCGACAGCCAAAAAATCAACGTGAGCATCAAGAGATGCTTGAATTGGACGGAGGAGCTCATCAAGGAGGGCAAGAAGGCCCTCGAGTACAGCGTCCGCCCTAGCGACGTGGAGCTACCCCCGCGGGTACTCCGCCCGGCATACCTTGAAGAGAACGAAGATGGAGAGAAGGGGCAGAAGGATGAGTTTACAACCTCATTACCGAGCAGTCCATTAGATTCCCCGAGGAGTCTGTCGCCCCACTGGAGCAATCCGCAGGACCGCGATAGCGGCATCGAGCTGCCTGCGGACGAAAAGAAGTACAACACAACAACATAATCTACAAAGCAGAACGGATCTCACCGTCGCGGCCTGGACGTTGCGGCGGCATCGCATAACATCACCACTCACGGAACACACAATTTTCCTTACAAAACATTCTACTTTTCTTGCATGGCACGGGGGAATCAGTCCAGGTTTGGGATAAGTCGGAACCACGGCGTTTTCTTTTGTTTTCCATTGGCCTTTGAGAAAGACAGGGAAAAGGTTTCTCCTCCATCGGCGACGGCATCGACTCTTGCCCCTCCAGAGGGGCCATCACGAGGGACCTGACGCATACACACACTGCTTTTATTATACCTACTTTTTTTTTCTGGTTCTTTCTCCTTTGTCACACTGTTTTTTGTGTACCAACAGATACCCCAAAGCACTTTACATATAAACAACGGAACATAAAGGGGCGGGCCGAATGAACCATGTTTTCATGGCCGCGCTTAGGTTTGGTTTGGGAAACGTTTGTTGACTCTTGCCCAGAATTTATGGAGCAGAGCACAGAAGAACGAGACAGTGGGAGGAAGACGAGATGGGTCCAAAGCCCAAGCAGTCGCGAAGCCGATTTGTATCATAGCAAATTCAAGCTAAAAAGGCCGGTGAAAGACCTGGCGATCACTTCAACTTATGCGTCTTTGCTGCTCTATGTTTCCGTGTGTGACATGTCGAATATGTTCGAGTCGTGGCTGGGGTTATCTAGGGATTCCAACGTCTCTTCAGCTACGACGGCTGGTGGTTGTTGTGCTAGAAACTGGACACTGAGACGGCAAGGAGAATCTGCGAGATTGTGAGACATGAGGCTGTCAGTATCCGAAGAGATGGGCCGAGACCTTTCTTACTTCAACGTCTTGGCGTTTCAGTTCTTAAAGGAGGCGGCGAATTTCTCAACAGTCTCACTAGAGAGTGGGTATTTGCTACTAGGTGAGTCAAGTTTCTACCTACTCTAAAGGTCAGCGAGGCATTTCCCCCTTTTGACTTTGCGGATCGGCTGACTTCTGGACTTGGGAGAAGCCGAAGTTGGCGAGTAAGGGACTCGAAGAGTTCAAAAGCCCGGCTTGAAGCGAGATGTTGCTTTCCACTATTAGACTCCTTTCTGTCCATTTCGTGCTACTGACGGCGGTTCATGGCGATCAAACCCCAGTCACTGGCATGAATCTGCTCGTCTGGCAGGAGATCTAGTGTGGAATCCCCTATTTGATGGATAGATGTCCTCGTTCCTGTGCCTCTTGTCCTAGTTGGATCAGGGAGACACTGGTCGTCAATGCCGGCGGTGTTCTTCGCAAGGTTGGCTTCTAACAGGGCAGTGATTTATGCCTTCTAGATTTCGTTCTGCTATTGGATGGTATTTATTTGTGAATATATAGCTGAATAGGAGGTATGGGGTATCGCAGGGTAGATCTTATTGAAGACTGGGGTCTCTTTGCTGGTTCAGGAAATCGACGACGGCCAAGGTGAAGCTTCATGCTGCCCAGATATCATGGGCATCGATTTCCGAACCAGCTCCTAGGTCAAATTCACGGTTGGTTTCCCTGGAACAGTAGTAGTCTTTTGGTGCTTATATCAAAGTCCTTATAACCACCTCGTTATCCTCGTATGGCTGCTGCGACCACGTATCTAATTCGTCGTACTTTCCTACTCACGACGTTTCTTCCCCTTTTAAGAATATCTACACCTACATAGAGATAGGAGGGTGTCGATAAGCTCAAGGTTACTGTGTTGAGTCTCTAGATGTTGTATATCGGATTGGGCTCTATTACGCGGTTGGGCTGTAGCGGTCGTTGCCGCTATTCCTCTCCCCTCCTCCGGGCCAACCCTTCATAGCGACGCTGAAATCGCATTTCATCGACCTCATTGATAGGACTGAGAAGGTGTCCCGGTGCATGTGTGCAACTGAGACAGACGAGGGTGATACCAAATCAGAGCACATCCGATTCCTCCTGTTGGCGCTTTATGCCTCGCGGGTTGGTCGACGCGAGTATTGGACCTCACGCATATGCAAGTTGATAGTTCGCCAAAGGCCGCATGTCCAACTGGAACTACTTGAAGTGTGAACCTCAACGGCGAGGCTTAAGGAGTACATAGAAAAGTTTCCGTTGGATAGCCTCCAGTCTTCTTCAGAAACCTTTCGGTGAGGGGTAAACTGTAGGCAGGATGCTTTACAACTTGAGTTGTAGGTATTTTCCTTCACATTAAAAGCCCCTTGGTCTCTTCTGGGAAGTTTCCAACCTGTCTTGGACCTCTATCACACTTCCGCTCCTCGGTTCGCCTTCATTCGGATCAAGAAGCGGGTTGGCCCCGTCCTTTGCGCGATAGCTACTCCGAATAGTATCGAAGTCGCGAGGGAGGCGGTTGAGAACATTGCCACACAACATGGCTATGTGGCTCAAGACAAGTTGCAGCAAATTCAACCTTAAATGCGTCGGGAGATTGAGCAAGCGTTATTTTGGAAAGATCAGATGATCAGATTCAGCGTCATCACATACATATCTGGGTGACTTAGACCTTGGACCGACATACTAACCACAAGTGATGAGGCTCGCGAAGAACCTGCACTCCAGCAAAGCCCGTTTCGTCTTTAAAGTCTTCCAGAATGCCGATGACAACAAATAATCCAAGGCCTCAAGTTTGGGCTCCAAGTCGTTTGTGTCTTTCCGAATCTTTCCCCGCAAAATCCTGGTCGAATGCAACGAGGATGGGTTCACTCAAAAGAATCTCAAAGCCATCTGCGCTGTTGAATAGAGCTCCAAGACTGATACCCAGGGCTACATCGGAGAGAAAGGCATTGGCTTCAAGTCCGTCTTCATGGTTGCCCATAAAGTGCACATCCAGTCAGGTCCCTATTCGTTTTCTTTCAGACACAAACCTTGGAAACGGGGATCGGCATGATATCATCCCTATGGGAGGAGACCAGTGAGCAGCTCTAATCGCCATTGGCGAGAATCGCCCTCCATCTCCACGATGCTGGAGACCAAAATGAATTGGCCAAGACACACGAGTCGATTCGGACTCAATTTGAGACGCTCCAAGCAAAAATGCTGCCATATGGAAGAAACATCCGACGAATTCAGATAAACATTCTACGATGACGAAGAAGAACAAATGTCCTCGGTGACTTATGACCTTACTCGGCTCGAGCACAGCCATGTGCTGCCAAAGAAGATCAAAACCGAAAAGGCGGCGCCGGGAAAGCACCTACACGACTTTTACAAGACGTTTTCCTCCCAACGAGCCAACGGTATGGAGCAGCTAGATTCAACCTCACAAAAAGATGCTTCTGGCTTCAGTTGTAATATCCCCAGTTTTCAAATTACCGAAAAGAACTCAAGAATGCCATAGAAAAGCATCAGTTTTACCATCTTTTCAACCTCTACCTGTGTGATGGGACACAGACATTCATGCCACGAGCCTCCCTCCCGATCTCTTTCAGCAGCTCCTCTGCATGACCGACGACTCCAACGTACGCCATCTCATTCAAGATATAGCAGGCCTTGCTTATAATGTCGTATATGGCGAACAATGTAGTATTCGAAGCGTACACAGGTAGTAGAGTCCGTACCACAATGGAGCATTGATTGGCGGCCCAGCGATCGAACTTGGTATCATAAAGACAACGATAAGTCCAGAGAAGGATTATCATAGACTTTGCGTGGTGGAGCTGAAGAGACCTGGCGTCCCAACCGTCAAGATGTGGCGTAGTACTGTTATTGATGTAGATAGTAACGACCTTCAAGGCTATGGACTCGTAGCTCACACTTGCGGTTGTTAATCATCCGAACTAACTCATTATCGAGATCCTAGCGAACCATACAAGACGATGAGATTGATTGACGAAACTCACTGGAGTGAAAGAACCGATGAAGCGACGCTGTTTCCCATATCGAGATGATCCGGCAAGGCTAGCTTCCAGTCATGCAATAGTCTGTATACCGCGACACAACGTACAGGGTCTAGCGATAACGCACTGATAGACTGTTCCATGATTTGGTAGAGGGAATATTTCAAACCAAAAACCTCTAATTGACAGGGTGCCTCGAGGATATGAGTTCGTGGGCTCAGTGTGCCCAAGTCGTGCCAGTGACTTTGATTGTCAACGATTTTCATGACGAGCGGCTCAGAAGTTAAGAACTTCGCTGAAACTGACTCGGCAACTTCCCTGTAAACCCATTTTTTGGTTAGCGGCACTTTCAGCCAAAACATTCGGCTGTTTATAGGATCAAACTGAAACGTTATGGAGAGCTCGTGTGCCGGAGGAATGAACGTACATGAAAAAGCAGTAAAACCCCCAGCTAATATGAGAAATAGTATGCCAGTCCCTCATCTGACTTGGTGTGCCCACGTCGGAGAAGTTGAACACAGTAAAGTCGCCCCTCTCGAAGCCCAACGTTAACCATGCCTCCCGAACTATTATCGGAAGGTTTTCATGAATTCTAACTGTTACTAGAGATTTCTCGTTGCAGGTAACGAACCAGAGGATAGATGCTCCCTGTAAGAAAGTCAAGGAATCTACGCATCTCTCTGATTCGAGCGACTGACACGCTTCGTCTGCGAAGAGATGGGCAAGAGCGATAGCGTTTGGATCGAAGGCGTAACACTTTCTTGCTGAGTGCAGCTAGGGTTGAATCACTGTCAGAGGATACATGCGGAGCTGAATGAGGTAGCGAAGCAGACAAAAGATCTAGTAGCTTACGGCGGATACGGTGAGGACGGCGTTGACGAGGAAAGAAGAACAAAACACCTTTTGGCTTCCTACTGTAAGCCCAGGCCCATCGCTACATAGGTCAGCAACGAAACGCCCCTTGTCGACTATATTGAACAATGTACTGTCCCAAGTCCAGAAAAGATGCAGCAGGCTGGTCAGCGCTTGATTGTCGTCCGAGACGTTTGTCCAGCGAGAGACAGGCAAGACACTGCAACAGTCCAAGTTGTCAATGAACGCTGAGCTCTGGCCGTCAGCTAGACTGAATTCGCTTAGCGTCATGACGTTTGATAGACTTGTCGGATATCCTGATTTTGATTGTGGATCTATGGTCGGTTCTTGATTCGTGGCGCCGAGGTTTGGACCGAGATTTTGAGACACTGTATTTTCTATGGACGAGAAATAGTGAGCAGTCTTCCCCGACGATTGAAGCCTTTCCACTCGTGGAATATCTCACTTGTTTCTTCGTCTGCCCCTTTGACAACCAGATCCGCATTTGCAATCGACTCAATGGTATCATTAAGGTCCTTGGAGGCTCGCAATTGGTGTACAACATCTTGAACAACTCTGTCCTCGCTCGATTGGATCAACTCCAGGACATTGCGGGCGCTCCGATAGGCTCTGGACGTGCGAAAAAGTGCCTGCTTCTGGGCCTGCCGCTCAGAAAGCCCCTCTGGGGCTGGGTACACGCATAAACCATTATCATTCATGCATCTGAGGCACGTTGGCCGGGTGCCACTACACTGTAACAATCAGTCGGACGTTCTCTGAGAACAATTTCTTGCCAATAGACAGATGATGAACCAGTAACAGTCGGAATTAAGGATTCAGAAGTGATTGACTTACTTTGACTCTCAGCTTCCGACAGACTAACAAAAATTAGCTATGTCCAAGTCACAAATGGCGTTTTGGAGTGCTTTCCATTACAGGCCGTTAGAACCTGGCTCCTATTTATCTTCGCCTTGACGGAATGAATCAATGCTGGTGTTCCGGTGGCAGTGGATGGCAAAAGAGGCCTCAGTTTTGAATAATCTGCCATGACTGACAAGTGAAAAGGGGGGGGGGGGGTTAGCCACGAAATAAAATTAATCAACCGGAACTGAATACAACTCAGAGAGAGGCCACTGGGTATTCCGCTCATTGAAAGCTGCTTTGTACAAAAAGTACGGAAAGATATTCAAACTGGCAGAAGGCGTAAATGCGGAGATTATGTCTTGTCTTATAGTATTAGCTTCGCATCCTGAGGCTCACAGATCATCCCTCAAATATGCCCAGTCCAGTCGATCATGCATATTGCTTTTTGGCGAGGTCCTGTGGCAGGTCGATCGTGGTTTCTGGTGGCGCAAGTGACTCTCCGCCGTTGCCGGCAGCTGGAAAGGCACTGACATGACGACCAAACATAAGCTGGCCAGGCGCAATGTCGTTGGTTTTTACACAACTTGATATCTTATCAATTCGGGAGGATGTAGGTAGTAAGGATTTATGGGGTTATTAGCTCTTCAGGCCGATGCTTCAACTCATAATCTACCTCGTTCACTGCCAACGAAACGTTAGCCGATATGATACTTCTGCATGCTCTACAATTCATTTCATTCGCATGTGTCCAATGTGGCTAATCAACTTCTAGTGCGACTTCGCACAGTCTGATTAGCACGTCATACGGTTTCGGGTCATTGGAGCTAGATCGACCAAAACGTGCGTACATTCATAGTGCGTGATGGCCAAGAGACTAGCTTCGTCTTGGGACCTTTACCCCGAATACTCCCTTGAGATGGTTACTTGACCAGATCCCACCTTGTTGTACATATACTCGGACTCCCCTCTTCTGTATTGAGCTTCATAATAAATGATGGCTTTGAAAGACGATTACGAAGCGAAGGTTAACAACGATCCACAAGCCATACTGAACTCCGGATGCTCCATAACGGCACTCAGCTACAGGAGTTCCATACCATACCGGCCCACCCTGACCTCATATGCATCTTCTCAGCACGCCCTGTCAAACGGCAGAGACAGGTAGTTCGGCTGCTTGTCTGGATAGCCGCAAGCGAAAAGTCAAGGTGAGGCTTGCTCGAGTGTCACAAGCAAAAGGAAGATTTCTACATAAAGATGCGGATGAGTAAGAAGTTGTTTAGGCCTTCGCTTCTTTTCCGTCATACTTCAACAGCACGGGGAAACCAGTAATAGGCTGGTCAGAGCATGCATAATCAAATCGAACCATTCATCGGTTACAGGCATCTTCGCCTCTCATCACGCCGTCAATCTACTCGCAGCATACTTATACCTTGCGATCATCTTCAAAACTTGGTTTGGCTACTTTAACCACAATCCTCTAAGATTACTTGCAGTGTCACGATGGTGCGACCGGGCCCACCGGCTCGCATTGCAATGAGTTGTGGCACCTACATCCCGTCCGGGTCCTCCAATCTCCTCAGAGCGGCCACTTCTTTGTTACAATAATCAATCAATTTTGGTTCCTTGATTGGCTACAGCTCTAGTGACGCATTGGCTTCGTCACGGCTTTACAAAAGTTGGCAGGAAGAGGAAAGAGGAGAAGCAAAAGCTCAGTTATCGAGTATGCTGTACATGCAATAAAGACGTATAACCTAGTCGTTTTATTGCTTGATTGCTTTAACGTTCATATCGAGCTTTTGGCGGTTTTTCTCCTTCTTCTTTTGATGGAGGGAAAGAGGGGACCGCATCGCCTACGGTGTATAAAGCACGAAGAGCACATTCATTATGGACAGAGGCGTCTTACCGGGGTGCGAAGTACAGCTGACTTGGGGCGGGGTAAAGCAAGGGTCGCCTCAACAAATACTGGGACTGTGAGACACGTCCACAACCAAGCTCAGTGGGTTGCTTGGTTGGTCGTTTGTCATCCGCCAAAGCATTGTATTCGTTGATTTACTTATATATATATATACGCTTAGTACGCCCTGGCTAAGCTAAGCGGTGCTCATATGATTATCTACAAGTTCTCCATCTTCGTTCAAATTCCTGCCTCCCAGAAGCCCATACAAGTATCATCAATCTCTATCTGTTATCTTCATCACGAATTATCACTGCTACGATTGCTCATGGGGCCAGTAGCGTAGTCAGCAAAGAGGGGCTTCATCCCATTCACAGCTCTCCGACTTGTTTTCGCACGGACGTCTGACTTCGTCGCGCCACCACAGTCTGATCTCACATTGCTGTACCGAACCATCATAGGGGAGCTGCTCTCAAGATATTTTAAGATCGACCTAGAAAGCCGAAATCTACACAGTAACCACCAAAGCACTGGTTGCTACTTTTCAAGGAACGTTGTCTTTGCAGCTATTCCAACTAATCGCCTATCAGAGCTTGCTTTTCCGCTCAATTCACTGCCGCCTGTGCGGGTCTCGTCCCCTCCGTGGAGTTGAGTGATGTCGGGTCCGTTGAAAAATAGGCCGTTGTTGCCGCTGCTCTCAAATGGCCAGGCACATCTCCCCCAGACCGCAATGCACAAAAGGAAGCGGACGCAAGTGCTAGCAGCTTGCGACGGTATGTCAATCATCATTCTCATTCATGTCAAGTCACGAACTTTCCAGCAGACAACTGACGCAATACTAAGGCTGCCGAAAGCGGAAAGTGAAGGTCATTTGCAACTCTTCTCAATTTCTCTATCATCTCCCTCAAGCTGCGGCGAAAGGCTGTGCAACGCTGACTTGACCCCTAATGCTGAAAGTGTGACGGAGCCCGACCAGCTTGCCGTCTTTGCGTCTCATCCCAGGCGTCATGCGTATACACCGTTGCTGAGGGAACAACTCAGAGGGAGGCTCAGAAGCGAAAGCTCATGAATATTTCGGCAGCGCATGAGAACAGTCAACGAGTTTTAGAGTTGATTCGAGAAAACCGTGATGGCGTTGCAGACGACATCACGAGGAAGCTGCAGGAATCCGACGATCTTCAACGCTCGATTAACTCAATAGCCGACGCCAGTCTTCTCCTACCAAAAGTTCATGAGGGTCAAAGTAAGTGTTACAGCAAGTCCAAAGTGGCAGCGCGACTGATGATTCAGTCACTAATGTACAGTATCTGTTTCCAGGAGATTCAAGGTCTGGTGTGGAGTTGAAGTCACAGGGAGGCTGTACCACTGGGTTGTTAGCAGCGAAGTGACTATTTTCGGATGCTCCGTTGCATGCACTTGAACAACTGACTTTTTCTCACACCAGTCCTAATACCGAAAGAGCCGATGGGCGTCCCCGCCCTTCTGATCACATTATGCCCGTATCGCGCTGGACCAAGATTTCTCAAGCCGACACAACATTAACATATCTTGTCAACGCCTTTTGGACCTGGAACAACACTTTGTCACATCTAATTGATAGAGACCTCTTTGTTTCCAGTCTAGAATCTATCGACTCCAGTGCTGATTTCGATCGAAACGGTCAATTTTGTTCGTCTTTACTTGTCAACGCCATCCTAGCCGTCTCAACGGTATGTCAGATTAGGCTCTACAGACTTTGACCATGGTTCGAAACATCATAAAATGGCGTTCTAATAACTTATGGGGTAGCTATATGCAACGAAGGCTGTACTAGGACCAGTTTCAGCAGAAAACAGAACAACAATGAGCCGCGATTTTGCCGCCCATGCATTCGAGCTCCTAGAATCGGAGCAGCATATGAGTTCCTTGACTCTCTTGCAGGCTGCGGCTGTCTTGTGGACTTTGGCCAGGAACGAGGGATCTCATGAGTCAAAAAGTCGATGTTTGAGCCTACAAGGTCTGCTGAAGCAGACTTGGTCGTCTGTTTGCCTGGAGAACACAAGCTACGGTCGAATCACGTCTCCCAGAGAGAAAAGTGGTGGTGCAGAGAAGATGCACCAAGCAGCTTCCCACATCGCGTGGGGATTCTACTGCTTTTTTTCGTGAGTGCTTCTTAGATTGTTGCGGGTCGGTATCAACTTGCGATATTTTTGGCTGATCGACGTCATCTCTATCCAGAAAACTAGCCACAGTCACCTCCCCTGAGATGCTGGTTCCAAGGCCTCTCATTATAAAAACATTCGAACGTCTAGGCACTCAAGGCCATTCCAACTCACAGGATTCAACATCAAATGTCAGCAAAGATCCTCAAGGCCTCGAAGTATTCGTCGCGGAATGTAGCCTTTGCGAGATTATTGCTCAATTCGTCATCGACCATGCTGCTAATAGACTGGATCGTGATCGCTGCACGGCGCTTTACAACAAACTCACTTGTTGGCAACTCTCCCTCCCTAGTGATCTCGTGGCGGACAACAGTGTTCCTGAATCAGTTTTATTTCTTCGGTAAGTCATTGCCAGTACTGACACATCTCTTTATCCCGAATTGGGCAATCATGTGGTTTACACCTCTATATGCTGATGACTACATTCTATTAGAGCAACATATGATTTCATTGCTCTGAAAGTCTTGTCCGTTTACTTGAAGCAGCCTAACACCGATATGCTTGACGCTCACAACGCCGAACTTGCCCAAATTGGTCATGCGAGCTCCATGATGGCTAGCCTTTGTCCCGTTGGCGGTATATCGATGACGATGCACGAGTACTGGACAGCCGAGTATTGCTCTTTTGTTGCAAAGGATCTCTTTCCTCGGCTCGACACGGGTGTTGCAGTGCCCACAGTACGTAACATAATCGGCAAAGCTTGCTGTATCCTCAGGAATATGTCTCTTGCTGGAGTATCAGATCGCGCACAGGCATTACTTCTGGATATTGACAAGGAGGCAAAGTCGTCAGGCAAGATTTTATCTGTGCACGGCAAGCAGTGCGCAAGAGCGGAACGTATGTCAGCGGTTACAATACACGGCGTGCGGGTTTTCGATGGCGGGAATGCCCTCATGACCGATTCTACAGATGGAGCTTTCCTAGTCAAGTTCAAAGACAAGATCCGTAGCGTTGAACTTGTGATGAATTGAGTTGCGGAGTATTGTCATATTTGCCACAATGAGCAGAAGCCACAGATTGTAAAGGCAACGCTGTCATCAGCGTTTGTCAACCTTTGTTGCACCCAATCGTCTTTATGTTCCAGTTCAATGTAATAGTTTTATGGCTTAGACACAATGTGATGAGATGTGTTGGGTTTTATTGAATTTTACTAGTGCTTTCGACTTCGGCTCAAGTCTTACTTTGATTCCAAAGGTATCTCGACGCTCCCCACCCACAAAAGACCCCATAAGTTTAAGCTGAGATTTGGCGTGTGCAGACATATTCACCCTGGATCCATACTCCCTTCAGTTTTCGCGTGACACTGATGTCTTCCAACGGATTACCTTCAACAAGTACAAGATCGGCCCTACAACCGCCTCGAAGGATGCCTCGGTCGCTAAGGCTGAACGCCTTGGAAGCCACACAGGTTGCAGAGCGTAGAACGTCCAGAGTTGGCATGCCAGCCTCAACGAGCAAGGATAATTCCTCATGAAGACTCTCCCCAAATGGTACCTGGGCCCCTGGAACAACATTCGCTGTTGTACCCGCGCAAATCGTAACGCCGGCTTCATGGAGTGTTCGCACGCTTTCTGTCGCGTTATCATAATTGTTCCCGACCGTGACTCCTGGAGCTACATCATTGCTCTCGAATTCCCTGATGTTTGTGGCGGAAGTAGGCTCTTGGCTTCGGCTAGCGGTAAATCCGGGGTAATCTAAGTATGACTGTTCCGATGGCACTTGATTCTTTGCCATGGTCAGCGTCGGAATAAATATTTTGCCCTGTGCAGCCATTTCTTCAGCCATTGCCGCATTGATGGGTGCGTCAAGAGGGGCATGAGCAAAGATGTCGAAACCGGCCCTCATGGCACGTTCGTAAGACGCTTTGCCAGTAGTACGGGCCACGACCAACTTGCCGTAGGCGTGAGCGACGTCTACAATGGTTTTGAGTATTTCATCGCTGTGCGAATGCAGACTGACGGCAACTTTAACCAAATCCGCGCGGTCCGGGCCACTCGACTTGGCCGACACAAAAGCTACTGCATCGTCATGCGTGCGAATCTCCACCGTATCTGAGTTACCGCGGAGTTCCGGGTGGTGGGTCTCCATTGGTACTGCCTCTGTACCGGAAGAAAGCATAGTAGGCAATTTTGTTTTGCCAGCTGCATATACGCGAAGAGATTGACATTGCTCATTGTTGCTGCTAAGATCGATGACGGTGGTCACGCCATGGCTAGCGAAGGTATCCAGCGCCGTACCGATACCCTTGATGTTCACGTAGACGTCGATCAAGCCGGGAATCAATGTACAGCCATGGCCGTCGATAACATGATCTGAAGCCTCAGATTGAGAGGCATCAGCCGCCGGGTCTTGGATGTTGCCAGCCGACCTGGTGAACAAAAAATCTCCAGCATTTTGAATGACCTCGCCATCAAAAACACATACATTCTTGATAAGAATCCTAGTCATTGCTCTGCAGACTTCGATCTGATGCAATAGACCCGAGTGAGGTTTGCGCCTCCAATCGTAATGACTGGGGTTTCGTAGTTGCAGCCTCGTACTCGTGGCAATTGACTATTGCAGATGAAAAGAGAGTTCAGAAAATTGTTCGATGATGATGAAAGCCGTTGCAAAGCAAGAACGAGAGTCAAATTGGTAGAGCGTATATACAATGTAATCATAGCCGCCATTTTCTAACAGAAACTTGAGGTAGAAATGATGACCTGGTGACGAGACGGAGCAAGGTTCTGTAACGCTGGTTCTGTCAAGTCACCGTAGAAGCCGACCAAACCTGGACGATTTCGCCAATCGGAGCCTTAAAGGTACTTGGACAAGCATCCTTTGTGCGTTTGCTAAAAGTGGCGGTTCATGTCATAGCTTGGCTGTCGCAAGATTCGCAAGCTTATGTTCGATGATTTCATCAGTGGTTAATTTGATGTCAATCATTGTGAAATCATTGACGTTAAAATATTGCACAACCTCAACGGATACTGTAAGCTACAATTTCATTTCTTGGCTGCATCTCCCATCCAGACTGACGGTACTGTGTACAAGTTGTGATAACCCTTGCAGATCCCGGCAAATCTCAATGATTGGCTTGGATGACATTGGTCAGGGCATGGGGAATGTTGTCCTCCGCCGCAAGCCGCAAGTAGGGCGGGATAAATTACGGAAAATTTGAAGGCGGAATGGCGTGTTGATCGTTGCCGATCCGTCGTCCCTGCACCTCACGGAGTCCTCTCCGGCGGTTCTTCTCCAATCAGATACAGCATGCTAACCTCCCGATGGTCGGTGACGGTTCTTGTCTGTAAGATAGCTGTCACTGGTGCACTGTGAATGGCTTGGTACCCAGCAAATGGAGCTTCATAAGTCGCGTCTTAATACGGGGGAGCATAGCTGAATATCCTCATCTCAGGCTATCCCAGCACATTCGTTACAGTAGTTATTTCACCTCAAATGGCCTGACTTATGCAGGTACGAATAAGGTCAGCAGGGTTGTCCTTATCCGAGAGAGCGTACACTCATTACATATGTAGATATGGGGTTTCTTCCCATAACCGTTCATTCAATATACTCATCATTGGAGACACAGTGACCCCTGCCTATCTAAGTGATGCTCACTACTGGAACTTGAGACTGTGGCTGCTACGAGTGCAAGCATCCATATTCCATGCCTCGAGTTGACTGTCGTCTAGTTCAGTAATTACATTGACTCATTTTCACGCCAGTTCTCCCTTAGACGCTTCACATCAGCTCTCCTGGCTCAAAAATGTGGAATGGCTTGCTTGCCACCATCGTTTCCATGAAGTCACACGTACATGTGCTGTCATCCCAGGGTTGCGGGAGCAGTGTGATGCAGGGAAAATAGAACATCGACCAGCGTCTAGCCTGGCGTCTACACGCGGCACCATCCTCAAGTCGATTCTCAAAGACAACTCGGCTTTTCTGCCTACTTAATTACTTTTCCCTCGTACTCTAAATCATGAACTCAACACACCTGCCAAAACCTCCTCCGTCCCAACAACCTCCGCAAACTCCCCATCCAAACTAGCCAAATTCACAGCATGCACAGTCTCAGCATCAAACCCGCCCTTCTCATACGTCGCAACCGCGTCTCTTACCAACAACACACCATTACCATCCACCCCTCCATCCTCGCCCAGAACCTGTAAGTTAGCCGCCATTCGCACTGTAGTGCTCACGCAGTGATCAGTCGTAAGTCCAACCACCACGAGCTGCCGGATCCCCGCGGACCGCAGCTTCGCCTCGAGGTTGGTGCCGATGAAGGCGCTATTGAAGTTCTTTGTGAAGATCGGTTCTGAGGGGAGCGGCGCTGCGTAGGGTAAAGGTGCGACGGAGGGGGTTGATGATCCCTCAAGGTAGTGTGATGGGTGGAGGGCGGAAGTAAGGGATATGGAATGGTGGTGGACGTGGAGGATGAGTATTGGACGACGCTCTTCGGAAGCCGGTGTTGACTTGAGGTCATCGTTGTATTTACGTGCGTTTGCGAGAAGTGTCTCGACGTTGGATTCGAATGCTGGTGTGCTGCGTGACGAACCCCAGTGGGTGGGATGCTTGAAGCCCTCTTGGATGTCGATTAGGACGAGCGCCGTGGGTGTGCTGGATGCGTGACGCATGGTAATGGACAAAGTTTGACAGCCGTTCAGTATCGTTTTGACAATGAGAACTATGTGACCTGTGATTGATGATTTTCTGGCTGGGATATGGCCGTCCCTGATGATCGATGGGGGTTTATTTAGGTAGTTGCTATTTACTATGCTTACAGATCAAATCAACAGACGCCCTTCTCAATTCGGCTAGTCAACGAAAGGGCGTCGAATGGACATTAGCGAGTGAGAACAGCTGCTTGATGACTACAATTGCGGACCCTTCCTTGGCTGTCACTGGTATCTTAAGAAAGCAAGAAATGTGACCGCACCTCGGGCTGGCCCGTCGCATGAATGTAATCGAGATCGAAGTTGGTACCGCAAAGCAGGAAGCCTGTCTGTTAATGTTGGATAGCATGCCGAATGGCATCGTGAAGAGTCATGCGGGGTAAAGCGAATAACATGATGTCCCGCCTATCCGCCAACCTAAAATTGCAATTACAGATTTGGAGAAAAAGTAAAAATATGATTAGGACGCGCCAACCTTACATTCAGCACCGATATCTATAGAACACCAAAAATCAAAACAACGTTTACAAAACGCGGAAGAGATCATCGCACCCTTGAGGGAGCTACGCTTCTATGCCTCGTGGCGGAATCGAACCGCCGATCTTCTCATGTCACTAGGTACTAGTGAGACGCTATACCACTTAGCCAACAAGGCGATGTCTCCAGGGAGATAGCAGCGAACTCAAGGACCGCTGCGGCGGATCCTCTTCACCAGCTCACAAGCCCCACCAAGAGAAAGAGTCAACGTCTAGATTATTCAGTTCTCGAGATGCCAAAGACTTTTCCTTTGTCTCTCCAGGTAGTCCAGGTAGTCCTCCAAGCTCCCCAGGACATGCGATTGTGGAGGCGTGTGATCTGAGGCAAGTGAGCTGTCAGAACCCTCGTCTTTGAACATGGCTTACCTCATTTATCTCTCACGCGGTTTCCAGCTAAGGATCACAACAGCGCCCACCACAACTCATCCGAATATTGGAAATCCTTCACCACACAAATTGTACGATGCAACTCCACGGTAAATAAGTCAAGAGAAATTCCAAGGATTCAACCAAGTCCATCATAAAAGTATACTTTGTATTCGCTGATAATATCAGTCACCCATGCTGAATGGTGAGTGGGGAGCCAACTCCAACAAACAACCGTCAAGTAGTAGCCTCGCCCAAAAGTCCGTCTATTCGCTCAAGTAGCCCAGAGTTGTAACAATCAGGTAAAGGTAGGTAAGCTAAGCCTCAAAGAAGAATCGAAGTTTCAAACGGTTGTGGTATCTCGTGCGCACTCTGTCCCTCTTTTCCGCCCGCGAAGCACTTTATGCCTTCTCGGGCTTGGGGACGTTGGGCGCATCCTCAGCGACGTCCGCTGACGGGTGCTTCTTGCCCTTCTTCTTGGACTCCTTATCCTTCTTGATGGCTGCCTCGGCGACGAGCTGCTCGAAGACGAGGTAGTCGCCTTCCTCCTCGGGGGATCTCGCGGCCTGAAACAACATGTTAGCACCATGAACAGAATGGCAACCAGGAGAAAAAAAAATTACCTTGGAGAAGATGTCACCGATGATGACCAATGCCTCAGCGCGCTCCAGTCTCTTGGCCAAGGGGATCTTCTTGTCGTTGAGGACAGAGTCGCACACCTCACGCAGCACACTCTGAATCTCGAACTTGGAGCCGCGCCATGCGGCAGTGAGGATCTTGCCTGTGACGCGGCGCTCGTACTCGGCCTTGCGATCCTCGGACCACTCCTCGCCGCCCTTCTCCTCCATACGGGCCATCTCCTCAATGGTCTGCTGTGCGTCGATGGCGGAGCTGATGGTGTTCCAAGTCTCCTTCACAATCGTGCCCTTGTCCTTGACGCGGCTGAAGAAACCGCCGATGCCCAGGAACTTCTGACTCCGCAGCAGACCGGTGGCCTTGGCCAAGTACGTCTGGCCGATGGCGTGGAGGATGTCCAGACCGAAAGACTCCATCTTCATGTTCTCGACCTCGAGACGAGTCTTTTCCTGGAACGCCTTGGTGACATCAGCGCCCTTGTCGGTCTCGGTCCACACGCTTATTCTGTCGAGGAGCTTGCGGGCGAGGGTGTCGACACGCTCCTGGCGGACACGGGCGCGCTCCTTGTCGTAGGCGGCGAGCTGATCCCGCTGCTCCTTGGTCAGGCTACCCTTCTTCTTCTCCTTCTTCCGCAGCGACTCCTCCGATTCGGGCTGGCCTGCGACTTCGTCCGAGGGCCTGTCCATAAGCGCAGGCCGGAGAGGGATCTGAGTGCGCTTTGCGGTACCCGAGGTACCGGACGGGCTCGGTGACGGTGTTCTAGCCTCAGCGGCGTATGGGGGAGGAGGCGCGTTGGCGGTGCCGGCAGCGGCAGAGTCGGCTGCCTTGTGAGCCTCCTTCTCATCTTCAACGACGACGGTTGGCGGAGGAGCGGTGGCAGCACCGGCGGCAGCGCCAGACTTTTCTGCGTCTCCAGCCTTCATGCTCTCCTTCTTGGCCTCCTCGGTGCCGGGAAACTCGCCCTCGGCAGCTTCGGCGCCCTCGGCACCCTCCTCGCCCTCCTGCATGGTGATGTCCATCGTGGCCGTCAGATCCTTCATCAGGCTAATCTCACCGATCCAGTCGACGAACGCATCGCCGCCAAAGATGGAGCTGAAGAACTCGGCCGGGTCGGCAAAGCCCTCGGAAGGCTTCGCGCTGTCCTTTCCATACTTGTCGTAGGCTGCTCGGAGGTCCTTGTCGGAGAGGACTTGGTAGGCTTCGCCAATCTCTTGGAACTTTTCGTGGGCGGAGGGGTCGTTGGGGTTCTTGTCTGGAGGGGATCAAGTCAGCGTCCGTCACGTCGTATAGAGCAATAAAAATCATGAGAGGTAGCTTGGCATACCCGGGTGGTGAACGATGGCAAGCTTTCGGTAGGCTTTCTTGATCTCGATGTCTGTGGCGGTGGGCTGGACACCGAGAGTGTCGTAGTATGCGGTATCGACGACCATGGTCGCAAGGAATGAGGGGTATTAGGTAGAAGGAAATCTAGGTATCGAAACGGTGCAAATGTTTTCTTCGTTAACAAACAAGAGAAAAAGGTTGGGAGAGGGAGTAAGAGGTCCTCTACATGAAGGATCGCGGGGTGACGAGGGTAGGGATAGACTTGCGAATCGTGATTCAAGCGAGAATCACAAGGAATCGGACGTAGCGGCGGTGGTCGAATGAGCTGGGCGGTGCGGCGGCGTGCCACACCAAAAAGTGACCCAACTGCTGCAAGGTGCCCGCCGATTATTTTTGGGTGGATTTACGTTTTCGCGGTGCCCCGCCAGATTACGTCGTTGGGCGAGACCTGTGAGCGCTGGGCGGTCACCAACGGTGGGTTTCAGTGAGCGTTGCGGTGACTTTTTGGTGAGTAGCCATGCACTGCCATGGAACGGCCAGGCTGAATTACGGTACCTACTTCCGAGCCTTACGGCTGGCAAGGTGCCATTTTTCCCTCCTGACCTTCCATAGGCTGCATGGACGATGGCGACGTCCACTGCGGCCTTGGAGATTACGCGGACAGGGACCTGCTGGCAGGGATGACGTTGCACGGTCCAGCCCATCTGCCGCTTTCTGTCTCTTTGCATCACAAAGAGTCGGCATCCAAGATACAGGTTTTCCCTCAATCCAAAACATTTTCATGGAAGGCTTCTTTGGAAATTTTGGGGGAGAAAAGCATGTCTCGTGTCAGGTTGCTATCTCGGTCTCTACAGCGTCAGTTGTCACACTGCAGAAGCGACGATGGCTGATAGCTGCATCACGATATTTCCAGGCCTCCAAAGTGATCGACAACAGTTGGCGATCCGCTTCACAAGCTTTCAGAGCTCAAGTCAACCGGACAACGCCGAGATGACTCTTCTCCACCCCGGCTGCACCGACTCTCGCGCAAAGGACACCGTTCAATCTTCAGTGCCTGACACCAGCCCGATGGCATTTGGAATCATGCTGTGCTCGCTATGTCAATCTGGATAGTCTTCAACATTTCAAACTGCAATTTTTCGAGTTCATTCCAGTCTCTAAGTCTTGCTAGAGTAGCTAAGTTCCCATATGCGCCAAATCCGATTTGCTTTTTTTTCCTCTTCTATTTACACGACACCGTTGGCCTTCATGCGCTCGAAGCATCCCCTGTAGGCATCGTGGACCTCGGGCACCGTGTAGTTGTACTCCTTGAGCTTCTTCTCCAACTTGGTGGTGTCGAGCTTGCAGTTGCTGCGGCCGGCCTTGATGACCTTGGCCTGCTCCTCGAGCGAGAAGTTCTTCCATGTGAAATCGGGACGCACAATCTCCTTGAAGAGGGAGAGCACCTCGTTGTGAGAAATGGCACCCGGGTTGGTGAAGTTGTAGATACCAGTGTCCTTGTGCTCGGCCATGAGAATGGACGCCGGGAGGAGATCGGTAAGAATGGTGTTGGAGTTGGGGATATCAACGACACGGTCGTACTTGGCAATCTTGGTAACAAAGTTGCGAGAGTGGAGGTCGTCGCTGACGGGCATGCGCAGGCGGAGGATGAGGCAATTCTTGTAGTGCTTCATGATCTGCAAAGCACCCAGTTAGTAATTGATTCAGACGCCAGTGACTTGTGATTTATAACATGCCTCCTCAACGTGACCCTTGGTGTCCGAGTAGAAGCTGCCCTTGAAGTTGGCAGGGTCGGTCTCGAGATAGCCAGCACCGCCAATGGGGTGGGCATCGTCGTACTGGTAGATGCAGCCGGTGGCAAAGACGGTGCAGTGGATGCCCTTGAGGAAGCAGGCGTCGGTGAGGTTCAGGGTGCCGATAACGTTGGATCGCATCGTAGCCTCCTTGTTGTCCTCACACCAGTCGACATTGGGGCGACCAGTGCAGCCGGCACAGTTGAGGACGTGGGTAGGCTTGACCTTCTCGAGCTCGGCGAGGACGCCCTCACGGTTCTCCATGCGGACGGTGGTGGTGTAGACCTCCTTGCCCTGTCCCTCGAGGAGGACTTTGAGGTGGTTCGCAACCCAGCCCTCGCCACCCCAGATGAGGAACTTGTTCGCAGAGTGTCCGTTGGTAGCCATTGTGGATGACGGTGGTGTTGTTCGTCCTTTGAGGATTATAGGTTGAATTATCGGAGGGTCGTCGGAGAGGGGTCGGGCGGGACTTTGTCAGGATTCGACTGGCTGCTGGGATGGTGTAAGTTGATGACCGAGTCGGGTGGGATGTCAATTCGGACGTCTTATATGCTCGAGGCTGGCAAGGGAGAAGACAGCTGGGAGGGTGAGGAAAGAAGAAGAAAAGGACAAATTGAGTAATTTGTAAGACAAGCCACTCGAACAGCAGGGAAAGGGTAGAAAGAGTGTGAGACGGATTATTTATCTGGGGTAAGCGTGGCAGGTACGAGGCCAGGGAGAGGAGGAGGGGAGGACATAAAGTTTGGGTTCAGGTACGAGTCGTACTATCTGCCAATCTGCCACTCTGCCCTCTCAGCTGCGCGCGGTCTCGACCCTCTCGACCCTCCCGTCTTCCGGTATGCTGGTCTCTGTCTGGACACCTACTGCAGAGCAGCAGTAGTAGCACAGCCAGCAATAATTAGTCGCAGCGACTTACATTGGACAGATGGTGTGTTCAACGTGTCGTTCCCACCCCCACCTTCGGGAGGTACCACGGTCAAAGGTGCGACCCCGTAGCGAAACTTACGTACCTCGAGTACGAAGCTTACCAGGAGCTACGTTCCATGTTGATAGCTCCTGTTATCGGAGAGAGTATCCGTAGCAGACAACTATTTCCGTCCTGGCGTCGCCTAGCTTTGTCATGAGCTCTGGTGAAAGTGGACTCCGTGGAAGATAGTTACCAGTAGTGGCAGAATATGATTAAGCAGACCATGAAAATGTTAGCAAGAGACATAAGGAAAAAAGTAGCTACTTAGCTACGTGGTGTCGCAGCAGCTCCAAGACAAGTATCGCGGAAGTGATGCGGCCTAAGATGAAGGAGGCTAGACGGACGAAAAGCCTCCCTTGGGAGATGCAGACAGTGAGACATTGCCGTCCGATGGCTCACCGCATTATGCTCCCTTGGAGGTAATGGCGGTGCCACGGTGGTGGTGGCAATGGGGGGCGGCAGCAGACCAGCGAGGGTCGAGTGCCGCGTCGGCCGTGGTGGAGACCAGAGGCCCGGAGCCGCAAAGAAACGTCCATCTCGGAAATCCTCAAGGGTCTTGGCCATGTGTCGCTGCGATGCCACCGTGGGATATCCAGAAAACCAGACGATGGGTTGCGCGCTGATCGGATAGTCGGGCCATGAACATGAAGGGGGAGGCTGAGCCATGGGAACAATTGGATTGCTGCCGCGTCGGGGGGTCTGACATGCGTGGAATTGCTGCTACTGCTCTCCACCCACACCTCGATTGGCGTATGCAGCAGAGTCGATAATTCATCTGTTGTCGGCCTTCTTCTTCTTTCGGTGTGTGAAGAGGAGGAACAACAACAGAAGCAGCAGTAGCAATATCAGAGGTGCGAAGAAGATGCCAAGGGAAAACGTCGCTAAACCAAAGTCATGTGAGTTGGGCCGTTGGTTGCTAACCAGACGAGAAAGAGACGACCCGACGGAAGCTTCGCTCGAAAAAGGCAGGAAGGCAGACCCTGAAATAATGAATTCCTTCCACTCTCAGCATGGAAGGAACCGCCCTCCGTGCCCCGCACCTGCTGAAATTCGAGAATGAGAAGCAAACGACCGGGAAGGCAGGGACCTGCCCCGCTGTCACCTGCCACTTGCCAATCAGATCTAGTCGTCCATCCTATTGGCTCGCTTAGCTTTAGCTGGAATGGCTCAGTCAGTGCGTTCCTGACGCCAATTTCAGTGACTGGCATGCTGTATTGGGCGCCTTTCAGCGGAGGAGCTGCCGTGTACAGGCCGGGTATCACTGTAAGACGACGCTGTCTGCCCGCCCGCTTGCTATCAGTAGAACGCCCAACAGCGCTGAGGCCAAGACCAAGATGCCCTACCTTGGAGGCTTACCTAAGTGCCTCTACGTACCTCGAAATGAGGTGAGTGTGACGGGAAAACGGTCCCAGGTTGCATTTTCCATGGCAATTTGGAGAAAAGGAGCTGGGGTCAGCTGCACTAACGTCCTTTCCCCCGTTTTGGCGCCTTCCTGCCCGGGTGAATTGGTCACTTTTTTGGACTTTTGATTTGATGACAGCGGAGAACTTCTTTCCCTCCTATTCTTCCGCGGTCTTGTTGTTGAATCCCCGTCTGCCGTTCATCCAAGGTCAACAATCCAGTTTGCTTGTCGACTCTTCTTCACGCAACAGCCCGTATCCTTCTTGCTATAAAACGCACGCGAATTTCGAGGTCATTGACTGGAAAGTGAGCAAAACAAGCAGAAGCTGAGACCACCTGCCAACGACTGCGCGCGCAAACCTTCAATCCGCAGCCCACGACGAACCCGCATATAGCCAGCTACCTTGATCAACTCCGCGAACTCTACGAGGACCGACTGTCTCAACCTTGCTGCCCCCTACGAGACTCGACTTCATCCTTCCGTCTTCAACTCCTTAAGCCTCTGCGCCACTGTCCGATTCTGTTGTGCAATCCGCCGTCCGCCGCGACAACAGACCGCCATCATGGGTGTTATTTACTACCTCCTGCACCCGAACCAGCTTCGCTCCATCATCCAATGGTACGCCGCTTGACTTCCTCTCACCGAGCACGCGCGCGCAGACCATTTTTGATACTCCTCTACGTCACGTCAGCTAATACACTTCTAGGAAGGTCTGGCACGACCCCGTCCACCACCGCGATCCCTCAAAGGAAGACCCTACGCTGAAGTCGTGCTTCGAATTCCTCAACAAGACGAGCCGTAGTTTCTCCGCCGTCATTCAGGAGCTTAACCCCGAACTCCTGGTTCCCGTATGCCTGTTCTACCTTGTGCTGCGCGGCCTCGACACCATCGAAGATGATATGACATTGGATATCAAGGAGAAGGAGCCTCTGCTGCGCCAGTTTGACAAGTACATGGAGACGGATGGCTGGACTTTCACCAAGAACGGTCCGAACGAGAAGGACCGCGAGCTCCTGGTGCACTTTGACGATGTCGTGACCGAGCTGAAGAAGATCAAGAAGCCCTACTACGAGATCATCAAGGATATCACGATCAAGATGGGCAACGGCATGGCCGACTACGCTCTCAACGCCGAGCACAACGAGAACGGTGTTGCGACCATCAAGGAGTACGAGCTTTACTGCCACTACGTTGCCGGTCTCGTCGGTGACGGCCTGACCCGCCTCTTCGTCGAGGGCAACATGGCCAACCCCAAGCTTCTCGAGCGCCCCGCGCTCACCGAGTCCATGGGACAGTTCCTCCAAAAGACCAATATTATTCGCGACGTCCACGAGGACTACCTCGACAAACGCCGCTTCTGGCCCAAGGAGATCTGGAGCAAGCACGTCGACACCTGGGATGATCTCTTCAAGCCCGAGAACCTGCCCAAGGCTCTCGAGTGCAGCTCTGAGATGGTGCTCAATGCCCTCAAGCACACTGAGGAGTGTTTGTTCTACATGGCCGGCATCAAGGATCAGAGTGTCTTCAACTTCGTCGCCATCCCCCAGAGCATGGCTATTGCGACGCTGGAGCTCGTCTTCCGCAACCCTGCCATCTTCAGCAGCCACATTAAGATCACTAAGGGTGACGCATGCTACCTCATGACCAAGTCAACACAGAACCTTCAGATTGTGTGTGAGGTCTTCAGAGATTACACCCGTCGGATACACAAGAAGAACGACCCGCGCGATCCCAACTACGTGCAAATTAGCGTGCAGTGCGGCAAGGTATGTGGTGGTGTTTCTTTGTCTTTGTCTGAAGACACATTTTTCTCGCGCCAGAAAGTCAATTGCTAACGGTTAAACCTCCAGATTGAGCAATTCATCGACTCGCTGTTCCCGAGACAGGACCCCAAGCTGCTCGGAGATGCGGCGAAACAGAAAGAGCGGGGCCAGCCGGGTATGGATGCAGGCGAAGCCTTCGTATTGGGCGGCATGGTTCTTTTGACCCTCTTTTTCGTATCTGGTCTTATGGTGAGTAGCTCTGAAATTTTCTTCCTCATTTCCCTCTCTTTTTTCCAACATCAACCTTCACCTTCTGCTTTTCTATCCCAACTCAACTGACCACCACCCTCAGATTGGAACTGCCTGGTTCTTTGGCGCACGCTTCGACTCGTTGTGGAAGACGGACAGCATTTACTGGCCTGGCAGCGAGACCGGCGCGGCGACGCCGATTGAGCACAAGGAGCTGTAACTCTACCAGACAGACAAGAACAAAAGCTGTTCTTTGACTGCTACGCTGCATCTGACTGTTGACGGTACATATTGACGAGGAGTTTTCGGTTGCTCGCCGCCGGCATGGCTATGAAATACTGAGGAGCCCATACTAATCTTGCTAATACACACCATCCTCGTGATGGGTTTTTCGCGACGCACCTTGACGTCTTGTTGCTTTCATATCGATCATCTGTCCGACATGAAACCCACCAAAGTGACATCCACCGTTCCTCTACCAATCCCCTCAACCAAGCACGGATGTCAAATTGCAATTCAGTCCCATCGCAAGGTGGTCATGACTGTGGTTGTGCCGAAGAAGTGCTGATATCAAAACCCACCGGCAAAGACCCCGTCCATCACGCGGCGGGTACGGGGCGGGCGTGTCTTCCATTGTTCTCGGGACGCGCTCTTTTGCTCCGGCTTGCAAACATTCTTTCACCATGTTCCACTGTTTCATGTGTTTCTTCTTTTGACTGCGACAAGCCCCGTAATAGCCATAAGGCTAGGTCAATTGAAAGCCTATTCATGTTCGTCTGGTTCCGGGGCCTACGGCGATGAGGTGACGGGCGCCGCCACGGCATCAGGTAGATGAGCCTATCACCAAGATTGATGTGTTTTGTCTTTCCTCGAGGACTTTTCTCGAAGAACTTGAATCGGCATCAAGGTTCAAGGAAGAGCCAGAACGGCGATGGACGTATTCAAATCATCTTGCGGTCAGGGAACCGTTGTAATACAAAGACACAAGAATACATATTCCAAGTCATCGTCCCAAAGTCCTCAGCTCAGTGAATTGGTCATCACCGCAATGCAGAGAGCACTTGGCCTGCTTGACTTGGCCTCTTGTCGTACATGGACTTGCAGGTCAGGTATAATCAGATGAAGCAGGCAGCGCCGTGGTGCCTCTATATGTACCTTATCCATTGAACCCATGGAGCCGCCCAGGCTAACCAGGTTGCTGCTCAGTCTGCTCTCTGTTTTAAGGCCCGCCACCAAAGTATTTCGTCTGGTGTTCTTCGTAACCTTTGCAGTGCGCAGTTGCAAGCAAACGGCTCGGAGGATGCGGCTCTTGGAAGACTTCTCGGCGTTTATGCGCAAGGCCAAACCCAGTTTCCCAGGTACTTACAAGATGTACACGCAAACCGGGACCGTATCATGTGCTTTTAACCCTTTCCGCCTTCTCTCCGACACGGCGACACCTGGGTCAAGTCTGGGGAATACATGAAACGCGAGGATCCAGCTTCAGCCTTTTCAGCTCTGCTTCGCTCCTAGACCGGTCAGCCCTTTTTTTTTCTCGGCTCGGGTTAGAGACCAGAGGCCAGAAACCACGAAACCACGTGAATCGCGCGGACCAACTTGGCCCCATTCCTCCGTTGTCTTCTCTCTCACCGTCTCTCTCGCTCTCATCCGCTGCGCGCGGGTGGCGTGTGGCGGGGCACGGCGCGCGCGAGGAACGGGAATTCCGGGCTGGTAACCTGATCTCCCCCCTTTGACCGCCAAGACCCGAGATCTCCGTTTTACATAGGATTGTCAGTGCCAGATTGATGGGGAACGTCCAAGGAGAGAATTGGAGGAAGTCTTGGGGCAAGTCTTGGGGGGAAGTGCAAAAGAAATCGGGACGTTTCGGACCGTTTGATAAGAGACATGCAATTCTTGGTCTTTGCGGGATCATGCTTCAGCCAAGGCTGAATAGGCTGGATGTATTTGGCCTTCCAGGCTTCATGAATGCTACCTCTTCTCGTTTTGCCATGTTTTGAATGTCTCCAACACCACTGTCTGGCTAAGACTTTTGTCAATATCTGGTATTTGACAACACTATAGCATTATCTGTACATGCCCTGCTCTTGGCTTGCCTTTCTTGTGTTTGCGAGAGCGGTTGATCACCATGCGAATGGCAGGTTCGGGACGTAGGTACCTTCATATATTCGACGATGGGTGAAGACAGGCGATCTCTTCTAATTCACACTCACTCATAATCTCTCTCGTTCTTGTCTCTGATTCCCAGCCCGTCGGATCTTCCATCTTCTCGTCCTCTCCAGCCGGCCCCGAAACGCATCCCCTGAAACGTGACCGTAGAACAGCGGACTCGCTGGGCAGTGAGGACTATTCAGGAAAGTCCTTGCCTTTCCCTATTCGATCTCTCTCTCGCCTTTTCCCCTTTGGACGCCGGACCAAAAGCAAGGACGCATCTCTAATTGTGCTTCTGTGCGGGTGTGTTGGAGATGAGACGAATGTCTGCGTGCGCTGGTCGGTCCTTTCAGCTGACCACATGCTTTTCCCTCGCATCTTACC